AGACTTGTCTTGTTTGGTTTAGTATGTCAAATTTGTTTACATTGTGTTTCTACGTAATATGTTCATGTGTGACTGCATGTGTTTGCGAGACCTTTATTCTGTTTCTACTTTTATGAAGCCCACTGGTCAAAGCTTTGTTGGCATCGGATTATTAGTATATTAGGCCCAATAAAAGCCCACCGGTGAAAGCTTCGACTATAAAATTTGAATCTCAGCACTAAGCTCGTTACAACAAAGCCCAAGTGGATTCAAATACCCGATCAATGTCCACGATTTGACTCAGGTTCTTTGTGGACGAACTGAGTTCACCGGATTCTCTAATGTAAATGTAATGGGGTCTAAAACATGATACTATTTTGACTGATCAAATATAAATGGTTTTGTTATTTCTAGGTTTAACGGAAAATTGATTTCTGGCCTAAACAAAGTAACTCTTCTTCACTTAAAAACCAATAATGCACCACAAATATAAACAAAATACGATAATGTTGCAATATACATTTTCTAAGATACTAAAATGTTACTTTTTGATCTAAAGAAACAAGTTGTCTTGGCTAACTGATCCGTTTTCTATATATATTTTTTGCGATAAATTGGTTAACTATAACAAAAAAACGCAACATTATGTCTATAATCTCATGTATATCATGTCTATATTTTTTTATTAATAAATAAATAAAAGAATGGCATAAAGCTGACAAGATTGTATGGAGAAAAAAAAAAAAGTAGTCGGAACACTTTGAACAAATGAAAGAAGGGGACACTATAAACAATCTGATAAGAGGACGATTCGTTTTGATGTTATATGATTTATGTAATCTCACCTTGCCGGCTTGCCCAACAAACTGTAAGTGTGTTAATCTCCTTAGCAATCATAATAGTGGACATCATGACTCCTTTGGAAAATCAAGGACACCTCTTATTTTATATCCATTATCCATGAAGAACTTTGACAAAGAATCTATTCCATAACCTTCGATCTATCTATACAAAAAAAAAAAGATTAGTTTTATAAGAGTTGTATTGGTGATGAGTATAGTAGTATATCATTTGTTCATATTTCTATTTTTTTTTTAAAATCATTTATAATATTCACCAAGTTTTCAAGTTTTTGAAATGCAATTTTGTTATATACAACTAGCATGTTAAAATTACAAAACTGAAGTCACATTAACAACTCCTAAATCATTATTTTAGGTGACTAGATATAAGATAATTAACTCCAACGTATTATTTTTCCTTTTGGCTAAATTACCCTTCTGTTCGGTTAAACCTAGTGAACGAAATAATTATTTATTTATTTTTAGCAAAAAAATAAAATAATAACTATTTATAAATCAATTTTATGAAAATAGCGTAGACCATAAAAGAACGCAAACGTAACAAAAAGAAACAATTAAGGTACGAAACTCCAATTATGTAAGTTATGACAGTGGATTCCTGAAACTCGATAAAGAATACCTTAAGTGTCATGAAAGTGAAGTGGTCGTAGCAAACCTTCTCGTTGTCCACCGACTGAACAAAGTTCCTATATCCTTTTTGTTGTCGGGTTCTTCTCCAAGTACGTCTTCAATATATAAATTGTTTGAGAGACTCCAATCAAAGATGCTCTAAGTACTATGTTCAATGTGTGTGCCTTCTTCTCCAGGAAAACGTGAGCCCCACATGTGGAGTGATGATTACTTATAAAACAAAATGATCTCCTCCTCATGACTTGTGACATTTAAGCAAAGGGCGATGGTATGAATTACAGTTTGTTTCCGATTTTACTCTTTAATTTAGATAAGATTTAACTCAACTTATTTTGTTAATTGAACCATTAAAAATATATCTACAGTAAGGTATATCTATATGGCGAAGTGGATGAAATGTCATAACAATATATCTATATTTTAATATAAAAATAAAAATTAGTGTAAGTAACACATCATTTATGTCGAAGTTGATGAAATGTCAAAACAAATAATATGAAAAAAAATATGAGGGTTGGTGAAATTAAGTGTGTGTAAAAAACAAACTTTTTGGGTATGGATAGGTGGAGGGTTACGGAATAGATTCCTTATCGAGTTTCTTCATGGATTATGGATATAAAATTGGAGATGGGCTTGATTTTCCAACGAAGAAAACTACGAGTTCTCACGTTTTCACCTCCGGATATTCACGTCCCCGACGACGGTCACGGTCTTGACAACGGGCCTCTGCCACAACTTGTCATAGCTGAGCTTCTTGTGGATGAACTAAGTCCTGAATCACAAGTATGAATGATAATCATAAACATAATGTTGTTGTCATGAGTCTTGAAACATCTAATTATAGCTTTCTTGTTCCTAACTTCTAGTTAATGGTTAATTAGGAGATAATACGGAGATATCTAAAAACCACAAGGTGGTAAGCAAGCGGTTCTTTCAAGTACTTTGGGGTCTCTAATTTGGGAGAAGCCAACATCCATCGACTTTAATCATCAAAGAGTATCTAGAAGAAAAGGGATTCAAACTCAACAGAGACGGAGGAATTCTCAAAGGTTTTCCTTTACTTGTTTCCCTCATGAGATTCTTGGTTATTGCAATGTTTATGTTCTTTATCTGCTATATAAATAGGAATAAATGTGAATCAATATGTATTTCAGTGAGTCAAGATGGTCTACTTCTACAAGTGTCATCGATCTCGGAGAGGGTTGCGGTTGAATTTTCAGATGGAGTAACCGAAACAATCCCGGCTTCATATATAGAGTTCACTCAACGTCTGGTTCTCCCAAAGTTTCAAGATCTGCCTCATGACCAGGTTCTACATTTGGATACAGTACTGGCTTCTTTTCATCATGTATGCCTTCGTTGGTCCATTGTATTCACAATATATGTGTATACCCGTAATTGCAGATTAAAGAGTAACATAGACGTGACGACTTTGATTTCGACAACGCAAAAAACATTTTGGAAAGCGCCCGTTTCACCTCAGATGTCTAGAATCAGTTTGGTCCAATCCTTTCTGAAATGAATACCATTAGATTAAGCATTGGTTTGTAATGCAAGTAGTATGGTTCAATGTGTGCTGTGATACCTGTGTGTGTGTGTTTCTTCTTTCCCAAGAAACGTGTCTCAAATGCATTTACTCGTGTTTGAACATCCCCATTTCCTCCTCTTTCTGTTCAATGTTACGCAGTCTAATTTCCTTGCATCCTCCTACGAAACATATTTCAAAATAGAAAATCAATAATCATCAATACGTTAATCAAGGTTTGCTGTCGAGAGAATTTGCCAGTTCAGAATCTGAGAAGGAGCAAAACCCTAAAAATATCTTCGATTTTATTGTTGTGCAAGATTTCGCTTGTTTCGTCCATCTTCAAGATTCTGAGCGTGCGCTCAAAATTAGGGTTACGTAATTATACGTGACAACGATTAAATGCCGACTAATTACGGCGTCAAGTTTTAGGATTGGCCCAAAATAAGCCCAAGATATAACCGTGGACAACGTGAATAATTTTGTTGGGGAGATTTTGGGCCCTTTTGGGTTAATATGAATCCGATGAGTGTATAATAAAGTTCTTTTTAAAATTATTTCATTTTTGAAGCAAAAAATATATTTTGATTAATATGAATCTGAATTCATCAAATATATATTTATCGGCTATTTTTTTTTTGGGTTTTAGCAAAAATAGACATAAGTATAAACCAATTAAGTATCCAGTAATATTGCATAATAGCAAATGATACAATTGTTGAACAAAAAAACAAAAATAAAAATCAAATGATACAATTATTTTGGTGTATTTTCTAATACCAAGATAGAGATGGTAACTTGGCTGAAAAATACAAAGGTGAAAAAACTTTAGTCACGTAAATATTATTTACAAGGATAACAAATAAAAAACAAAGAAAGAAAGAACACGTTGATGATTCCCATTGATCATATACAAATTAGTATTCGTCACTTCTTTTCCATTTACCCACAAGCGTTATAGGTTTAGCTCTATTTTTTTCCAAGTAAACCCCATCATTGTTAGCAATCCATAAACGGTGGCCATTATTACACGGAGGAGGATGAGATGATGTATGTGCCGTCAAAAAGTAAATATAAGGATAAATATCCAAATTCTCTTTAGGTTTTTGAAACCTACACTCCATGAGTTTTGGCATGTTTTTCAACATGTGTTTCTCATTGAACTTTATCTCTTGGACCATAGCGCGGCCTAGTTTATCATCGCAGACAAGCAAGAGCATCTTGCCAGGACCCAAATTGTTTTGAACTTCTAACTTTCCATAGTTGCAATCTTTTGCTTCATTCAACTTAGCATGCATAGCAATAAGCAACACAAAAATTATGAGACTATTCATTTCTTTTTTCTTTTTTTGAAACAAAAAGTATCTGTGGATTAAAGTAGATCATCTAAAGACATCAAATGTAATATTTATATTAAAAAATATATTTGGGTCGAAAAATTTTTCTTCTATTTATTTAATGGTTTTAGCTAAATTTAAATACAAACTAATTGCTTCCTCTAATTAAAAAAGAATTCGATGACGAAAAATATGGATAGCCAATAAAATCAAACTATATATAAATTAACCTTACAAACTGTAGCTGATAAAAAATCAAACCAAAAAATAAAAAGTAGAAGATGTAACAAAAAAAAATTGCAATATACAATTATTTTAACAATACAAAAATATTGTATTAATAATAAATACAATATTATTATACGATTTGTTACTTTTTAATTTCACAACGAAACTTGTAAATTAATTAATCCCGTGCAAATATCATCTATCCAATTTTGAGTATACGATTTGTTACTTTTTGCTAACTCGTCCTCTTAAATTCTTTTTTTTTGTTAAGAATATTAATAAATAAATAAAGCTTAACTAAAAGTAAATCATGAGATAAACATAATATATATAAAATTCAAATAATGTTAAAAAAAAGAAAAAGAAAAATCATATTTCAGAAAAATAAAAAGTGAATCAAGATTGGGGTAGTTGGGTTGTTGTAATCTGGTCGAACGATCACCATGTTTGAGAAGGACATAACGGTTCAACATCAGTCGACATAGCTGCACCGTAGTCATATTGATATGCTGAAGTTGAAGCAATATCGATGTTGAACGTTTCTCTGCGTGAGATAACTTCTACAGCTTGGTCATCCTCTTCATCGTTTTCAACTATACAGCCCAGGTGCAGTGAAACTCCATGAGGCGACGAACGGATACATTCCAGCTCCACTAAAATATCCCTCATGCTGGGTCGTCTCTCTCCCGTAAGGTTCAGACACAGCCTCGCAATCTTGGCCATGACCTTGACTTGCTCCAACATGCAACCATCTCTGATGCGAGGATCAATAATGTCGAAAAGCCTGTCGTCTCTCATTGCAACGAGAAAGTAAGTTGCTAGAGTCCGGGTGTTTTGAGGCCGTTGGGAAGAGACCGGCTTCTCTCCGGTGATGAGTTCGGCGAGGACGACACCGTAACTGTACACGTCGCTCTTTTCCGTGTATTGTTCGGATTGGTAGTACTCAGGATCGACATATCCGGCGGTACCTTTCACCACGGTAGTGAGATGAGTATCATCCACAGCCATCACCCTTGAAATACCGAAATCAGACAATTTTGCTCGGTGCTTAGCGTCAAGCATGATGTTGGTAGAATTAAAAACAAAAACTCAGCTCATTTGACCAGGCTCTTGATTGTGCTTACTTCAGCTGTTAGGGTTGAGAAAGGTCTCAAGGTTTATGGTGAGTTACTTCTTATGTAAACATACATTTGCATGATCGTGTCGCCGATACTAATTTACTTGTCATCAATGTATGTAACAGACTACACATGTTTGGTTGGACTCGTGAGCCAGATTGTGCTAACTTTGGTGGATTCCTCTGATGTTCTCGATAAAGTTCTGGCACTGATGTTATGCACCATTGACGGACTCAGTGACTTCAATGAAGTGGAATCCATTGCTTCGCAATGGGCCCACATTTTTTCGTTGAAGAGTTTAAGGTATCTTGTAATACTCTTCAATGTTAATTCTTCCCCTTATGATTCATCATGCAATCTTTTGCAGTTTGCTGAGTTTTTTTGCGGGAGTTTCTAGAGAAGGATAAATTAATAGTGGAAGCCTTTGCAAGTAATATATTAAGGCAAGACTCTTTTTTTTTCATTAACCTCTTTAAAATCTGTCTTATCTTTTATATATGTCATTAGTGACTGGCTTGGCTTCTATGCATGCAGTTGGATCAACAATATGATTTTTGAGTCTACGGAGGAGGTGATTCCTCTATTACTATCGTATTGTAAGAAGCAGCAAACAAGTCACGACAAGGTGAAAATTATAGATGGATCAGTCGAGAGGATTCATGAGTTCTTGGAAGAGAAAATCAAGAAAACTCAAACGTATATAGAGAATACAGGGTTAGCTCAAATCGATGAGGCTGAGTTTGCTGCTGTTTGTGGAGCTGTGAATTGTTTTCCCTATTTTAAAGTGGATTCATCATTGCTGATTTGCTTTAAGAATACTCTTAAACAGCACTTGGTCGACTCAGCTGGTAAGCTTTTACCATGCCACATCAACTTTATACTGCTGTTCTTGATCATGGTCTTAATTTTTAGAAATTATCATAACTCTTTTTATTAAATCTTTTTCAGTAAACACTTGTAGTGCTCAAGAGTTGATGTGGCAGAGCATGCTTGGTGCTGTTTTGGGGTCATGTCATAAACTCTCTTCTCCTGGAAGAATCAACCGCAGTGATGTAGAGGAAGCTTTGTTTCTTGCTAAACAGTACAAGACATGTGTACAAGTGCTCTCTTCCGTGGCTGACTATTTGGATCGTGTGGTCATGTGAGTTATTCAATTAATTCTCCATTTTGTATTTGATGACTCTGTGATGGTAAACACTGATCCACTGTAATCCGCAGGCCTGTATTAGCAAATGATGGTAGTAGCCCTAATGCATATCCAGAACTTGAAGCAGATAAAGCCGAAGATGCCTTCACCATCTTTTCTGAAAACTTGCGTCACTCAAACAAAGACATCCGTCTTCTGACTCTAAGGATCCTTTGCCATTTCGAGACTCTGTCTTGTAATCCATCTTCTGAAGAACATCCTCCTCCTAAGAAGAAACTGAAGACTAGCGTGGTTCACAAGTCTCTTCCTAAAGCGAATGTGAGTAGCAACTATATGACTGTTAACCTCTGCGCTCTATCATCGTCACAACTAATACAATTCTTTTCAAATTACCACAGGTGCTTCAGTTACTGAAAACAGTCGAAGAGTCTCTTCTCACAGTATCGACCGAAATGGAGTTGAGCAGATCGATTACTAGCATACAAACGGATCTCTCTGATGGCAGGATGCACGAGGCGTATGTGCCTCTTGTATTCAATGGAATTATAGGAATATTTCACAATCGATTTTCCAGAATATGGGAGCCAGCATCTGATTGCCTTGCGGTTCTTATCAAGAATCACACAGGAGCCGTGTGGAATGGTTTTGTTCGTTATATAGGTTTCATATGTTAGTTTTTAATTGATGGTTTTTAATTGATTTCATATGTTAGTTAGAGGTTAGCAGAAATGAGCAGCCACGCCTCTCTCCTATGCTGAATATGCCAAAAATCTATATAGGTAATCAAAAAATTATGTTGTCTACAAAACAGCCGTCCAGGTTATAACCTTAACTTACAACATAAACCAGCTTTTACATCTGAAAACCTATATCTAAAAACAGTTTGTTCATATAATCAACTTGCTATATTTTTACCTTTCCTGCAACAGCCTAAAGATCACAGTTACTCTCTTATCATCATGTCCAAGATTTGTTTGTAGTCAAAGGATCAAATTTCCTCTTTTGTTGCTCGCATTTATGTTCCCTTCAAGTTGCTGCTTTTGATTTCTTGATTATCCCATGTGCCATACTAAGCATCTCAGAATTTGGAATCTCCTTTTGTGTAGAGGCGGAGTAAAATTCAGAATCAGCGTTCTTAAACAAGGTGATTGCATGCAATTGTACGTCTATGCTTTTCATCTCATGATTCTCCAACTATTTTAGAGTCTTCATTCTGTATATATGTAGTAAAGGAAAATAGTCTTGCTTATGCCAATATTCTGTGTTTGTCAATAGCTATACGTGTAACTGGAGTGTGCTTACTTAGAGCTGCAGTCTTTGCATATGTATGTACATTGATTCTTAATTTCCTATTATGAGTAGCTATCATTCTAAGAAACCACTAGATGAATGAGATTTTTCTTGCCAAGAAATCAAAATGCACAGTGAGTCCTTGGTGACTACGACTATTTGCAAGGTATTTTCATTTTTTTTTAATTACTTCTAAGCTCTAAATGTTGAAGTCCAAAGCAGTCATAGAGTTACCTTGCAAACAAGTATTTTAACTGATAATTATAGACATGAGTCTTGCTGCGTCATTGGAAACTATTACAGTTTAAATGGCAGCAAAAAAAATGCAGTCATGTTTTTATGGAGAGCTTTCGAACTGAACCAGAAGTACTTATCTGTGTGGACTCTGGTGTACCATGGATATGTCGAGATGAAAAACATTTGTGCTGCCATAGATGCACATCAACGAGCTGTTGACATGAACCCTCTGTTATTATCGAATATGGTATGGAACCGTTTTCAAGATTATGGTATGGTGACTCTATTTTGCGTTGCTCTTTGCTTAAGTGTGTCGATATAAGTTGTTATTGTATGATGTTTAGATTGTCTCTATTCAATAGTTTGAATTAATAATATTTTTGATGTAATTTATCGGTATTTTCTAAATATAGTCCAATTAAATCACTTTATCAAATCCTAATTAATAAAAGAAATAATTACCAAAGTGAATTACGAAATGTCAATGTTTATAAAACTAACAAAACAGAAACATATACAAAATAGTTTATCGGAATGAAAAAAAACGTATTCTAAACCATTTATCTAAAATTTTCGATATCAAATTGAAACTTTATACCAATAAATAATTCTAAATTGGTAAATCCAAATTAAAAAAAAAACAAATGACCTTTTATGGATTCATTATTATTCTAAACCTGATTAAACTAGATTTTGGAAAATTGGAGAATAAAACAAAATTAAAAGAACAGATTAATTTATATATAAGTAAACTGATCTTATCAAAAAAATATTTATTAAAATTATCTAAGTGCATAACACTGAAAAGTCACTTAGAAATATTATTGAAACAATATGAATAACAAACTTAAGACCTAGAATTGTAAAATAAAATTATGTGAAAATACAAGTTAAAAAATTAGATAATTATCAATAAATAATTTGGGTTATTAGATTTAACACTATAAATGGAAATATTGAATACAAACCGCGCGTAGCGCGGTTCAATCCCTAGTACTAAATAAAATAGACTATTTGAGGCTCCTCAAGCCATCTACATCAGCTTTTCAAACTACTCTAAAAGGATGCCACATCAGCAATATTAAATTAACTTTCTTTGCTTTGAAATAACATAGAGATTACTCTAAATATATATTCACATTATCACAAAATTCAATCCTAAAAAACAAACTTTTAACCGAGAAGTTCTATCGTTTCTTCTCTCCTCCTATTATTAAATAATCAGTCTTCACCAATTCTTCTTCCGCACAACAATCTCATATATCAAATTCGGTTCCTCTTCCCTTCTTATCTACTCAATCTATCTACGAACACAACAGACTCACTCAAAAAACTTACACCAAATGATTCCTATAGAGAAAACCCAGGAAATAATCATTAATCACCATTCACAAGGACAAAACTTTGGTGGAGAATCAAGTTTCCAATGTTGACAGCATCTTTATCCATGAGGAGAAAGACGAAGGATTCAACGGAGGAAAAACCAGACCAAAGCGGGTCAAAAAAGCACGTAACCAGCAAACCAATCCGAAGAGTTAGTAACGGAGTTTCCCGATTTTCATGCGCATAGCAATAGTGTGGTGACGAGATGGGTTGATAAATAGTGTGGCCAGACTAATCCAAAACCATACACTGAATCAGATAAATATTATTGATGATGGCCGTATATACTCTGAATCTCTATCCAATTTAATAACGTGTACGTACAAAACTCATGTTTTAGTCTGTATGTTTGTAGGAAAGTTAGATCTTTAATTATTCTTCTGAAAATAGTGGTGAGTTATTATTTACAGCGGAGGCAAGAGATTTGTTCGTCTGTGAAACTTTGATGTATATCACACAACCCTCTCCTTCATTTTCTCACAGTAAGTTATTTCTATCTGTATATATGTAATATAGTAAACCTGCATTTGGAAAGTCAGTATGTTACTTATAAGTGCTATTACTTGCACCTGCTGCAGACAATGATTGTTTCGCTTTAGACTATTATTTGTGAATTTTCTTTTAAGGGTTAGAGTTGATTCTGCAAAAATTTAAAACCTTCGGCCAAATCCACTTTACTCACAAAGATATGTTAGGTATGAGTTTTTTTTTTTAAATTACTTTTTTTCGTTTTTGTGTTCACGTGGGTATTGATTAAGATGACATTTTTCATAATTTCCAAATTTAAGCTACGTACTGGAAATTACAAATAGTATAGTGTTTATATAATTGATGTTAGGGAAAAAGATCATTACCAGCGCAAATACAAAATATGCAATTCAATGTGGTGAAGTGACTGTTTTTATAAGACCATTCATAAACTTCTATCTTAAAAGCTTTCATTCTTATCTTTCTTTTTGCTTGGCTGTGTACACAATATTAAAGTAGTGCATGGATCACGCTAATAACTTAACTAATTGGAGTAGTTGAAGTCTAAAAATATAGAAAATTGATGTTAATGGCAAACATCTAAAACTGTTGGAAAAAATATAGATATGGCAACCCGCAAATGCACTGATTTTATATTTGAAGTTTAATCTTTAGAGAAAAAAAAGCAAAAGTAAATTTCAAAAGAAAACCAGTTTCGTGTTCGAGTAGGCAGCTCAATTGTTCAGATTGCTCAGAGAGTATGGATGATGATAGTTTCTAAATCCTAAACATTTTACACATAAATAAATGATGAACTTCCATAGAGTAAGGATGTTAAAGACCGCAAAGAATAAAAGGTTTCGTGAAATATTATTATAACAACAATCATATTAACAAAGTGAAATTATCGATATGACAAAGTGTTAATTTGAAGGGAATACTTGAGACCGTATAAATGTATGGCACATGGGTAGATTATGATTAAAGAAATTGTAAGGTATGTGAAGATCAACGAACCTCAAATATATAAACAACATTGACAAGGACTGAATTCTGGACACAAGTTCGAAGGTGTTAGTTAGAAAAAGAGAAAGAGTACATTCTTATGTGCATAAAAGAAGAAAAAGTAAAAACAATACATGAGTTTGATTATACAGCAAGGTTTCACAAGTAACGTAATATATAAGTTAAGTTTATATTGGAAAGTAAATATGTAAGCTAAATTCTTTTCATTATTTACTGTCTATTAAATTTTATTAGATTGAAAAACGGCTGTGATTGATCATATGGTTGGTAGGCTGCAGATTTTTAATTTTCATTTTGCTAAAGTAAATAGTAAAAAAATGACCGTGACTTTAGAAAAAAAATGTTAGTGTTTATATACTTTAGAAAAAATTAATCTAACAACAAAATGTAAAAACAAATTATGTGAGTGTTTTTACGACAACTTTTATAATTTTAAAGATTTATAAATCAGTAAAATTTTGATTGGCTAATATATGACTTTTAAGACTTTTTTAAAAGTTGTTTTGCTGATCAGAACCTAAATATAAAATTGTTTTCTAAAAATAAATTACTAAAAGTTAAAATTGTTTTTCAACTTTATTTTTATTTATTTGGTTTAACAATTTTTAATGGAACAAAGCAATCTACATTTTTGTGAAAAACAAATTTGTTTTTTACAAATTTATGTTTTTTCCATATAATCAATAATAATTCTCTATAATCAATTATTAATAATTAAATATTTATTTCTAAAATCTAAATAAAAATATATATTTAAAAACAAATCTGCGCGTAGCGCGGAGCATACCCTAATTTTATATTAAGTGCCGAATCTGGTGCTTTGCTTGGAGATAAATATTTTTCCACTAGCATAATAAGTTCTAATTTAATTAGTGTCCACTAGTATAGTAATTTTGCGTTATTAGTACTAAAAAGAATCAAGCAAAGCTGTGTCCAAAGAGGCCAAAAGTGATAGACAGTAACGTCGTCGGTGTGGTACATATGATTCGATTAATAAAAATTATCGTAGTTTCTTGATTTCTGTGGAAAAGGCTTTTTTTTTTACTCAAAAAACTCTTGAGTCGTGAATCTGGTGGAGATAACTTTCTCTATGATTTGATTTGATATTATTTTATTTTATTGCCCCTCAAGCTCCATAACTCCAATTCAGTTCTTGTCCGCTAGTAGTCGTAGTGATATGGAGTATATTTCTGATCCTTCGTTTTTTTTAAAAAAAAAACACTCTTTTCTAGGTAATAATTCAATACGAATCTACGATATAAGAGATAAGAAAAAATCAAGCAAAGCTTTCTCATACACAGCTCAAGGATCTTCCCACATGGGTTCTCTTGACTTGCCTCACGCTTCATCGTTCAAGGTTCTTTCTCTAACTTGATTTATTTGAAGAAAAAAAAACTGAAATTAAGTATTATACGATAATACAAAATTTTATTGTAACAGGGGGGAAGCGAAATATTTCTTAGGAATGTGTTCGAAAATATATTGAAAACGTATCTTAGAAAGAATCCGACCGCGAAGACGATATGGAAACTAGTTCAGTCAGTGGACAACGAGAAGATCTGTTACGACCACTTCACTTTCAGGACATTTAAGGTACGTACGAATTTTACGACTTCAAGATTTAATAAAACTAATTGTGTAAATTTATTTTCTTTTTTTTTTGTCTGTGGTGATATATGTTTATAGGTAGATGGTTACGGAATTGATTCCTTGTCGAGTTTTTTCATGGATTATGGATATAAAATTGGAGGCGGACTTGACTTTCCAAAGAAGAAACTACGAGTTCTCTGGTTTTCTCCTCCTGATGTTCACGTCCCTAATGACGGTCACGGTCTAGCCAACGGCCCTTTGCCACGACTAGTTATAGCCGAGCTTCTTGTGGACGAACTAAGCTTTGAATCACAAGTATACTTTGATCACAAACATGTTGTTATTACTATGAATCTTTTAAGATATCTAATTTTTGCTTCTATGGTTAATTATATAGGAGATAGTAAGGAGGTATTTGATACCAGAAGGTGGTAAGCAAGCGGTTCTTTCAAGTACTTTGGGATCTTTAATATGGGAGAAGCCTACATGGACCGACTTCAAGCAACTTGCAAAGTATACACATATATATATATATATAACTCTCTAATCAATAATTATACAGTATATCGTTACTTAATACATTTGATTGTTTTAGAACTAAACTAGTGTGAAATTGCATGTATGATCCCGGTGAAGAGAAAGCGAATTCGCGGCATGGACGCTTATCCACGGCTACACAATGAACCATCTTGCTTTTTCGGTTCATCGGCTCAAACACCGTTTCAGTGACATCAAATGTGTCAAAGAGTATCTTGAAGTAAAGAGATTTAAACTCAACAGTGACGGAGGAATTCTCAAAGGTTCCATTTCCTTTACTCATTCCCCTTATGACATTTTTTTATTGCAATATTTCTATTATCAATTGTTAAATTAAAATTAACGTGGATATATAAGAGAGTGGCGGACCCACATCAATTCTGACCCGGTAAAGTTTTAAGATTACAATTACAGTTTTTCCTTCCTTTTTATTATTATTTTGACCCCCATTGCCCATATTTTATTTGTATTTGTTTGGTCCACAAAAATACTAAACCTAGTGTATTTGTTTACAAATGGTTTAGTTAGTCAAGATGGTCTACTGTTACAAGTGTCAACGATCTCGGAGAGGCTTGCGGTTGAATTTGCAGATGGAGTAAGTGAAACAATCCCAGCTTCGTACATTGAGTTCACTCAACGTCTGGTCCTCCCACAGTTCAAAGATCTGCCGTGTGATGAGGTAATAGAAAAACAAAAAAGGATCCACATTAAATGCATTTTTTATTATTTAACATTTATGAATTTCCGTTGTGTTGTTGCAGATCAAAGAACATCATAGACGCGAGGCCTTTGAACTCGATAACGCAAACCACGTAATGGAAAGCACCCGTTTCGTAGCACATGCCTAGAACCAGACTTGTCTTGTTTGGTTTAGTATGTCAAATTTGTTTACATTGTGTTTCTACGTAATATGTTCATGTGTGACTGCATGTGTTTGCGAGACCTTTATTCTGTTTCTACTTTTATGAAGCCCACTGGTCAAAGCTTTGTTGGCATCGGATTATTAGTATATTAGGCCCAATAAAAGCCCACCGGTGAAAGCTTCGACTATAAAATTTGAATCTCAGCACTAAGCTCGTTACAACAAAGCCCAAGTGGATTCAAATACCCGATCAATGTCCACGATTTGACTCAGGTTCTTGTGGACGAACTGAGTTCACCGGATTCTCTAATGTAAATGTAATGGGGTCTAAAACATGATACTATTTTGACTGATCAAATATAAATGGTTTGTTATTTCTAGGTTTAACGGAAAATTGATTTCTGGCCTAAACAAAGTAACTCTTCTTCACTTAAAAACCAATAATGCACCACAAATATAAACAAAATACGATAATGTTGCAATATACATTTTCTAAGATACTAAAATGTTACTTTTTGATCTAAAGAAACAAGTTGTCTTGGCTAACTGATCCGTTTTCTATATATATTTTTTGCGATAAATTGGTTAACTATAACAAAAAAACGCAACATTATGTCTATAATCTCATGTATATCATGTCTATATTTTTTTATTAATAAATAAATAAAAGAATGGCATAAAGCTGACAAGATTGTATGGAGAAAAAAAAAAAAGTAGTCGGAACACTTTGAACAAATGAAAGAAGGGGACACTATAAACAATCTGATAAGAGGACGATTCGTTTTGATGTTATATGATTTATGTAATCTCACCTTGCCGGCTTGCCCAACAAACTGTAAGTGTGTTAATCTCCTTAGCAATCATAATAGTGGACATCATGACTCCTTTGGAAAATCAAGGACACCTCTTATTTTATATCCATTATCCATGAAGAACTTTGACAAAGAATCTATTCCATAACCTTCGATCTATCTATACAAAAAAAAAAAGATTAGTTTTATAAGAGTTGTATTGGTGATGAGTATAGTAGTATATCATTTGTTCATATTTCTATTTTTTTTTAAAATCATTTATAATATTCACCAAGTTTTCAAGTTTTTGAAATGCAATTTTGTTATATACAACTAGCATGTTAAAATTACAAAACTGAAGTCACATTAACAACTCCTAAATCATTATTTTAGGTGACTAGATATAAGATAATTAACCTCCAACGTATTATTTTTCCTTTTGGCTAAATTACCCTTCTGTTCGGTTAAACCTAGTGAACGAAATAATTATTTATTTATTTTTAGCAAAAAAATAAAATAATAACTATTTATAAATCAATTTTATGAAAATAGCGTAGACCATAAAAGAACGCAAACGTAACAAAAAGAAACAATTAAGGTACGAAACTCCAATTATGTAAGTTATGACAGTGGATTCCTGAAACTCGATAAAGAATACCTTAAGTGTCATGAAAGTGAAGTGGTCGTAGCAAATCTTCTCGTTGTCCACCGACTGAACAAGTTCCTATATCCTTTTTGTTGTCGGGTTCTTCTCCAAGTACGTCTTCAATATATAATTGTTTGAGAGACTCCAATCAAAGATGCTCTAAGTACTATGTTCAATGTGTGTGCCTTCTTCTCCAGGAAAACGTGAGCCCCACATGTGGAGTGATGATTACTTATAAAACAAATGATCTCCTCCTCATGACTTGTGACATTTAAGCAAAGGGCGATGGTATGAATTACAGTTTGTTTCCGATTTTACTCTTTAATTTAGATAAGATTTAACTCAACTTATTTTGTTAATTGAACCATTAAAAATATATCTACAGTAAGGTATATCTATATGGCGAAGTGGATGAAATGTCATAACAATATATCTATATTTTAATATAAAAATAAAAATTAGTGTAAGTAACACATCATTTATGTCGAAGTTGATGAAATGTCAAAACAAATAATATGAAAAAAAATATGAGGGTTGGTGAAATTAAGTGTGTGTAAAAAACAAACTTTTTGGGTATGGATAGGTGGAGGGTTACGGAATAGATTCCTTATCGAGTTTCTTCATGGATTATGGATATAAAATTGGAGATGGGCTTGATTTTCCAACGAAGAAACTACGAGTTCTCACGTTTTCACCTCCGGATATTCACGTCCCCGACGACGGTCACGGTCTTGACAACGGGCCTCTGCCACAACTTGTCATAGCTGAGCTTCTTGTGGATGAACTAAGTCCTGAATCACAAGTATGAATGATAATCATAAACATAATGTTGTTGTCATGAGTCTTGAAACATCTAATTATAGCTTTCTTGTTCCTAACTTCTAGTTAATGGTTAATTAGGAGATAATACGGAGATATCTAAAACCACAAGGTGGTAAGCAAGCGGTTCTTTCAAGTACTTTGGGGTCTCTAATTTGGGAGAAGCCAACATCCATCGACTTTAATCATCAAAGAGTATCTAGAAGAAAAGGGATTCAAACTCAACAGAGACGGAGGAATTCTCAAAGGTTTCCTTTACTTGTTTCCCTCATGAGATTCTTGGTTATTGCAATGTTTATGTTCTTTATCTGCTATATAAATAGGAATAAATGTGAATCAATATGTATTTCAGTGAGTCAAGATGGTCTACTTCTACAAGTGTCATCGATCTCGGAGAGGGTTGCGGTTGAATTTTCAGATGGAGTAACCGAAACAATCCCGGCTTCATATATAGAGTTCACTCAACGTCTGGTTCTCCCAAAGTTTCAAGATCTGCCTCATGACCAGGTTCTACATTTGGATACAGTACTGGCTTCTTTTCATCATGTATGCCTTCGTTGGTCCATTGTATTCACAATATATGTGTATACCCGTAATTGCAGATTAAAGAGTAACATAGACGTGACGACTTTGATTTCGACAACGCAAAAAACATTTTGGAAAGCGCCCGTTTCACCTCAGATGTCTAGAATCAGTTTGGTCCAATCCTTTCTGAAATGAATACCATTAGATTAAGCATTGGTTTGTAATGCAAGTAGTATGGTTCAATGTGTGCTGTGATACCTGTGTGTGTGTGTTTCTTCTTTCCCAAGAAACGTGTCTCAAATGCATTTACTCGTGTTTGAACATCCCCATTTCCTCCTCTTTCTGTTCAATGTTACGCAGTCTAATTTCCTTGCATCCTCCTACGAAACATATTTCAAAATAGAAAATCAATAATCATCAATACGTTAATCAAGGTTTGCTGTCGAGAGAATTTGCCAGTTCAGAATCTGAGAAGGAGCAAAACCCTAAAAATATCTTCGATTTTATTGTTGTGCAAGATTTCGCTTGTTTCGTCCATCTTCAAGATTCTGAGCGTGCGCTCAAAATTAGGGTTACGTAATTATACGTGACAACGATTAAATGCCGACTAATTACGGCGTCAAGTTTTAGGATTGGCCCAAAATAAGCCCAAGATATAACCGTGGACAACGTGAATAATTTTGTTGGGGAGATTTTGGGCCCTTTTGGGTTAATATGAATCCGATGAGTGTATAATAAAGTTCTTTTTAAAATTATTTCATTTTTGAAGCAAAAAATATATTTTGATTAATATGAATCTGAATTCATCAAATATATATTTATCGGCTATTTTTTTTTTTGGGTTTTAGCAAAAATAGACATAAGTATAAACCAATTAAGTATCCAGTAATATTGCATAATAGCAAATGATACAATTGTTGAACAAAAAAACAAAAATAAAAATCAAATGATACAATTATTTTGGTGTATTTTCTAATACCAAGATAGAGATGGTAACTTGGCTGAAAAATACAAAGGTGAAAAAACTTTAGTCACGTAAATATTATTTACAAGGATAACAAATAAAAAACAAAGAAAGAAAGAACACGTTGATGATTCCCATTGATCATATACAAATTAGTATTCGTCACTTCTTTTCCATTTACCCACAAGCGTTATAGGTTTAGCTCTATTTTTTTCCAAGTAAACCCCATCATTGTTAGCAATCCATAAACGGTGGCCATTATTACACGGAGGAGGATGAGATGATGTATGTGCCGTCAAAAAGTAAATATAAGGATAAATATCCAAATTCTCTTTAGGTTTTTGAAACCTACACTCCATGAGTTTTGGCATGTTTTTCAACATGTGTTTCTCATTGAACTTTATCTCTTGGACCATAGCGCGGCCTAGTTTATCATCGCAGACAAGCAAGAGCATCTTGCCAGGACCCAATTGTTTTGAACTTCTAACTTTCCATAGTTGCAATCTTTTGCTTCATTCAACTTAGCATGCATAGCAATAAGCAACACAAAAATTATGAGACTATTCATTTCTTTTTTCTTTTTTTGAAACAAAAAGTATCTGTGGATTAAAGTAGATCATCTAAAGACATCAAATGTAATATTTATATTAAAAAATATATTTGGGTCGAAAAATTTTTCTTCTATTTATTTAATGGTTTTAGCTAAATTTAAATACAAACTAATTGCTTCCTCTAATTAAAAAAGAATTCGATGACGAAAAATATGGATAGCCAATAAAATCAAACTATATATAAATTAACCTTACAAACTGTAGCTGATAAAAAATCAAACCAAAAAATAAAAAGTAGAAGATGTAACAAAAAAAAATTGCAATATACAATTATTTTAACAATACAAAAATATTGTATTAATAATAAATACAATATTATTATACGATTTGTTACTTTTTAATTTCACAACGAAACTTGTAAATTAATTAATCCCGTGCAAATATCATCTATCCAATTTTGAGTATACGATTTGTTACTTTTTGCTAACTCGTCCTCTTAAATTCTTTTTTTTTTTGTTAAGAATATTAATAAATAAATAAAGCTTAACTAAAAGTAAATCATGAGATAAACATAATATATATAAAATTCAAATAATGTTAAAAAAAAGAAAAAGAAAAATCATATTTCAGAAAAATAAAAAGTGAATCAAGATTGGGGTAGTTGGGTTGTTGTAATCTGGTCGAACGATCACCATGTTTGAGAAGGACATAACGGTTCAACATCAGTCGACATAGCTGCACCGTAGTCATATTGATATGCTGAAGTTGAAGCAATATCGATGTTGAACGTTTCTCTGCGTGAGATAACTTCTACAGCTTGGTCATCCTCTTCATCGTTTTCAACTATACAGCCCAGGTGCAGTGAAACTCCATGAGGCGACGAACGGATACATTCCAGCTCCACTAAAATATCCCTCATGCTGGGTCGTCTCTCTCCCGTAAGGTTCAGACACAGCCTCGCAATCTTGGCCATGACCTTGACTTGCTCCAACATGCAACCATCTCTGATGCGAGGATCAATAATGTCGAAAAGCCTGTCGTCTCTCATTGCAACGAGAAAGTAAGTTGCTAGAGTCCGGGTGTTTTGAGGCCGTTGGGAAGAGACCGGCTTCTCTCCGGTGATGAGTTCGGCGAGGACGACACCGTAACTGTACACGTCGCTCTTTTCCGTGTATTGTTCGGATTGGTAGTACTCAGGATCGACATATCCGGCGGTACCTTTCACCACGGTAGTGAGATGAGTATCATCCACAGCCATCACCCTTGAAATACCGAAATCAGACAATTTTGCTCGGTGCTTAGCGTCAAGCATGATGTTGGTAGATTTAACATCCTTATGGTAAATTGGAGAGGACGCGGCGGAGTGGAGGTATGAGAGGGAGTCCGCAATATCTATGGCAATTCGCAAGCGTACTTCCCAACTAGCCACCGTCTGATCATCATCGACCTGGTTCTGAAGATGTTCGAATAGGTTTCCGTTGGAAATAAACTCGTATACCAAAACCGGGACCTCCGTCTCAAGGCAACAGCCTAGTATACTGACGATGTTGCGGTGGTTGATTTGCGAGAGAATCACAAGCTCGTTGATGAATTCTTGTACTTGATCTTGGTCCAGAGCCTTTGATTTCTTCACCGCCACGATCCTACCATCAGCGAGCATCCCTTTGTAGACGGTTCCTTGCCCACCTTCCCCAAGCACCCTCTCAGAACTGAAGCTCTCTGTGGCTTTCTCTAGTTCTTTGGAGCTGAATACGACAGTCTTGTCAACGGAGCCTTCCCCTGAGGTTAGCTGTTGCTGTAACAGAAGACCTCCGTTGCGCTTGAAGAAGGCTTGTCTCTGCTTAATCTTCCTTTGCTTCTTGATGTACTTGTAAAGCCATATGCATGCACATACAAGAAACACGCTTACACCGATGCTGACCCCTGCAAAACCCACCAAACACCAAGGGAAGATTTTACATATATATTTTATAAAAAAAAAAGGATTATAATAATTATCATAATAAATTTGTTATTTCTCGTAAATTTAGAACCCTAAACAATAGTCTAGTTATGAAAGAAAAAACTTGAATACAAAGTAACAGAACTGACCTATATAAATTAGGAAGGTTTTGTTCTTTTTCACTACGCATTGATGGCCACCTCGAGTGTTTAGACAAGTTTCACCGCTACTACAGTACTTTGGACGATGACGTCCAGCTTCAAGAATTTTACACTCATCAATATCTACATGAAAAGAAATATGTGACGAAATTATATCCAGATGGTTATCTTAATTAAAGGAAGATTAGTTGGATATTTTTTTTTTATGATTAGCAAAGCTCCAAGAACTGACCTTTGCAATCATCTAGAAGGTATGGGTTACCCTTGTAACCAGAGGTGCATGCACACCATAGATGGATGGCCTCGTCATCTGTGACAACCTCATAACAATAGCAAGGTCTAGAGAGAAAGTCGTCCGACAGTGTGTTGTTGCCACACTTCAAGGATTCTGTAAACGAGGTACCCATCGTAATAACTTTCCACTTTAGCTGGATAGTTGAATATTTCCTCGCGTGAAACCATTTTGGATCAGCTCTGTTGCCCCACGACCGCGATGTTTGATCAAATTCGTCTGTTAAGAAGGCGACTGCGCACCCTCCTGTTGTCGTATTACCACCATCCCGGCTCTCGATCTTCACACCAATTTCTTGACCGACCTCAATAGGTGTGCTCACATTGCAACACTTGTAGCCATCGCAGCCTCTTTCTGATGAGTCCGTCAGTAGGTTAGATGGGTCGCAAGTCGAGACGCATCCGACAATTCTGGGGTCAACATGCATCAAAGTTGCCTTGTGATTACACCCAAAAGCCACAAGTTTGTTATTGCTGCTCATGGAAAACGGGGTTTTGGTATAGTTCAGAACCTCTTTGAACTCTTTTCCATCGCCGCCAGAACACCCCATAGAAGTTATTTTTGTTTTGATGCGGAGTGAACCAGAAGGAATGGACTCAACTCCGTGCTCTGATGGTCTTGGATAATCGATTTGCACCACTTCCTTGCTGATCTTGGGCAGAAACGGGACGAAATTGTTGCATTGAACCTCGTACCATTCATTGTGGTAGCACCCGTTTCCAATTCCAAAAGGATAGGGTATGGAGATCTTTCCGCAGTGGCTTGGACAAGAACTTGAAATGGTGAGTTCTGCTGAAATGGAGTTCAGTACTAGGAGAAAACACAATTGACTGAGTACAGACCTCATCATTTTTTTTTTCCTGGTCTCTCTCTTCTTTTCTTTCTTTTTTTTTTCCGTTTATCTTTTCACTGTTCACTCCTTCTTCTTTATATGGAGTTCATTTAGTAAGATGCCCATGCCTCAATCAATAACTAGCCAAATTTTCTAAACGATATTTAATGTAGATGGGAAAAAAGGGGCAAGTCTCTCGAGTCTTGAGACAAACCCACAATTAAGAATTAATTACTATGGCAGTATGGCATCCTCCAAGTTCCACCATAGATGTTCTCTTTTCATTACTAGACTCGATTACCGTCATCGCATCGTGTTGTTCCTCTACATGTTAGGCTTTTGAATTTCTACAAGCTAGCTAGAAAGAAAAATGCATTACTCCACATGTCATGTTTTTTACAAGCTAGTTATAAAGAAAACTTCATTACTCTATCATACGAGCATATTTGATTTTGTAGTAAAATCATGCATAGTCCAATAAGATTGCGTCTTGATATCCGTGGAAAGTATGGACACGGTTTCCATCTTGATAACCATACGTTCACTGTAACACTGGCCAATACCATGGCTTAGGAATTTGATCTTCCTACTTCCTAGTGACCTTACTTTATAGGAAGAAAAATAAGTAACTGACCGCGTAGAGATTTTGTGGTATTTTTCAAAAAAAATAAGGTTTTGGTTGGGAAGTAATTTACGAAGAAACAATGGTCACTGCAAGGGTATATTGATATATTAACAATAAAAAAATTGTTGCTATCTTGACATTTATGATTTATTAATATGGGTTATTTTAGATTTTACATGCACGGTGCACAAAAGCCTAGATTTGCATTTTTTGCATGACTTTCTTCACCGAGATCGTGAGAAGGTTTAGTAGTTTTCTTTTGTGAGTTGAGATTTTTTTTTTTTTTTTAGTTTTCGTTCTAATAGTTGGTAAGATTTAGTTTTATGGGTTTTGGTGACTTTTTTTTTTTAGTTTTGCTCTTTTGATAAGAAGTTTTTACCTGCAATTTTTTCTTCATAAAAGATTTATAATTTGATTTAGAAGTTGTCGATTTTAGCGGTTTCATACCCCACTAGTATGCACCTTGTAGATCTTGTGAGTTCTTTTAGTAGGGACCTAGCTTAGAACCCCTCGTATACAAGTCGAATTTGTTTCCCGGCTTGATGAATCATTTCGTTTGCCATGCATGATGCACCGTTTTGCAGTTCAAATTTGTTCGATGATATCACCGAAACTAGTTTTTTACAAACAAAATTGATGAAAACAATCAAAGAATAAATTTATCTATTTTTGTGAATTATTGTCGTATTATATTTAAAATAATAAAAAAGTATGTAAAATGTTTTTTATTGATTTTTTCAAAACTCAAAATAATATTATTTTGACATCACTAATTAATATATCATTAAAGTATTTTGTTCTTAGTAAATTATTAGAAAAAATCGTTGATTTCTTTTTGTAATCTTTCTATTTTGTATTCGTTTTAAAAAGAAGATCAATAAAAAAATGTAAAGAAAAACGTTTGTTGAATATATTAAGTCACATTTAATCGTCATATCTTGTCAAAATGTGGCTTTGTAACTGTTAAATGTGGCTTTGTAATTAGGCAAAAATAAATAAATACTAATGGATGTACACTTCTTATACAAAATATTGGGCCCTCTTAGTATTCGTTACTCCTTTTCCATCTACCCACAAGCGATACAGTTTGTTTCAAATAAACCCCATCGTTCTTAGCAATCCATAAACGGTGTCCATTAGTACACGGAGAAGGATGAGGTGATGTGTGTGTCGTCAAAAAGTAAACATAAGGGAAAGGATCCGGACTTTTAACCGTCATACTACACTCCATGAATTTTGGCACGTTTTTCAATTCGTGTTTCTCATTGAACTTCATGTTTCGGACCATAGGACGGCCTACTTTATCACTGCAGACAAGCAAGAGTTTTTTGCCAGGACCGAGACGGTTTTGAACTACTAACTTTCCAGAGTTGCAATCTTCTGCTTCATTCAACCTAGCATGCATAGCAATAAGCAACACAAAAATTATGAGACTATTCATCCTTTTTTATTTTGAAACAAAAAGTGTTTGTGGATTAACGTAGATCTAAAGACATCAAATGTGATATTTATATATATATATATATATATATATAAAGTTTGGCTCGAAAAACTTTTTCTTCTATTTATTTAATGGTTTTGGCTAAATTTAAAATATAGACTAATTGCTTCCTTTGATCAAAAAATATCTCAATGACGAAAAATAAGGATAGCCAATAAAATCAAACTATATATAAATTAACCTTACAAATTATTGCTGATAAAAAAAAATCAAACCAAAAATAAAAGTATAAGATGTAACAAAAATATTGCAATATATAATTATTTTAACAATACAAAAATCTTATACTAGTAATAAAATGTAAGTTTCTCGATCAAAAAAGTAAAATCACCAACGAATTCTTTTGGACAGAATTTAGATTTTTATCCTAAACTCTTAATAGCATCATTTTGTTAGCACAAGCCTTGCGATAAAAATCCATACAGTCAATCATGGAAAGCATCGGAGCACCTTAAGATCAAACTTCTCGGCTAGTTCTTCGTGACCATTTTATCTTGGCACGTTGAATGGCTAGCTTCTTTAAGCTGATGAGAAAATCCTGCAATACAAAGTTCAATAGAAAATCAATAATCATCAATTCGTTAATCAAGGTTTTGTTTCGCTATGGAGATAGTTTACCAGTTCAGAATCTGAGAGAGAGCAAAACCAAGTAATATTGTTGTGCAAGATTTCGCTTGTTTCGTCCTTCTCAAGATTCATAAGTCCGCTTAAAGATTCTAAGGGCGCCCACAAAATTAGGGTTTCTAAGTGACAACGATTACATGCCGACTAATTACGATTTAAATCCGGCGTAAAGTTTTAGGATTGGGACAAAAAGGGCCCCATTTATATTACCGTTCTCAACGTGAATAATTTAATTAGTTGGGTACATTTTTAAACTTGTGATTTAAACTTTAAAGTAGATATTGTTTCTTACAATTTTCCCTAAGTTGAGTAGTAATTTTAGGAACTGTCAAAATGTGGCCTTTGTGGTCAGACCAAGATAAATAAATACTAATGGATGTACACGTAGCGCATAAGAATTGTAAGTAAACATAAACAATTATATAAGAATTATTCAAGTCCCATTTCCATAGTGTACATTAGATCAGCTTCTAGCACCGGTTGATCTGTACTTGTAACGCATTGCCCAGAAGAGATAGTGCAAGAAGTTAACAACACTCAGAACACAAATGAGCCAGTAGAACAAGTCTAATCTGTAACGGTTAATGCTAAGGTTTTCACCGAGCCAAGGGGTTCTTCCTCCACTTCCAGTCACACTGTTCACAATCACCACCATCGCCGAGCTTAGATAATACCCCATTGCCAAAGAAGCCCATGAGAGCGATGTCGCCAATGATCTCATAGAAGGAGGTGCTTCTGTGAAGAAAAACTCTAGCAAACCGGCTAGTGTGAACAGATCAGCTGATCCTAGAAACAGATACTGCAGCGAGATCCATAGGAAAGTGATGGGTAAGGTTTGTTTTGGGTCAGGGAATCCAGCTTCTGTGGCTACTCGCTCTCGTTTTAACTCGACTAGAGCGGCCACTGCCATTGACACTATCGAAAGGACCAAGCCAACACCGATTCTTTGCAAATGACTGATACCCATCTCGGTTTTGGTAACTCTTCTTGCGAAAGGGATAATCAGGTGGTCGTACATTGGTGCAAGAATCATCATGAACACGACTGGAAAAATCGGCAAAGAAGCTGCAGGAACCTCTAGGTTTCCGATCTTTCTGTTCATCGACGCAGCTTGGTGGATAGAGAAAGTAGAGAGCTGAGCTAAGCAGCAGTTGAGCATTATGGTGCATCCGAATATCGGAAGCATTTTGAGCACAATCTTCACGTCTTCGACTTGTTGAACCGAGCATTCAAGCAATCTATGGACCGGTTTGCCCTCTACCGCTCTGTTTAGACATCTCAAGCTATTGGTTAGTGGCTGAGAATTCCTCTTTTCTCCTTCTTCTGTTTGGTCTTCTCTAACCACGTGACTTGATGAGCTCACAGAAGAGCTCACAACAGCATTGCTCGAAGATTTACTCGAGCAACCCATTATGGAAGCTGCAAGAAGAACCTGCACGTAGGAGACGTTAAGAAGACAAAAATGATTCGTTGACAATTATGATCAAAACCAAGTTTTTTGAAGTGATTACCTTCAAGATTGTGGTGAGAGGACTTCCACGAGGGATCTTGTTCTTATAAAAACTCGAACCAGAGAGAAAGACGAGAATGGAGAGGAAGATGGAAATGGTGGAGACACCAAATCCCCATTCCCAGCCTACATTGTCCTCGAGCCACACAACGAACGTCACGGCCACGAGTGCTCCACTTGAGAGACAGAACACAAAGTAGTTGAAGAATGTGGATCTCTGTTTTCGACCTTTGGGGCTGCTCTCGTCGAATTGCTCTGCCCCGTGTGACGGCAATGACCCTTTTATCCCTCCGATTCCTAGAGCCGCTAGATACAGTCCCACGAACAGAATCGCCGCCTTCGAACCATCGACGGCTTCGCATGGCGACGTGGGAGAGCTCTTGCACGGAGGTGGCATTAAGGACGGACGACAAGCTTGGACTGTGAGCAGTATTAGTCCCTGTACATGTACGTAAACCCCGATCAACCCCATAAATTGAATTTGATTAAAATATCTAATGATCATTTTTACTGCGGGTGAAAATTAAATTTAAAAGTAAAGGGGGAAAAAGCCAATTATTACCTAAACAACTAAACCAAATTAAAAGAAAAGAACATTATGATTATGAAATAAATAAATAATAATATACTAACCACAACATGATTATGTGATAGATCTGTCACTAGCACTAACTCCGTTTTGTCTTTAATCAAATTTTTGTTAACGAATTAACGTCGCAAACTCGACAGCTCATGACAGAGAAAATCAGAGATTATTAAAGCAGACAAAACAGCGACCCTTGACAGTTGACATGGACACACAAGTACAAATCTGACCCTACATAGAGATAATGTTCCTAGAGTGAATAGTGGGCCCCATACATCAAACTCTGCGCATAGATACTACACCGTATCATCTCATCGCAAAGCAATGCACGCACGCTTGGTCCGTCAGATTTTGCAAATTGCAATAAAGGAGGCGAACTTTTTTAGTAAAACATGCATAAGCCATTTTGGAATGGATATATTTTAAGGTATACACACTGACACATTATTTTTTTTTTTTTATGTGTAATGTATGGATGACACATTACACATACAAAAAAAAAATGTATGGATGATGTTTTTACAGTGTGAACGCGTTTTATAGCATGGTGGTTGCCTGGTTGGCTATTTTCAACGTCAAAAATGAAGATTAGTTAAGGAAGAAAAGGAATTATGGAACTTAAGTACCAGAAACTCGATGAAAGCGGAGATGAGGAAGATGATGTAAGTGGAGAAGAAGGCGTCGGAGAGGAAGCCACCGAGGAGAGCGAGGAGGAAGGCTGTTCCCATGAAAGCAGTCACTTCACTGGCCGCTCTCGACACCGGAAAGTGCATGAAGTCCGTTAGATATTTGACCAAGTTGCTCGCGTTTGCTAAAAACGCTAGATTCTCCAATATCTCCACCGCTTCACAACACACGCACGCGCACACAAGAAAAAAAAAAGAGCAAAAAAGACACAAATAAAATTAGTCACGTGATTCCCACGAGGTCGATCGAGACAAGAGCTTCAAAAGGTATGGACAATGAGAGGACAAGAAGTAAATGTGTAATTTTGTGACTGACCCAAGACGAAGGAGGCGGCGAGCATGCCGCCATGACGACCTTTCACGGCGGCTCTGTTCCTCCAATCGGCGTAGCCTTCCCATTTGGTGACGTCTTGCATTTCAACTTCCTATAATTGGAAATAGCCAAAAATATTATTAATAACCTTTAGGAGGATATTTATTTTCAACATAGAAATGAAAATAAATAAGTATTGAAGATTCCAATAAAAAAAGAGTTCAGATAGAGAAAACTATTGTGTGCTTGAAGAACCGACCGTTTTCTTTATTCCTCTCAGACTTTGATGAGGGGAAACGAAGGAGATCTTTGGTATATAAGTGAAAGAGAGAAGGGTATTTTTTGGAATTAAGAGGAGGTGAAGGGTGTATATATATTGGGTCTTGGAGACTTTTTATATAAATTTCAAATTTGTAAGCTGCTTTAGGAAACAAATTTTTTTTTAGCTCTCTTACCTTTCCCCTAATTACCTTTTAGGAACCTAGAGATGAGATTCCAAGATGTGATAAAGGTAAACAATCTAGTGCAAGAAGTAATTATGCAAGTTGATTATGACTTGGAATCAGATCATCGACACTTGGTTTTATTAATCTTGATGACTCACACTCACAAATATCTAGCATTCCATTTTTCTATTTGTAATGAATAGTATATTTTTGTTGTCCTAAATATAGTAAATTCTTCTGGAAAATATATGGAAATTGCAATGTGGTAGTTTAGCTTGAAAAATAAAAAGAAATAAAAATAAAAATATACTTTTTTAGAAATTTCAAAATTAATAACATTTAAAAGTTTTAGATATGTTTTCACTTTTTCAGTACACTAAGATTTAGAATATAGTGAGTTTTTTAATTATATATACGTAATATTTATATTATTGTGATTAAAATAAGAAATAAATAAGTGAAAGCAAATATGATGTGACTTTTGTTTAAATATAGTTAGATACAAATTTTTGGTGACTCTTATTTTCATTGTATTTTTCTAGTCTGTTCTTTGAATCTAGACGAGTAGCACATATGTGGATTTAGTTTACTTTAAAGGAAGTTTAGCTTTGCTTTCTGTTAGAGAGGGATGCAAATCAAATCCAAAAAGCTGAGGAGAATTAAATCCCTCCACTTAATGGGTTACAAATAAGGATTCCAAACTGACCAAATGATATTTTTTATCACACAAAAATGGATATAAATCTAAAAACGTGTCATGAGTGTGATGACCGAGTAATTCCTTTCCTTGCTACTCAGTTTCTTGATAGTGTTCACTTTGTTAAATAGCCAAATGTCAAGCATGACTCTTATTAGAAAATTATTCCATTTTAGTTACTAGCTGACGTTTAATTTTTGTTTTTACAAGCGTGTTAAAGAATGCTACAGTACCTATTATAGTTTTATCTAGTAATTTTTAAAAAAATAATTAAATTATATAAGATGGGTACAGATATTTTTTTAATTAATATGTCATCAAAAATTCTATATAATAAAGAGATTTATTTTTTTTACTCGATAACAAGATATAAAAGTTGGCAGCGTTTATAAACGGAAGACGTTTTTCTTTAACTAATAATAGTACCAATTTATATATAATAGCAAAATAACTTTTTTGAACTGCTGATGTCATCATTTTTTTGTAGAAAACAAATGATAAATTTAACGGTTGACGTTGTTTTGATTAGTTTTGATTTGAAAATTTAATGGCTAGGATTTAACTGCTGACATCATTCTCTAAATATTAAAAAAAATGTAGATGAAATCTGAACAGACACATAGTTAAAACATTGCAACTTTACGAACTATTGTGACTTTTCATTTTGGTTGCTAAAAAAAATTAATCTAATGGTTAATAATCTTTGTTTACAGATTTAACGGTTAATATTAGATTTATTATGTCTCTCTAACATATACATATTGAAAAACTGTTGCAACTGGTAAAATAAATATTTGTAACCATTTCGGTTACTAACCATTGCAAATGTTCGGTGACTAACTATTGCACCAGTTGATGATAAATCATTGCACCCTAATCAACCATTGTAATCTTTGAAAGTGACCTTTGGTTTCCTATAAAAGGAGTTGCGGGCATTGCAGAAAACATAAAACAAATTGAGGCAAAGAAAGATAGAAAGAAAGAAAGTAAGAGAGAGTTTAACTATTCCAAAAGATCATAAACATTTTCTGAAAAAACACATATCATAATTTCGATTACTGTATTTTATCCTACAATTAATCTAATGGTTAACAATTTTTGTTTCTAGATTTAACGGTTAAGATTAAATTAATTATGTCTGTCTAACATATACATATTGAAAAATTGTTGCAACTGGTAAAATGAATATTTGCAACCATTTAGGTTACTAACCATTGCAATTGTTCAGTGACTAACCATTGCACCAGTTGATGATCAATCATTGCACCATAATTAACCATTGTAATCTTTGGAAGTGACATTTGGTTTCCTGTAAAAGGAGTTGTGGGCATTGCAGAAAACATAAAACAAATTGAAGCAAAGAAAGATAGAAAGAAAAAGTAAGAGAGAGTTTAACTATTCCAAAAGATCATAAACATTTTCTGGAAAAACACATATCATAATTTCAATTATTGTGTTTTATGTTACAAGGGTTTTTGACTGACTCAAAACTTGATAAGGGTCGAAATACTCTTTAAAGAAAATGTCATTCTGCAAGGTTTAATCATCAAGTTTATCATAACAGAAGATGTTTGTATTCCAAAAACACAAATAAAATAGTTTTTTAATACGTCCAGAAATTGAATACAAAATATAATGAAAATATAAATATTGGGATGCCATAATTTTATAATGAACGAGGTATTAATTTTAATTGTTATTTTTATGGAGTTAAATTTTATTTGTGTTATTATAAATTTTTATTCTTGTTTTTATTTTATTTATTTTATTTTAGGATGTCCATTAAAAATTCAAGATGGAGGTATTTACACATTTTTTATTATAATAGCAAAATAATTTTTTTGAACTGCTGATGTCATCATTAATATGCTTGATGAAAATAACACTTTAGCTAAAGTTTTTAGAAAAGCTAGAGATAAATATGAAAGTGGTCATATTTGTGAAATAAAAATTCATATGATAAGATATGATAAAAGGAAAAGACAATATAATCTGCCATCAGCCAATGAGATAGCAGGTTTAATAATCGGTGATTTTTCTAAAACTATTGGCGAACGAGATGTTCTTCTTCAACATAAATCATGCAATTTGCAAAGAATTTTGGCAACTCATCTTCTTTATATGGCTTTGCAATATCCATTATTATTTTCTTATGGAGAAGTTGGGTTCTTTGAAGGAATATCATATGTTCAAATGTCATCATCCGATCACAATAATGGCTATGTTAAAATGACAGAATATTATATGTATCGTATACATAACAGAAACATCAAAGCATCCACTATTCTAAAAAGTGGTAGATTATTTCATAAATATGTTATAGATGCGTTTACGTTTATTGAGGCAAGCCGTCTGACATTTATTAAACTTAATCAAAAGGCAATAAGAGCTGATGTATATAATAATGTAAAAGACGCCATATCAAAGGGAGATCATGATCCATGTAGTCTTGGTAAAAGAATTATAATGCCATCATCAATTACTGGAAGTCCAAGATATATGGCTGAAAAATATCAAGATGCAATGGCGCTTTGTCGTTGTTTTGGAAATTCTGATTTATTTATTACCATGACTATTAATCCTAAATGGAATAAAATAAATGAATATTTAGAAATTACCAGTGATACATCGCCCAATGACAGGCCTGATAATGAATCACGTATTTTTCATTTAAAATTAGATGAGTTAATGGTTTAATTTAAAAAGAATGAATTTTTTGGACCAGTAAATGGAGGTACTTATATTTATGTTTGAGTTTTATAATTATTCAGATAAAATCTAATTATTTATATACTGTTATTTTTATTTTTTTCTGCAGTAGTTTATACAATTGAGTTTCAAAAAGGGGTCTCCCTCATGCACATATATGGTTAAAATGTGGACGTGATATTGCTTCCTCAATTAGTATTGATAAATATGTTACTGCTGAATTGCTTGATAGAGTAATTGATCATGAAGGTTATGAATTAGTAGAACAACATATGATGCATGGACCATGTGGACTTAATAGACCAAATAAAACTTGTATGGAGAATGGTGTTTGCACTAAAAAATATCTCCGACCATATTATCTTTCATCATGTATTGATGAAAAACGATACATTATATATAGTCGTAGAGATATAATATCTAGCTATGTTATGAAAGGTGATATCAAATTAGATAATCAATATGTTGTTCCCCATAATTTAGAGCTACTAAGGTTTTTTCGAGCACATATTAATGTTGAATTTTGTAATAAAACAATGGCAATAACAGTACAACTAATTCTAATGTAGTTAAGTACGATATAAATGAGATTGAAAATTATATTGATTGTCGATATGTATCCGCTTGTGAATCGATGTGGCGAATTTTTAAATTTGAGATACATCATCAACATCCTCCAGTCTATAGACTAAGCATACACCTTTCTGGTCAGCAACTTGTGCATTTTAATAATTCAAGTGATTTAAATAGTATTGCTACTAATTATGAAAGCAGACCAAGTATGTTTATGGCTTATTTAAAGATGAACAAATCAGATCCGGATGCAGAAAGTTATCATGTGTTCAATTTCCGTCAAGGTACGTTTGGAATAAATCAGATCACACATGGACAAAAAGAAAAAAGGTCAATCAATTGGAAGATTGTATAATATTCATCATTCGTCTGGTGAACTATATTATCTTAGAATTCTAATTAATCACCTAAAAGAATCTATAAGTTTTGAAGATATGTTAACTATAAATGAAAAAGAATATAAAAGATTTCAAAAATCATGTGTTGCTCATAGATTACTTGAAGGTGATGAAGAATGGCATAAAGCTATGGCAGAAGCATCATAAAAAGTAATCACAATATACAATAAAATAAAAACTTTAAAATTATTTCTTATAATACTTAAAAATAAATTCTAATTTTAATTATACTTCTTATCCGCGCGTTGACGCGCAGATTTGTTTCCTAGTTTATTTTAATAATATTATACTAGTAAATTTATTACCATGCAAATTAAAGCCATTTTTCAAACACATGCCTCTACCTTATTCACTAGCTCTGTAGCTCACATATATCTTACCGGGGAAAATATTGATTTGAAGAAGCTGTTGCAATTATTTAAACAAAACAAAAAGATGCCTTGCAACTTTGAATAAGACCAGTATTAGCTAAACATTACTTCAGATGAGTGTATTAAACAACTTGGACGAATGTAAGAAAGTATTTTTTACCTGTTTACAAGTTACATATAAGCATATTCTTAGATTTGAACTTGAGTTATGGGCTTTATGACAATACTGATATAAAGTAGTAGATTACAAGCTTTGGTCTTATAGATGCTAGCTATCCAATGGAATGTACTAATGTAGTAATTATAATTTTTACGACACATTCCCACAAAATCAGAAGAAACGTAATGGGCTGTATAAATTATAAGATTCTGCAATCTAACAAGTTATCGAATTCAAGCCCAATATGGGTAACGTAATGTTCTTGAGTCTCTGACTTTCTTTTTTAGCTTGGAAAATTTATTAACTTAGAAGGAGCAGAAACAAAGTCGGCACAAAGAACAAATATATCTCCGGAACTAAGCCGGCGGAAAAAGTTTAACTCGTCAATTAGATTTTTAAAACAATTTTTTGAGTCTCTAACTTTCTTTTTTGTGTTTCTGATTTGGTACGTATATATAGCTAAAGTGTATATATGCACCATGCATGACATTCCGGCGTATCGTAGAGCTAATATATACAGTATGTTGAAAAACTTATAGTACCTTTTCGTGATTTTAATTTCGTTATTTATTACAAATTTACTTAGTGTTTGTGGTTCGGTTAAAATCTCGTCTCTTTCTTCCCTAAATTATATCGCTCATGAGAGTTCTATGTAAAACAAAACTATTAATTTCATCTGTACATTTTTTTTTAATTTTTCAATATTAACAACAAGAAAAGGAAAAAAAATAGAAATCAGCTGGCCTCGACAAAAACAAACTAGGAAAAGAATAAAAAGTTCTTTTTCAAAAAAAAGAAAGAATAAAAAGTAGAAAGCAAGAAAAAAGTGAACGAGAGGAGCTAAGAAACAAGACGCTAAAATGAGACAATTCCTTGGGGAGGTGACCATAAACCACACCAAATCTCCTTCTTTAGACAAAACAGCATATCCATCTCCTTTCGTATCATCATTATGGCTATATGCAAACGGTATATAGAGGACTTTTCTTTTCTTTTAAGCCTGACTCGTTCAAGAGCATATCTAGTGGTCTAGTGGCAAGATCTAATGATCTATTATTCGTACTTTAATATTCTAAACTACTTTTTTGAACGATGTTCCGATCATTTTCGTCCATGGATTCCTATCATTTACTGTTTATTTGATCTGTTGTTCATACATTCATCTGATGTCATTTATGTACTCTCCGAAGCTTCTAGACTACTTAAAATGCAAATTCTCTCATATGTTTTGCTATCATCTAGACACATAAAAAGAGCACTTAAAATAACTTATTCATTGTTAAATTTCCTTGAGAAATCAAAAATAAGCTTATATATTTCGAAACAAATTAACTACTTTATACATGTTTCGTTAAAATTTGTGCTCAAGCCATTGAGTTTAGATAAATATGTCTCTATATAAACATCAAGGCACTGTATTGCGGTTATTCCTTACATACTGTAAATAAATCCTAAGTTAATTACAAATATAGTATTGGTGGCCATTTTCTGTAATCACTATTCAGTATATAGATTAGAAATCGTACCTCTATGCTCTAGCTATGTCACTAATTACATCAGTATATGATTGACGTAAATGAGTTTTGCACCACTTATGTAACCAATTTAAAAAAAAATACATAAATAAGTTGCGTCGATATGTGTATATTACAACAAGGGTGGTAATAATACATCTAACCATTTTGATAAAATTTATTGTTAATCCTAGCTAATCACGTAGATAGAAGGAACCTAAAAGTAAGCCAATGTTCTGAAGATGTTCTTGTCATCTGATTTGCCTATGATTTCTTCACGGACGCCATGTAACTGCTGTAGTGCTGTCGTGTATAAACGTCATGATATATGCTTTAAGCAATTAAAGCTGAAGAAGTCAAACTCGAAATTGTGGCCAAAAGTGTGGAGCAGTAAGTCCATGCTACAACGTAGCAGACACAAAGACAAAAAATGGAAGACATGCACAGCTTACTAGGTTAAAATGAATGATATGTGGGAGAACCAATATACTTATTTGGTGTGTGAAGATGTTGCCCTCAATCATAATGACAAGAACGAGGAGATTTTAAATTTTATCCAATGGCATCCATATTTTATCAAATGGTTAGCTTAGGCTCCAGGGCTGAGATGCATGAAATGTTAGTAATCATGGGTGGTCTTGCAACCATCTTACCCGCCTCTTTTTCAAAGCCGGTTGATTTTACTCACGTATAAAGGGTCAAGAAAAAATAGATTAGAGTTTCATTCATATATGTATGCCAAAGTGAAAAAGGTAAATAAGATAGATATTGATTGTGTTTTACCTGGTAATAATTAGGGAATCTACTAATGTAGTGTTTATATCAAAAGGGTGGAAAAAAAAACAAAGTGAACCGAACCAATCTCAACCAACTGAAGCCAAACCGACCCAACCCAAACCAATGTTTATACCAAGTTATTTAGTTAGAGTTCTTGTCAATTTAAATGGTTTGATTTAGTTTAGTTATAAACCAAACCAAACCAAAAATTCAATATATTTACTTAACTAATAATATTAATTTTTAAACCCATTATATATTTAAAACTGAAGTATTTTAGGCGGCTAAGTTTTATAAAGAAAACTAATATTCTTTCGTATACTATATCATCTTCTAAACATATCTTTCTCTCACATATCTGAAAGATGAAAAAGAACTAACAAGAACTAGTCTTGGTGCAAGGAATATGTGCAAGATGCCAGTTAACCGGGGAGTGCCATCAACTGTGGTCACATGTTTTGTAAGAACTGCTTGAACGGTGAGTTCTTTGTTTATTTGAATTAAGCTTTAGTTCGATGTATAATTTCATTTTATGATTTTTTTTAAACGAGTTTTTTTAAAAAACTTTAAATGTTTGAGTTTGCATTTTTAAAATTTTATATTGACCTTGCATTATCGACGTTGGTTTTGTTTGGTAAATTACTTTTTGGTAACCAAACTAAAACCAAACCAAATTAAACTACATTTAAACCAAATTAAATATAAACCAAACCGAATTAACTTTGGTTGACTTTATTTAGAGTTTTAGACTTTTAGTATAACAAAATAAATCAAACTGAACTCAAACTTAAACCGAAGGCAAATTAAGTGTTAAGTCTGTGCAAATTTTATTTGTATCTGACATTTTTGTGATTACAAAATTTCAAAAATCGCTTAATACAATTTCCTTTTCTAAAAAAGTCAATGATACAAACAGCCGTATAAGTTGGTTTTATAAATTAATTTGTTTCATAACACATAAATAATGTTTCTTCTTAAGTATCTGCATCATATCGATTTTTATACTTACGTGGTGGAGTGTTTCTATGTTTTTTACCATCGGGATTTTATTTGATATTGGGGTGGATGAAAGTATTGACCAGTCATTATAAAAAATACACATAATGTAATCATTGTGGCATGTTTAGAAACATGAGGGAAAATGAGATAATACATTCATATATGTTTTAACAAAAAAAAAGGAGGTAATACATTCGTATATATAGTTAACTATTCTCAGTTGTAAATTAAGTACTTGATTATACTTTTCCAGGTTGATTGGCCTTATGAAAATCGTGTATTGCCCAAGGGTGTACACATCTCATTTGCGTATGATTTCTTCACGGATGCTATGTAACTGCTTTAATTTCATCGCCATGTAACAGCTCTAAGCAATTAAAGCTAAAGAAGTTTTATTCGGGTGGCCTAGTTCTGGATGCGGATAATAAAATACAAAACTAGCATACCCAAAGTTCTAGTCTTTAAAAACTATAACATATAATTTGGCATCGAAATATGTTTTAACACAAGCCTTAAAAGTAGAATAAGAAACATAAAAAATTTATATGACCACGTCACACAATAACATAACACAAAGAAAAGAGACAGTACTATGATTATATAGTGAATAAACAAAAGCAAGGTAAAATTTTATTACAGCAGTGGGCGTGCATGCATTCACAATTTTCACGAAACCAAACCAAAAGAATCTGATGTTGACGGAAAACAAAAGAATGGGTCACTTTTAAAATTTCTTCTTTTTAGTCAAGTGTAGTACATAAGGGTTGTTTGTGTCACATAAGGAAATATTGTACCACCCACTTGCAATATAAATAGACAACAAAGGTGATTAGAGACTAGAGAGCATCTCCATTGATCCAACTTGCAAACTCATCCGTTTTTAAATGTTATGGTTTCTCATAGTTATTAATCATTCAGTAATTAATTTCTTAACCTACTAGTAAGAGTAATTATTTAGCTTAAACACATAGCAAATTGCATTCGATCTTGTGAAAGCATATCTTAATTTTTTCAAAGGGACTATCGATAGGAAGTGTATATCAATCGCGCCTTGCCTTTCAACTAAGCTAATTTGGGAAAGAAAAAAGAAGCACTCACCTAATTATAAACCACAAATATAATCCCTTTTATGGGCAAACAGCACCTTCGTCTCCCTCTTCTTACCAGACACTTAAACCAACAAAAGGAATCGTTTTTTCTTTCTTGTAACTTTTATTTTTCTTCATTCCATAATCTCTTCTTTATAAAAAGTTACTCGTAAGAGTCTCAACATTTGCAGTAATTGACTCAGCATTTTCATTCATAACAGTTACACATGGAAAACTCAAACACTGCTTCAGAAGTTCTCTTTTGGTTTCAGAACCAGAAGCAAAGCCACAGCCATACGTTTCCTTCTTCTTGCTTTCCTCCGAGCTCTCACTCTGCTTTCTATGGTAATCCTCTGTTCCACCTGTCTAGGTTTTGTTTTTTTGTGGGTTTTATTAAATGTATTTTTTTTTTCATGAGAGTTTTCACCTTTGACGAATCTCCATCCCAAAGCTGCAGCCACCTAGAATAAAAGACTAGTTCTTCTAGTTTAAAAGAGTTTTGACCCCCAAAAAAAAGTGAAAAAGTTTGAGAACCCTCATGCGACAGAGATCAGATTCTCTTCTTACTTCTCTTGTTGAGACTCGTGTCAATTCAAACTCCTGAATCCGTTTTCGGTAACATTTCTTCCTTAATTCATCAGGATCTAGCTCGATGAGCAACACAGGCACTAACACCGTGGATGAGGAAGACGTCTGTGAGAGCTACAAGTTGCGAGAGAGAACCAAGAAACGGAAGCTAACACCAGGTCAACTGCGTTTACTAGAGGAGAGTTTCGCAGAAGAGAAAAGACTCGAACCAGACAGGAAACTCTGGCTAGCCGAGAAGCTAGGGCTGCAGCCGAGCCAAGTCGCTGTCTGGTTCCAAAACAGGAGGGCTAGGTTCAAGACCAAACAGCTCGAGCACAACTGTGACGCTCTTAGGGCTAGCTATGCTAAGCTCAAGACTGATAGGGACATTCTCTTTCTACAAAACGAAACCCTCAAGAACAAGGTACCTTTTTTTAAACACCAGTCCAATTTAGTAGAGACTCTGTTCAACACTTTGATTATTGATGAAAACATTCAAACAGGTTGCTCTTCTCAAAGAGAAGCTGAAAATGAAAGAGAGTCTTGAAACTCAGTCTATGGAGGCCGAGAAGCTTGGAGAAGAAGGTAGTTCGGTGAAAAGTGAGAATACACAGTACAGTGACGAAGAAGGGTTGGGGAATCAATACAGCTTCCCCGAGCTTGCAGCTCTCGGATTTTACTATGATCCAACTTTGACTGCATCAAATCTAAGGTTATGATAGTATAGGTCAACGTGCCGTGGGCATCAACATATCTCCTATGTTTCCTTTTTCTTTTCTTTCTTAGGGTTCATATTCTGGGTCAGTTTATGTTTTCATGGAAGGTCACAAAAAAAAACTTAATAAATAAAATATCAACTGTTTTGTACGTTAAAATCAAATATTTTCTGGGCATCGTAAGTTATGTCAAATTAATGTGAATTTTTATTAAACTGGACAAGATCATAAGTTTTTTCAATGTGAAATGAAAAGTTGTGCTTTTCAAATGATATATGACTGTCAAAATGCAGACATTCGCATAATATATAAACTTATATCGTATTAATTCGTATCTTACATTTTCAACTAGTCAATGATTGAGCAAATAGTAGAAAGGAGAATTGATTCATTTGAAAAGGACTTGCACTGATTATGATGATACCATTATTCCATATGCAATAATATACCTTTGGGTTGTGAAAACTGAAATAGACAGAACTCTTTCTTATCCGAATCAGCACCAATTGAGATGTCCAAAATTCAGCCACGTGTGCGGATCAGATGACTCAGTTCCAGATATTTTCATCATCCAGGTCAGTGTGGGACCATAGAACAAACTCCTGCACAAGTGCACATAGATTTTCTCATGGAGTTGGTAGGGTCAAACCCTCCCGACGATGGAGAGACTTCAGATTCGAAAGGAAGTTACTATATGGGCCTTGAACCATTGTTAAGCCCATTTAAATTAAGCCCAATATGTATTTGGATTCTATTTCTCTAAAAAAAGAAACTAAAAAAAAATTGAAGGACTCAAGGGAATTCGAGTTATGAGCCGCAAGAGAGACAAGCCCTACCCTTACCGCCACACACCGGCGCGAATTTCGAAACGCCGGCGACCGTGGGCACCTCCGTCATCGGAATTCGATGAGATCATCGACAAGCCGACCATAAAACCTCCGCCGCCACCGTCGCTGGTCGTTATCGGACTTCCCGCCAACTGTTCAGTCCTGGAGCTGAAATCCCGATTCGAGATCTACGGCTCAATCTCCAGAATCCGAATCGACAAAGACGGATTCGGCTCCGTTTCGTATCGCACCACCGAGTCAGCAGAAGCCGCCATTGCCGGTAGTCACGAGCCTTCTTTCGGTATTTCGATCGATTCCAAAAAGGTACTCGCTCGCTCGCTCACTCATCGATTTGAGCTAGCTTTCCAGTTAAATCACAAACCTCGTTGTGCAATTTTGGAATTAGAGTTTGTGAGATTTTGGGTCTACTTGTTGTGTTGCAGTTGCAGGTTGTTTGGGCGACGGATCCATTGGTAAAGTGGAGGGAAGGTGTGACGACGGTAGGGGAAGGAAAGGATAAAACGTTGCCGTCGTTGTCGTCTTCTTCCTCGAGGCTTCTCCGACCTGTGTTGCCGTTAAGAAAACATGGAAGAAGCAGTAGGCTTGCGTCGGCTATTGTCAACCCGAGAAGCAGTAATGCCGACGGAGACGGAAGTCCATCTCCGGCGAAGATAATGGAATTTAAACAGAGAGATATTGTAGCCTACGACGATATCATGTAAAATGTGTATGTTACGTGGATTTAGCAAAGCAAATCCGTACGATTTATTCTTTTACCTCAAGTTTTACATTTGAGTGTGTAATCTTGATCTATCAAATATCTTTGAGTGAGTTAAATTTTGTGTTACTTTTATATTATAAGATTCGAGCTTGAAATCCATAAACCTTGTCATAATTTCAATTAAAGTCAGCCAAATTATAAGTCCGGTGGAAAGCAGACTACACGTTCGGGTTGATTTTGTAGGCAGTTCAAGTTACATATGGGTTTGGTACTAATCAGTAATCACATAACCGATTTTATACAGTTACATATATCGTTTTAAACCAACAAGACAAGCAAGTAAAAGTCAACGTCAGCTTCACCTTGGACAACTCAGGTGTTTCGATTCCGAATCCGATTCCTTGGTAATAAAAAAGCAAACTCCCAAAACCCTAATAACTTTCACGACGGCATCGTTTCAGGCAGTTTGGTACTTTTTGTTCAAAATTTCGTCGTGAAGTCACGGCTAAGCGACTAGGCGGAGGATTATGGAGGTAGCTGATGAAGAAGAAGAACAAATATGGAGCTGGGGCGCTGGTACGGACGGCCAATTGGGAACGGCCAAGCTACAAGACGAGCATCTCCCACAGCTTCTCTCGCTGACGTCACTTCCTTCCATATCAATGCTCGCCTGTGGCGGTGCTCACGTCATCGCCTTGACTTCTGGTAAACCCCCAGAAAAGAAATTGATGTGATTTTGACTAATTCATCTTCTGATTAAACCCATTGAAGTATGGCTTTTTTTTGCAGTTGGTAAGGTGTTGACATGGGGAAGAGGAAACTCTGGTCAATTAGGACATGGGGACATCCTCAACACTTCTTTGCCAAAACCAGTATCTTTCTTTGACGACTATGTTATAACTCAAGCTTCAGCTGGATGGAGTCACTCTGGTTTTGTTTCAGGTAAACTTATAATGAAAGTTTTGTAAATGCTTAGGAGACAAAGAGATTGATCTCCCCTTTCTTGTGTTGTGTGTGTGTGTGTGAGTGTAGATTCCGGTTGTCTTTTTACATGCGGCAATGGCTCGTTTGGTCAGCTTGGTCACGGTGATAACATGTCACAAACCTCTCCAGCTAAAGTCTCTTACTTTGTTGATAAAAGAGTGAAGATGGTAGCTTGTGGTATGCGCCACTCACTTGTCTTGCTCGCAGGTAACCATCAATCACTCGTTTGCAAGAAAAGTGTTTGTTTTTTCTCCATTTGCATAACCTTTAAGTTCTTCAGGGAATCAAGTGTGCGGATTCGGATCTGGAAAGCGCGGACAGTTAGGTGTCTCATCAGACAGAACAAAGTCAGTGAATCTTCCATGTATTGTCTCTGGATTAGGTGAAGTCGGAGTTGTTCGTATATCAGCTAATGGAGATCATAGTGCAGCTATATCAGGTTAACCCTTGTGTCTCATGTACAGTCTCATCAATCGATTGAGTCATGTCATCATGTGTATCTTCTGCTAAACCAGTGTTCTCATGTGCTTGACCAGCTAAAGGAGAGTTGTTCAGTTGGGGAAGAGGATTCTGCGGCGGCCCTGATGTTCAAACCCCTCAGTGTTTGCCTTCATCTCTGTCTTTCAGAGAAGTTACTTTAGGATGGAATCATGCGTTGTTACTAACCGGTAATAACCGGGAATCATTCATCAATCAATGCCTTCAATTAGCTCCACTGAACTCATTCCTTTGTCCATTTGAACAGTCGATGGCGAAGTGTTCAAGCTTGGTAACACCCTTGATGAACAATCCGAGAAGCAAGTAGATTCCTCAGAAGCTCTGTTAGAGAATGTCCCGGATTTTGATGGAGTTAAAGTTCTGCAAATCGCAGCAGGAGCAGAGCATTCTGCTGCTGTAACAGGTAAATCGGGAGCTTGAAATTCTGTTCTCTCTCTCTCTCTCTTTATCAGACCTCTTCTCGATATGAACCAAACATTTGAATGTCTTGTCTTGCAGAGAGTGGAGAAGTGAAGACATGGGGATGGGGTGAACATGGTCAGCTAGGTCTTGGAAACACTGATGATCAGACTAATCCTCAACCGGTGAGCCTAGGAAGTATAGACCTGGGAACGAAGGAGATCAATGTGTATTGCGGAAGTGGATTTACATATGTGGTAAGGCGAAAACAACAGCTTTCTTCTTCACCAACCTCATCATAGATTATAAATTGGGTGTATTACATATCTCTAACGTGTAACATTGTACAATGCAAGAAGTCAATTGTTTACATGAGCCTTGTCAGAGGAACATAGTGGATTGTGTATCATATTACAATGATGGAAAATTTGAGATATACAGTTTTTTTTCTTACTTTCTTGTTTTGTCAAGATAAACAAAAAAAACTAGCTCTACTGTTTCCTTAGTTACCTTACCCTACATGAAAGTGTAACTCCAAAAGAAACTAAAACCCTACTGATTTAGCTCATGCTCCATCGATGGTGGGATTAGCTCTAAGATGTTGTTGTTGCTTATGACCTCAAGAGATGATGAGCAGATTGTTTTCATATCCACCGCAAGTAACAATAGGTCGAAGCGGGTCAACTTTCCACTGGCCATCAACTATGAACTTTATCTGTGAGGAAAAATGTAGCAAAAGATTAAGATTTTGGTTTGTCTCATGAAAAGGAGAAAAATGTTAGTTTCAGATACTAAGTTGATTGAATCATCTAACCTCATATTTGCCAGGATATAGCTTCAACGATAAAGAGAAGACTCCGTTCTCTGCTTTCTTCATTTTCCTCTGCTTGCAATATCATAAAACAAACTCAGCAGAGGTGAAGCAGTTTCATTTCATATGCCGAGATTAAGTTTGTGTATATGAACTGACCTGCGTAGACCAACCGTCAAAAGAACCCGTTAGTAGAACTTCTGAGGCTGATTTAGGCCATACAATGGATGTGGTTCGAAGCAACCGTAAAGCTCTGTTAGCATGATCTATTCTTCTCTGTTTCTCACGTACAATCCTCTGTGCGTCTCTAGATGAAAAAGAAGTTAACCAATGTGAGAGACAATAGCATAAAGCTTCCTATCTATCTATCTGCACATAACCAATGAGCAAAGCTTACATTATACCCATAGCCATCTTTCCTTCAAGAACAGCCAGCTTCGCCCGTGTAGACCGTAACTTATTCTGGGCATATATGATCTCATTCTCTTTGAACTCCCAATCATCACTGAGGTTCTCCAAGCTCCCAGAATTTAGCTCACTATCCTAAATGAAATCATAAACCAAAAATAAGCCAAATGAAACAAAATCACTAATAGAATCGCTTGCTCGCTTGTAAGTTTGATAGAAAGTCATGGGACATCAAACAAGTAGAACAGTGTTACCTTACTTGGCAAAACTTCATCAGGATGAGATCTAAGGGATTGAAGAACAGAAGAAAGTTCTGACTGGAGATTCTGAAGACGGCTTTTGATTTGAGTTGTATTTATATCTTCTGGGGAAGATGCAGTTTTATCTTTTCCATTTACGCTATCACCAGAATCCTTATTCGTATCATCCTTCTTCACAGCATCCAAACCACTGGAAAATATTTCAGCAGCTGTACGATATACACGTTTTCAGGCTTAGATCTTTATTTATACTATTTGTCAAGTCTTTATATGTAAATACAGAAGCCACTTCATACCTTCAAAATCTTCATCAGTGAATCCAGCTCTTCTCATACTCCATGTTCTCCATGTTTCTGATGTAGACGAATCGCTCAAGCCCCGCGTTCCTGAAACTGACTTGGCTTCTTGATACCTACTTTGTGCATATTCCCCTGATCTTCTACTACCATCGAGTTCTTGATATTCACTAGATGTCTTTTGAAAAAAGGTCACGACGTAAACAGTTTTATTCACTAAGATTCTTTAGCGTCGAGTGAACAGCAAAGTTTGTAGACAAGAAACATCATACCACAATCACCGAAGACCGAGGAACTAAACCATTTGTGGAGATATCATTCATGGCACCATTGCTTTCCCCTTTCCCGCTCAAGTTAATCCCTAGACTCAGATTCCTTTCTTTCTCCAATCTGGTCAAAATGCCTTCAATCCCACTCTCATTCTTATCATCTACTTCTCTGATAGAACAGAACCTACGTTAGCATTCTAAAACTTGATTATATGCATAGACCAATAAGAAGTGTAGTAAGAGGACTCACTCTGTTGAAGATGAAGGATTTGAGGAAAGATCAAAAGCTACGGTTTTATCAATATCTTGTGGTTTACGATTATGGAGCTGTTTCTCGACATGTAAATCCCGAAGCATGACGTTCTTGTTTACTCGGACCTCCTCGAGTTTCTCTTCTTCTTCTTCTTCCTCTTCTCTTTGCTCATCCAAATCCCATCCCATAGAAAGCCAACCACCTTGGTTTACGATTCTCTCCACAAGGTCAAATCTTCCAGAACGGATCAAATCCTTCTTGCTCGGAAACATCCCAGGTTTCTCCGAATCCTTCATGAACTCCAAAATCTCCGTTTCCAGATCCTTAGTTCCCTCGCTCTCCCATCCCAAATTCCGGTTATTGCACATCCGAGAGGAGCAGCCTTTCTTCCTCGGCTTGACCTCAAGAAACCCTAGAACAGGCCCACAACCTTTTCTGGCAGCTAAAAGACACAGCTTCGCCGAATAATTGGGATTAAAGGTGGAGAAAGAAGAAAAGGGCAAAAGGGTATCGGAATCAATCAGCGAATTCTGAGAAGCAAAATATGAAATGGGGCCTGAGTTGAGAGACACCATCGTTGGAGCATTTCGTCGAACACTTTGTGCGCTCTATTTAGCGGTTGTCCTCATGAAGAAGAAGAAGAAGATGGGGAAATGCCAAGCAAAGAACAAAACCCTTTGGGAAAACGTAAAACCGTACTCCAGAATCAATCAGCAAATCATTTCAATAAGAAAATCTCTCTAAGAGGAAGAAGAAGAAGAAAGTACTAAGAAGTCATGTGACCGCACAAAAACCAAAGCTTTTCAATCCGAAATATCTAAAGGAGTATGCTTTATTCGGACGTTAATCGAATTCCAAAGATCAAGTTGAGGTATCTTTCGTTAAGTTTCTTTAGATTCTCTCGTTTGGTTAATTTTTTTTAAACAATGGTTTTGGTTCCATTAGAAATTTTGGGGCGAAAAATCGGTTTTCTCTGCGACCATGGGCTTCATATATTCAGCCCATTCAGTCTCTGTGTACTAATTAGACAGATTACTATCAATCTCTCATGTTTTGTCGTAATTTGAACGGTATGTTCTGAGATGTGATTACTTATTTATCAGATCATACGTCGTGTTATTAGTGAAGGCTAAATAAATTTAACTCTAAGAGTAATTTTACAATAGACTTTAGCAAAACCAAATACACAGTACTCATGTTGTAAATTCAAATTAGTTCTTTAGAATTTCTTCTTCTCACGCACACACAACTATATGTTTTCCCCATGGTGTATTGATATCTGGAATGAACAGGGGCGAAGCTACATGTAAAGGTGGGGGTGCAAATGCATCCGTAATAATATAAAAATTAAAAAATTTACACTATGTTGTTAATCTGAAATAATTTATTTGGCTATAGTGTACCCATTATTATCTAGAGACCAGAGTTTGATGTCCCCACTATTATTGTTTTTGATAAATATTTTATTTATATATGTTATATTGCACACAGTCAAAAATTGGTCCGGATCCGCCCAAGTTGTGATTTGCATATACTTCATTACTTAATGAAAATTAGCGAGGAATTAAGATCTATCTACTGATCAATAACACTAAAATATAACACACCAACCATTTACATGATGGTAATGATAACTTTATTAGATGATGCGGTGATAACATTAGTAGAAACTCTAAAGATACAACACTCGTATACGTTTTAAACTTTCTTTTTTAAACTATGCCTCCATCAAACTAGACTAGACTCTATACTAGAGTCTAGAGTGATAATGTGCTCTCGTCTCTAATTATCAATAAGTGTCAAATAAAACGGGTAAATAGTCGCAAGTCACCTGCATTTTTTCTCATACTATTTTACATATTATGCTTTACCAAACCGCAGAAAGTACTATGATATTGTATGCTGATTAGTTTAGTAAATTTTTTTTTAAAAAAGGAGAAAACAATTTACCAGCTGTCTTTTTTGTGTCAAGTTACCAATAATAAACTTTACCAAATTATCATGTTACTGACTGTAATAACTAAAAGAACTTGGAAACATATTAAATAGTCGCAAGTCACTTTCTTAAAATTTTAAGTTGACAATAAACTAATACTCATGTTTACATTACAGTATAACCTCTAAAAAATAAAACGAGATACCCACTTATTACTAAGAACAAGAAAAAGAGATACACACATCATGCATTGTCCCCTTAGGCAGTCAAAATTAAAAAAAAAAAAGCGTTAGAGAGAAAGAAAGTAACTCTCTTCTCTCTCTCTCTCTCTCTCTCTCTAAAGTTATATATCTATATATAAAGACATCCTCCTCAGCTTCATTTTCATCTCTTAATTATTGTCGTGCCTTAGTCCGAATGTATGTATTCTTTCTCATACTATTCTACCCAAAAAAGCAAACGTATATTCCAAATTTTATTGTTCATATGGTAAAAAAACAGTCTTCTTCGTGTTTTTGATTGTAGCTTTCTTGAGATCATTGTGGTCATAACCGGAGATGGAAGTTTCTGAGACTTTGATGAATCCAAAAATATCGCCGGAGAAAAAACGTGGAGGCTGGGGAGCCATTTCGTTCATCCTTGGTAAGCTATTTTCTCGTTTCTTGCAATACTTTTTTTTAAAACCAACAACATGGTAAACGATATTCTTAATCCAAAGAAAAACATGGTAAATTATTAAATGGATACGAACATCTTCATCCATTCAATAAATTATGGCAGACCGACCAATTTAAAGACGCTTCACCGATCCCTTTCAATTGATTTATAGTATTATTAATGTAATTTTTTTTGTCTTATATTCATCTTTCTTATTTTTAGAGAGACTTACACAATGTAAAACTTTCTTATCAACTAGAATTCGGTAAATTTACATTTCGCTGTAGTTGTGGCCAACATCATGCTAATATCATGAGCACACTAAACTCATTAGCGACTAGCGAGTCATGCAATCCAATAATCAAAGAAAACAGTATCAGGAAAAATGACTCAAATTAAATAATATTTATAGTCGACCGTTTCATGTTATCGTGTTTGACGTGAAACTCTGCACATTAACCGCATGCATCTACACTTTAGCTTTTCAGATAGATCATGAGATTGTATTTCACGATCCGTCCAACATAAATAACCGAAACTATTCATTCATTAAATTAATATTGGACTATATGTTCTTTTATTCACTAAACGATAATAATATAAAAAGGAAATGAGACGTTGGAGAGGTTGGCATCAGTGGGGATATCGGCGAATTTCATGGCGTATTTAACCAAAGTGCTCCACATGGAGCTCGTGGAAGCTGCCAACGTTCAGAACTTGTGGAAGGCTTTCACCAATTTCGCTCCACTCCTCGGTGCGATCATCTCCGACGCTCACGTTGGCCGCTTCAAGACCATCGCTTACGCCTCTTTCTTCTCCCTTCTCGTACGTTCCTCCCTCTATATACTTTCTTCTACAACTATATAAACGATAATAACATTGGTAATAAGTTTGTCTTGAACTACTTGATTACTCTTATATATTTCGTAGATTAGTTTAGATTTTAGTTTTGGGATCTCTCAATTATAACTTTGGATTATATGACAAGATTGACAATGGAACTTTTTTACAAGATGGATTTTTGTTCGTTCACTTTTATAAATAATGCAAACAAAATCTGACGGTCTATGCACATCACTAAGCTAGACATAACAGCATTATATGCCGTTTTGTTTTCTTTATCTTTTTTTTTCAAACTTAGCTTATCAACTTTTATTACTTTAGCTATAACCATTTTGGTGTCTTTACACATCATTTCCTATTTAATGAAATTCCGTAACACAATGGAGTTGTAACGAATTATTATAAAGTTTTAACCAAAAAGGTGTATATGCTGTATAAAGTGTATTGAATTCAAACAGGGACTAATGACGGTGACACTCACATCCGGGCTGCATCAACTCCACCCACCACCCTGCAACATCGACCATCCAGTGAGTTGCGACGGTCCAAACAGACTCCAGCTCGGAGTTCTCTTGCTCGGTCTCGGCTTTCTCTCCATCGGCAGTGGCGGAATCCGATCTTGTAGCATCCCTTTCGGAGTTGACCAGTTTGACCAACGAACAGAGCAAGGCCTTAAAGGAATGGCCAGTTACTTCAATTGGTACTACTTAACTTTCTCCATCGTTCTCATCCTTGCGCATACCGTCATTGTGTACATACAGGACAATATCGGCTGGTTCATCGGGTTTAGCATACCGACCGGTTTAATGGCTTGCGCGATCGTTTTGTTCTTTGCCGGTATGCGGCTCTACGTGTACGTCAACCCGGAAGGGAGTGTTTTCTCTGGTATTGCTCGAGTCATCGTGGCCGCTCGCAAGAAGCGGAACATCGAGTTTCCGGTGGAGAATGATGGGACGGTCGAGTATTATGACCCGCCGGTTAAACCTGGCGTGTCATCCAAGTTACCCCTCACCAACCAGTTCAAGTAATATACTTCCAGAAACATTCGGTTTTGACTTTTTTTTTGTTAGATATAACTAAAGTTATAAAATGTATTGGTTGCGTTTAGGTTCCTCGACAAAGCGGCGATGATCGCAAAAGGTGATCTGACATCCGATGGTGTTCAGACGAATAAGTGGAGGCTATGTAGCGTTCAAGAAGTTGAGGAGGTCAAGTGTTTGATCAGAGTCGTTCCGGTTTGGTCTGCTGTAATAATCTCCATCGTTGCAATGTCCACACACGAAGCTTTCACAATCCCTCAAGCGACGATAATGGACCGGCACATGGGCCGGCACTTTGAGATCCCGCCCGGTTCCGTATCCGTCATCACTTTCATCACAATAGGCATTTGGGTGCCTATCTACGCCCGCGTCCTAGTCCCGTCCTTGTGGCGAATACGCAAGTTCAGGCTCACTCTCCTTCAGCGGATGGGGATAGGGATCGTCTTCGCCATCCTCTCCATGTTCACTGCCGGATTTGTGGAGAGTGTGAGACGCACACGAGCTCTCGAATCCAAGCAAATGTCAGTGTTTTGGCTAGCATTGCAGCTGATACTGCTGGGACTCAGCGAGTCGTTTCTTTTCATCGGACAGATCGAGTTCTTCAACAGTCAGTTCCCGGAACACATGAGAAGCATCGCGAACTCGCTGTTTCCGCTCTCGTTCGCCGCATCTAACTATGTAAGCAGTCTGCTGGTGACCACCGTGCATAAGTTCTCAGACTGGCTGAACAATGACATTAATAGAGGGAAGCTAGACTACTACTTCTATCTGATAGCCGGTTTGGGTTTGGTTAACCTTGTTTACTTCTGGTACTGTGCCAAAAGTTACCAGTACAAGACCGGTTCACAAATCGAAGATCTCGAACAAGAAAAATCTTTACTAGACTAGAAACGAAACCATCTTACATGGGATCCCTAAAAGCTTGTTCGGATATATGATATATATATGATTATCAGAAATGGCTCTCTTTTTTTCTTTTCTTTTTTTATCAGAAATGGCTCTCATGGAAAAAGAGATCACTAATACTTCACAAGTCATGAGACAGTAAAATTGATAGCCACAAGATAAAAAAAGACAAAAAGTTTCATAACAAAAACAGAGCAATTGTCAAAAGTTCCAAACCCAAGATATAAGGCTTATATAAGTCATAGCCGAAACGAACGAAATCGAAGGAGACGCAACCAAGAGCCAGAAGTTCAAAAGCTTAAGACGCGACAGCAACATTGGAGTCTTGGTGGTTGTTGTATGAATGGCCATTTCCTCCACCACCATTACCACGTCCCCTTCCTCTGTTGTTGTAGTAGCTCCTTGGGTAACCGTTTCCACCAGACTGGTCATAAGACTCATACCGACCATTCGAGTAGCCACCGCCGCCACCACCTCGACCTCCCCGGGCATTAGAGTAGCCTCTTCGAGAACCTCGACGACCTCTCTGGTTCTGGGAGGATCCACGCGGCACATACTGTTGCTCGTAGTCTCTCTTAGCATTCTCTGATTTCACTTGAGTATAGCCTTGTTCCTGTTGTCCATGGACCACCTCTCCTTCTGTCACTGACTCATCCTTCAAACCAAAAAAATATGTATACATATCAGATTTAGCCTCGACCAATTCACTTGACGATGACTAGAGCTCCACATTTCACTGGCATACCTTTTGATGCTCAAATTGATCATTAACAACTGATTCCTGTTCTTTGCCGTTTGAAGCTTCTTCTTCCTGCAACGGAGAATATCAGTCCCATAGAGAGAAAGAGCGTACAATGGGAAATTGCTCAAGAGAGCACATGGGAAGGATGTATCTTCTCTAAATCACATATCGAGACACTCAGAAACATGCCAACATTCACTACCAAGCTAATTCTAACCAAGACAGAGTTCTCAAAAACAAAGAGAACAGTGGAACAATCAAATAAGCAAAAATGAAGAATCTGCTTCTCTATACAGTCCAAGCAACTTAGCATAAAAATGATCTCTAACACATCTCACTCTTGCATCATTAAACTTCACACTAACTCCAATAAAATCCCACTAACCGGTTTAAACACGAAACAACGTTTCACAAACAAAGAAAGAGGATTCAGAAAATCAATCAATTTCATGATCAGTCACCATTGAATTCTCTCTACACCTCAAAACGTAATCTCATCTCATCTGGAATTGAAAAAAAAAAGGCAAACCTTTTGTTGGTATTGCCCAGCTTGAGCTTCAAGGTCTTGGAACGAAGCGTAGTTACCAGCTGCAGCCGCCACTTCATCCGGAGCTCTCATCTCCGGTGTGGTAGTGAAATATTCCAAACCCATAATCTTCTTCAATTTCTCTCTCAAAGAAGCATCTGAAAACATAAATCTCAGTAAGTAAGCCAACACATGAGAAATTTTTTTTTAAAAAAACAAATCTGTAAAGGAAACAGATTTCGGATGTCTCTCACATGAAACGTTGCAGTTTGATTCGATCGGCTGATCGGAATTAGCTAGCCATAGCTTGGCGTGCTCGACGCAGCGCTCCAAGGCGTTCTTGTGAGACAAGCTTGAATCCGCCGGCCTAGACACCATCATGCTCCAGAGCTTCGAGATTGAATCCAAATCGTGATCGCCGAGCATATCCGTTGCGTCGTCGGTAAAGCGATCGTAGGTCAAGCAGCATCCTCTCTCGTGTGACCTGGTCCACATTATCGAGGTGAACTCGTTCTGCGACTTCACATCGAAGAGGGAGCCAAAGTACAAGAGATTCACCAAATCATCTAGCTTGGCGCCGCCGTCGCTGCTCGCTTCCTCGGTCACGTTGCTCTCGACTTCCTTTTGCTCACAGGCGGTGGTCTGATCGGGGGAATCGCGGCGGTGCTGAGTAGCGAGGCTGATTTCTTCTGAGACGGCGGCGGAGAGAGGAGCCCGGAGCTTCTCAAGCTCTTCGATAAGGACGACGACGGTTGGTTTCGAGCGGAGGACTTCCTCTTGCTCCTTGTTTAGGGTCTTCCCTCGAGAAATCGACTCTTCCATCTGAGTAATTCGGTTGTATTTCTTGCGAAGGGCACGGAGACGCTTGTTGATGAGCGCCATGACTGGTCCTTCACTGGCGTCCGAGGAAGCAGTAGCAGTAGCAGTAGCAGTAGCAGTAGCAGTAGCAGCCATGGTGTTAGATTTATGTAGGAGATCGATTTGACCGTCTGACAAAATCACCACCGTTGAACAGCGGCGGCGGCGGCGGTGAAGAAACAAGAGAGAAAGAGGAGGATGGTTAGGGTTTTCAGAGAAATGGGGATAAGCTGAAGCGTCTGATTTTCGCTGTGATGGTTGGGTTCTTTATATATTTGATGATAAAAATGAGAAAAAGATAAATCCAGGAAATGAAGCGAGATTATCCTAATTTTCCCAAATAAATTAAAGCCTCGAATCAATTTTCAACTATTCGGGGTAGATATATTTCCTTTTGGATTATATTTTCTAAAAATTATTATATTTATCAATTTATGAGGTTCTTGGAAATTACATAGGAAAATACAAAAACTGTTTCATACAAATGGAATAGTAAAGTGTTCCTACAAAATTCGTACACTGTGACAGTCTTCTTCTAAATACTAAATACCAATAGTGGCATATATATATATATATACATATTTTATCATCAAATATATATACATATATTTGAAGCATTTCTTGCGAAGTCTTCTCACATCCTCTTTGAAGCATTTTTTACCATTAGTGATTTTATAAAAGTCATGCGCTTACTTCTCCAAGTTTCAACGGCCTGATGCTGAAACATTTGCATACATACGCCTTGCGGAGATGTGATGTGGCTTGACATTTTCGGTACATAGAGTAACATATACTCTTAAGATAATTTAACTCGTCTCCATTTACTAGTTTGTGAATTTTTAAGAGAAAATAACAATATTCATTCATGACTAATGTTTCCTCTCACACAAATGAACTCCTAAAATCCATATATTCGTTTACAAAGAAATCGATTATTTACAAACAAAAAAAAACAAACTAGTACAATATCCCTCCAAAAAGAATGTATCAAGTATTTTCAAAACTCTTACTATCTTTTTTGTTTTCTTCTTACAATCAACTCTTACTAAAGATGAAGCAATACTCAAGTGCGACGCCATTTATCTCCGTGACCACGAGTCTTGTACTAACTACCAAACTCTTATTTATCTTCTAGACTTGATTATTAACGTTCATATCATATGCTTCACCGAACACACTTCAAATTAAATATAGTGAATATACTACTCACACGTCTCTAGAGGGTGACGCTTGAAGGGAGTAGAATGACATGCAATGTGCCGTTGTTTGGGGGAAGTTGCAAACGAAGAGGAAACAGCTTGCCGTTTAAGGGACTCCGTGTGCACACCACAGCATCCTCCAAGCACGTTTCTTCTCGCAGCGTCTGAGTCAGCTCCGCCACGCTGTTTCCTTTAAACGTGAAAGCATATCCAACGGTTGTTTCATCCTCCACGTGTCCTTCATCGTCAGCGATATGGTAGTATATGGTTCGCCCATCCGATTTCGGCGGTGACTCAACCGACTGGTCAAAATCAAAAAAGAAATGTCACGACGGTAATTTTTAACAAATTAAAAGGGCGTTTTAGTAAATTCGAAAAGGAATTACTCACATCTGGATCGGATCTGTCCGAAAGAGAAGACGGAGTCCTCGAATCCGACAGCGGAGAATACGACGGCCTCCTATGGGGCGGCGGAGCCAGCGGCGTCTTTGGCGATGGAGTCTCCTTCTCCGCCGTAAATTGTGAATCGGTCAAGATCTCGACGACATCAACATCCCACGAGATAGAATCCTGAGTCGCCGACAAATGAGGATTGTCGTGCGTAACGGAGTTTCTCCAAGGAGGAAGTCCACCGTTGGCTCGGAGATAGTTACCGCTCCTCGTCCTGAGCTTGATTTTAGATCCTTCTCTCACCGGCTCCCACTCAACAGACGAATCGAGCCGGCTCGGTTTTAGCTGAATCGCTTTCTTCCCCGTGGCTCCGAGCAAGAACCGCTCGTTCGAAGCGGTTAGGTATTTGCCGTAACAGCTTTTAAGACGGATGACGTGAAAGGAATCGCGAACCGGTTCGACGGTCCATCGAGCGTTTTTGGTAGATCCGTTTCTGTCTTGTGTCACTGTTTCTTCGTCGTCGTCCGCCGTAAGATACTTGTTGTGGCTGTTACGCAAACGAATCGCTTTCGCTTTCTGGAAAAACTCCATTGCTGATACTGTTTCCCTTTGGTTGAAGCTACTCGCCTTCTGTAAGAAAATAGCAAATGGGAGTGACTGTGTCAAATATAGAGATTTAAGATATGGTTTGTGTATTTATTATATCCTGGTCTAAATAGGCTTTCGCGGACACGGACAGAGAGAACTGTTTTGTAATGGAAGAGATCTTGAAAAGTCAGACTTTGCTGACTGGATTTACCGCGTTTTTGTTTCCACGTCAGCATTATATGTTAACGAGTGTTAAAAAAAGAAAATGAATGTTGCATTTTCTGTTAGTGCTTTGAACTTGTGTGTGGTTCACGTGTTTGGGATTTGTTACTTTGTAACGCGTCTTAATGTTTACATTTTTGGGATTTGTTACATGGAATTCAATGAATTAGTCGTGATGAGAATCCCAAGACATCAACTATTCAAGACTAAATCAGGATTAGATTGTAAACTTCTTTTTTTATATATTTTTAAGGAGTAATTGTTAAACCATAAAAAATAAGTTAAAGCTTGAAAAAAGTGTGATAATTAGCTACATTTGCTAAACTTCAATTTGATACATATATAAAGTAGTATGAAACAAAAATGATGATGGAGAAAGGTAACAAATTTTCCTAATAAAGTAGTAGCATGTTTTTTTTTTTTTACTTTTTTTTTTCTTAAGGCATCTAGTTATGGAGGTTTTATGTTATTGATAGATCAAAAACGAACTCTCAAGTGTTGTATTCTCTCGATTTTGTTTTCAATTTAACTCAAGTTCCATTATGAATTTAATACTTGATAAATAGTACTATGTGATATAAAAATTTCAGCATAATGAAACTATGCATAATTTCTAGCACAATGAAAAAGATATCTCACAATTATAAGGCCCTCTTCTGCCAAAAATGTAATGGTGTCCCTATGCCATAAAAGTATGAAAACTTTCAAGCGAATATGTAGAGAATAGAATGTATAAAAATCGCTTGCCCGCAAGAAAGACCAAGAGGAAATTCATGAGTGTGGGACTCTGCTTCCTTTCCTTTGGACCCATCAACCATTACCATGCTCCATCACGAATAAATCATAACTAACACCAACATTTTTACCTTACTTTTTACAACGTGTCCTATGTTAGTTGGTATTAGATGTATTTTGTAAGAAGCCAGTAGGTATAAGTTTTTTATTGTTGTAAGAAAAGTATGTTTTTTTTCCTTCCTAATCAGCCTATTTGAATCACTTTTCTAAGAATTTTTACTGTCACTTACAGTTAGAACTTAGAAGTTTTACAATGAGAAAATGATTCTTCAATCATTGTAACTTTAGTTGGATCTAAGTGTCATGTTTTCAACTGTCATCGTTTCTACAGTATATTATAAAATATAAGAAGCTCTTCTAAGTAAACTAAACATTTGATTAATGTAAAATTCAATAAAGAAATATGAAATATTTTGGTGCTATTAGGTTGGTGGAACGATGTTTGTGCTTGTGGAGCATGATATATCTTAGTGGAGAAGAAGAATCATATATGTCCACGTATTTTTTTTTTTCTTTCGAATTTCCCGAATTATTTAAATACTAATACGGGAATTAATCCCTATCATTTTTTTGTCCATGTAATGTGTATGCCAACCAATTTCAGATTTACAAATTGACTAAGTTCAACTAACAATAATACCCGAAACTAAGAAGGGAAAAACAATCAATGCACATTGTAAATTAAAACTGATAATTAAAGACTTAGTCAAACTTACCGGTTTTGGGGACCATCTCGGAGACATAGAACTTAAACCAAGAGAAGAGAACCGACCAACACTCTTCCTAGACACGGCAGATGCTGGCGAACCGGGTTCTGATCCGATACCCGACCCGGAGAGATGTGAAGAAACCGGAGAAGAAACAGAGCTCTCATCTCCATCAGACATGTTTTCGAGATCAGAACCATCAACAGTGATAACATCCCAAATCAACCAGTTCTTGGTCTTCGCCGTATGAGGCTCGTCGTGAGTAACGGAGTTTCTCCACGGTGGCGTTCCGCCGTTAGCCCTCATCCATTTGCCGCACCAGGATTTTAGCTTCACGGAAAACCCATCTCGCTCCGGTTCCCACTGTGTTTGCCAATCCATCGGTTTGTTAGACGACGGCGTTTGAGTCACCTTCTCACCGGTCATGCCTAACAGCAACGGTTTATTGCTCGCCGTTAAGTACGTGCCGTGACAGCTTCTTAATCTTAGCAGATTCGGTTTATCGACGACGGTCTCCACCGTCCAAACGGCTCGCCGTGAATCTCCTTTGCGGCTTTGACGGATGGTTTCTTGGTCGTCGTCGGCGACTAAAAACTTGTCTAGGTGGCTCCGTAACTTGACGGCGTTTCCTTTGGTGAATAACTCCATTTCTTTGAGGTTCGAAGAAGAGACAAAAAGAAATCGAAATCGAAATCGAACAGAAGATTATTTGTTTTGTGAAGGAAGGAGAGACAATGGGTTTCTTTTGTTGGTTGTATAGATTAATGTTAAATGGGACTTAGAAAGGGAACCTTGGAAGTTAATATTCGGAGGTATTATTCAGCTTGTAATTATTTAGAAATTTCCGATAACAAATGAAGAAACGACTAGTGCTAAATATTTAAACAAACTGTGAATGTTGGAAGGAAAGATCAAATAGTAAAGAAATGTAATATTTAAAAATAAATAATATATTGCGGAAGGTTCCACCTACGTAACTTATTGTATAGTATTTTGTTTTTACCTCATGCGCGTGAAGTTGAAGTTTTCGCAAGAAAATGTCTTGTGTTTGGGCTTCCATCTACACCGATATCCAATTATAAGGCTTTTATAAATGTAAATTGAAAATACTATAATTTTGTATCAAAACCATATACATTAAGGAGGAAAACATATAATAGATCCATCATGCTCATCTAATATTTGATGAAAGACTAGTTAGTTAGTTAGACTATTTTAAATGTAACTCCGCAACTTCATTATTGGCTTAAGAGTTTATATGTTGTGAAAAGAATGTTCGTATTGTATTTTTAAAACCAACAAAGACGACAATAGAAAAAGAGAGGAGGTAACTAAATGTAGTGCGCGTGGGCTATGTTTTTATGTCTTTTTCTTCATAAAACAAAAAGTCAAGAGGAAACTTATGAATATTTTGTGTAGAATAATAATTGGATTCGTCCCATTTCTAAACAGTTGCATACATAGATAGATACACCACATCACCGTATCCCGTAGGATACGTGTGCATCATATCATTCTCCCAAGGATAAGCTAAAAAGTATGAATATTAAAGTTTGACCTTTTTATTTTTGTTTTTTCGTCAATATGTCCTATAGTTGAGTTTGTGTGGCCGACGTCAGGATTTGTAAGAAACGGTCTTAGTTTGCTCTTCCCACACCAAATATGTTCTTCTTCTTAGAACTCATGGAAATTTCAAGTTTTATTAGGCGATGCATCATGCATTTTCTCTCTTTGTTCAAGTGATGCACCATGCATGTGATGATAACTAACAAGTCGTCTCAACACTATTTTTTCATATATATTAGTTAATTTACACAAATAAATTAGACTTTTGGTTTGTATACATGTTGCCTGTAGAGAAGATGATGGAAGTTCTAGAAAGTATATACAGTTGAAGGAACGTAGGAATCACGTTTCAAAAGCACCAAAGTAATTAATAATATAGGTATGTTCCCATGTTGCAATCGAGCAGAAATTAATTTCTATATCCACAGCTTCAAGATCCATTAACATAAACGGTCATTTGATAAATTCTTGTAACAATATTTACATATATGGACAGATAAAAGAGATGATCTTACGAGAATGTCCATCATTCTTGGGGTCAAACCGCAAATTTACATAGAATGTCAAAGTCAACTTTTACATTGACCATAACGATTCAAACTTATTCAACAAGGCGCAACAGCATGTCTAGAAGATAACATGACGATGCCGTTTTGGACGTTTTGCCGTATATAATCAAGGAATCTTGAAATATGAAGATTCCAGCGCCTTCGCTTTATCACCTGCAGTAATTACAACAGCGTCTGACTTGCCTTCCATAGCGTAACTCTTCTCCTGTCACGAAAACGTCAACGTTTCATAAACCGTACAATTACAAACAAAGATGCATCCATCTTGAATTAACCATTCCCGGTCATATAAACGACTTCAAGAATTTACCAGCAAACGCCACAAGAAAGGAGCACCATCTCTCTCCTTTATCCTCCTCTCCAATACTTCAATCGCTGCAAGTCCGAAACACAGAGTTAGCTAAGTAAACGAAAAAAGAACCAAGATGAAGAATAGTGTTTTTGGGAGTGTACCACTTGAAGATTGGCCGGTGAGTAAAAGCAATTTGTACCATATTTCGTTAAAAACATCTATCTGTAAATCCGATGCTCCAATCATCTATTTGATCACGGAAAAGGCAGAGATCATTTGCTGTGTTTTCTTTAATAAGTTTTGGTTTGACATGTTGTCTTATTGATGCCAAGAACATGCGTTACCTTATAATCAGCTGCGTCAAAGTCTGGACCGAGCAGCTCTAGAGCTTGTTTGTAGTTGCCTTTTCCGTATTCACAAACAGCTTCAGCAAGCTGATTTCAAAATCAAGAAGAAAGGATCTCATGAGATATATGATAAAGAAGTAAAAGACCTCAAAAAAAGTCCCAGTAATTATTAGTCAAGGATCAACAAGAAACAGACCAGAATCGCTTTCTTCATCAGCTGTTGTTTCTTCTTGCTCATATGAGATGTTCTGTTAGAATTATAAAAAGTCTAATGATAAGTCAAAAGACAAAAAACTTTCTTTTTTAAAAAAAAATTGCCACAAGAGAGAAAGCAGTACTGACCGGTACTTGAGTCCCTCGAGCAATACATGTGCTCGTGAAGTGTTTCCAACTTTACTCAATGCCCAGATTGTTGTAATATCAAAAAGCCATTCCTGATACCACATCGCCTGAAGATAGAAGTTGTGAAAATTGTAAAAGAAGAGCAAAATAAAAATGGACAAGGCAAGCAGATGAATCACTTACTTGATCAGTCAAGCAGTCTGCCAACATCTCTAGTCTGTCTAAAAAGCCATCTAGCTTATCGCGTGTGTCCAAGCGCAACAACAAACCTAGAGCATCCATATAAACCTGAAGTTGCATATTACAAGCATAAGAAGACGTCAGATTGCTAATGGAAAGTTTCACGTTCCATTTTTAGAAGGGGAAAGAAAAAAGATAAGGGGGTTACGTCTGCAGCCACAGCATCGTCTTTCTCCAGTTCTTTACACATCTGATGATCATATATTTCTTGTACCTTACTCAAAGGAGAACCTCCTTCCAAGTAACAAACAGCTACATGCCACCAGTTATGCGAATACCTAATCAAAAATGTTTCAAATGTTTCGTCTTTAATTAACAGGTGATTCCAGAGATAATGATCAGAAGAGGTTTCTAGAACTTGTTCGAAAAAATGCTGGTGTACCTTAAGGAAGAGCAAGAATCCCATGAAGCTGAGCATCCTTCCATGAACTCTACTGCTTCCTTGAAACGACATTCAGTTTGAAGAACATGACACAACTACCCCAAAGAAACAAACGAAAGCTTGCATATGGTTAGATGAAATATAACCAATTAACAACAAGAGACAGTGGATAGTAGTAAAAACATACGCAGTGATGAGCCCAAGAGTCGTTCTTGTTGATCTCATAGCCTTTCCTAGCAGCTATCTCAGCTTCCGCCAATTGTCCAAGCTCCAGTAAGGGGAATGCAAGCATACCATAAACATAGTCTTGCTCTTGATTCTTCCGTATAATCTGCCAAAGTTTGCATGGTCAGTGAAGTAAATTAAAGATTCCTGGAATTTGAACTATAAATCAATTTGGTCTACGTTCGAAGTACCTTCTGCAAAAGAGGCAAAGAGAGATCAGGTCGACCCATGTAGAAACACAGAATCTCTACTCTCTTCCAAGACAGCAAATCTTTGGGAAACCTCTCCAAGAGCTGCATAACATAAAGAGTTGTTGTATATGATAGTTAAAGTAACTTCAAACAAAGGAAAGATATATCATACTACTAAGAACCAGAAGCCAAGGAAACATCCTAACCTTAGAGTGTAACACCAAAGCCACATCGTCGTCCATATTCTCAGAGATCAAGTAACTAAGAGCTTCGAAAACTGCTTTCTCATACGGTGTGGCTTTCCCCTAAAAGTAAAAAACAATGAATTTCAGATGTCAACGACACCAAACTCATCAAGTATAGCTGATTACAGACAAGTGTTAGAATTTTTCATTGGCTTAGAAAGAGCTATAGACATTAAAAGAGGAAACAAGGTAGAGCTTACAAGATTGGATTCTGCAGCTCGAGCATAGGATTTGGCTCTGGCGAAATCAGAAGAGCTAAGGTAATGCGCAGCCAAAATGTTGCCCAAAACACAGTCTTTATCATGAAAGGGAGCTTCTAGAATCACCTTCCTCTCTCTTCCATAGCCAAGAACCTTCACCAGACGTGGAACAATGTCAAAACCCAAAACAGGGCTGAGCCAAAAGAGTGAAAAAACAGAACAAAAATCACAGCTTTAAGGCAAAATAAGCAGAATTCAATCAATGACGGTAAATGAAAATCCTCAAATCGACATAATCAATCAATCCTCTTCGATAGAACATCTCTGGGTTTTCAAAAGGAGACAAATTTACAAAAACCCGCAACATCGAATGGTCAAGAAGAATCAAAGAACAGAGATATTGTAGCAAAATACAGTTCTAATGTAGGACGAACCTGGTGAGAGTAGGAGTTAATGGCAGCGATACAATCATCTGAAGATGTATTGACCTCATAACCCCACCAAACACATCTGCTTCCTCTTCCCGTCTCATGGATTTGACTTTCGTCTTCTTTCTTCTGAGTACCAAAGATACGAAACAGAGAGCGTGCGTGAGGCTAAATCGATACAGACCAGACTACAGATTTTATGTTTTGTTTTGTTTTTGTGACAAATGTAATGAAACCATTTTTTCCATTTTCCCTAATTATTTGAATAATTTCTAAGGCTAATATTGTACTTGAATAATTTTCTAGAATGCCTATTTTGAAAGAAAAAAAAATAACAGAAACTAATTTTAGTCAAATTTAGCAACAATTTTACATTAATTAAAATATATTTGAAGGAAAAATATTAATTTGTCGAATAATTTAATATAGTAGGCAATGTCAAAAAAACATAAAATTATAAATAAGAGTGGTTCGAAGACATATTTTTTTTTGGGTATGAATGTTAAGATAAAGTTCGAAGACATTTTATTAATACAGTAATGAATGTTGGAATGGAAAAAACGGGTGTTTAACTTAAATATATGTTTGATGCTTTGTTTTCAGTGATAGATCATTAATATTTTCAACTCTATATAGAAATAGTTGACATGATTTGCAGTTGATATATCATGTAACTTACAACTTATTCCGAGTTTAAAATTCACAGATAAAAGAACCTTAGAAATTTGGAATAAAACGAACCAAATCACCAAACCAAGCAAAAAAAAAGGTGCCCTTAAAAGCCATTGCTTCATGAGCCTAAGCAAAGGACATGATCGATCATGCATGCATCTGTTATCTAATCTTCGTATAAGTAACCGAACGCCAAAAGAAAAGATAAGAGAAGGCAAATGAAATCAGCCAAAAAGACATGAACCACTGCGCAAGTGAAGAAAGAGCACTTACCATGCATTTCAAAGACATGGACACGTCCTGAGTAAACAAACATAAAGCCTTCATTGATAAATCCAGAGAAGAAAAATCAAAATGAAATGGATTTGACAGAAACGTGATAACACCCGTTTAGTATTTATAAACTATCTTGGATGGGCAGAGAAAGGTGGCATAGCTTTGTGGATATACATGACATGAAGGGATTTATATCCAAATAGTATTTCTTTAGAATTTTCCAAAGTACGCGTATAAATACTTTTATATTAAAAACGTAGGAATAAGGAGGACTATTACAGATTAAGCAATTACTTGCAAATTAAAACCATGAATCCGTACCCTATCCAAACTCCAAAGCAACCCCATCTCCAGCACATTCATATGCAAATGTTTGGATTTCGATCGGGTCTCTTTAGAAACAGGCAATTATATTATTCATTCCACTCATTTTATTTAATTTATTTTATATCAACTAATTTATTTTATTCAAATATTTATTTTATAATTTAACTTATTAGATACTATTTTTTTGTCAAGGATTTTGATCCACAAGGGTTTTCATTTTTATTTTGTTCGTTGTTATTAATTCCGGTATTTCCCACTTTTTCACTTATTCTTTTATAGAACACTATTATGTTGATCGATATGGACTTAAGCATATGAGAAAACTAACATATATTTTGGATATAAATATTAATTGATTACTCTCTCACATATCTCAAACTATATCAAAGATATTATATTCTTGGAATGCAAAGAACTAAAATTCTGATGCATACCATACCAGTTGGATAACAATGTAACGTCAGCTATACAGTTAACCTAATGTTGTGGCTTTTAAAAAATTTAAAGTCACGTCTTCTTATCTTTATTGAAGAAGTGCATCTTTTGCGATTATTATTTATCTTCTTTCTACACCCTTTAACAAAATCATTTAAAACAAAACAAATATCTCATTATTTCTTTGTAATTAAGATTATCTATACGATCTTATTTTATTACTCTGTCTGATGGGATTTTTGCGTTCTTCTTTCTAAAAAAATTATGGATAAACAACAAGATAGTAACAAATTTTTAGTTTAATTTCTCAGAAAACAATCTTTTAGTTTTAAGTTTGTTAACTATTTTACTTTCTTTTTAGATAGAAAAATTCCTAAATTATTATCCTAAATATAGTTCAATTCTCGACTGACTTTTCTAGTGACTTGACGTCTTGATCGACCTATGGGTCAAGTAGATCTCGATTGTGAAACCGGCTATGCAAAAAAATTGGTCGAAGTCAAATAAACTAAGATAACAAAAAATTGGGTTGTATCTACCTATTTTTATCCCCTTTAACTAAGGTTTTTCAAATGGAGTACGAAAACGTTGGAATCTTTATTGTAAACATGTGGTTTGGTGCATGTGATCGTAATGATAATTGTGAACTCCATAAATAGTTTTTGCGATGAAGATAAACGACATTGCCATAATAATCATCAAACTTCCATTTGTTTTCCGATTTTGAAAGTGCTTCATTGGCTTTGTTTCTTCTTCATTAGTTCTTGTTTTATTTTATCTATTATACATTTGTTTTTCTTCGCCACATTCATCGTATTTGGAGCTTCATTCCCATGATTTTTCGATGCCTTCTTCATCAAGACTCCATTTATAAACCATCCATTCAATGAAACTTTTTGGTGTATATTATTTTTATACATATTCTATGAATTTTAACTTGTATTTTGGACGAAAATGTTAATCATATTTCTGTTTTTGTTTAGCATTTTGCAGACTTTTTAATTGATAAAATATTAGAAAAAAACTCGTTACCAAATATCAAAGCTTGTATATTTTAGTTTCATGAGCCACATTTCGAAAGTTGTTGTTTCCATATTTTCAAAATGATCAAATGTCAATTTTGTTGTAATTGATGTTATATTTATATATTTACAATCTTAAATGATAAATCATATTACAACTAGAATTAGTTTTTTTCACCTTTCAATATTTTTTAAAAATAAAAAGATAACTGAACTAAACCGAGACAAAACTTAAACCACCAACGATCGCAAAACATGATTGGACTTATATTGACTCCATATGCTTCTGAAAACATGTAACTTGTAAGCACTTGTTCACGCCATGGGACCAGTATTTCAGTCTATTGGGGGCCACCTTCAAATTGGGTCAATTATTTACCAGTTTCATTTGGCAGTTTGATTATTGCATGCATATTCTTGGAAATAAAACCATGCAAATTATACGGGTTATCAATAATCTGTCAGGAAAATGTAGTCAACTTTCAAAAATTGGTTCACTATTAACTCATAGTATTATTTAGTAGTAATGCACATTTTACCTTACCATACTCATTGTAAGTTTAATGTCCCTCTTGACTTTTATCATATTCATCTTTTTGAAACTATTCATTTGAAGACCATGATCCCCTTCAATTTTCAATTAAAATTTAACAAGCCTAACTTTTTTGTTTGTTGTTGTTGTTTGGTCAACCGTTTCTTGGTTTAATCCACAAGCCTAACTTTCATCTCAAATAAACTTTAACCAGCAAATCTTGATAATTCTTTTCACAATTTCTAATTCCCTTAAAAGCATCTCACTAAGCTGAATCTATTGCCTAGTGTTTAAAAGACCGGACCCATAATATTACTAGTCACGCTTTCGTATTACATATTGAAAAATTCAACTATAGATAAAGCAAATAACTTTCAGCACATGCTACAGATCATAAATCATGGGTTATATCATAATTTTACTCAATTTTTTCCCCATAATTTCAGCAAATAAATAAGAGCAGACGTAAAACAAAACGTAACTATTTCATAAACCTGTTAAGGTGTTGTTTTTGTATTTTCTGTGGTAAATGGTCCCATGAAATTATTAAAATTTGAATCTGAAAAACGAATAGTGAAAACGGAAACTAAACGACATGGACAACTATTAAAGGGGATTTGCAACCGGGGCATAAAATTTAAATTCTCACCGACATTACCGTAAGTACGTTGTCATGGTCTAAATTTTGCAAACTGCATAAACTAATAATGGTTATGTTATTGCGCGAAATATAAAAAATTCACAAATGTAAATAATATTTTGAAAAAAGATGTTCCGTTTTAATAAAGTATTGAGAATGTGTGGTGGGTATATCACCTCTCGAAACCACCTGGCTATCTTTATTTTAATCATTAAAATATTATTATGATGATAAAAATCAGAGTTTGTTTTCCCCGTGATATTTCGAACTTTGGAATTTGAGCCATGGAAAATATAACCGAAACTTATCATTAATAAATAATGTTATTAGCGGTTATTTGTAAACGAGTTTTGGAGTTTTGCTTACAAACATCAATATAAACGGCTAATAATGATCACCGTTTAGGTTTGTGTTTTTTCACCGTTTAATAATTAGGAGCAATCTTAACTTATATTTTTTTTTAAATATCAAAGCTTCTGAAGCTTATAAAAAGGACGCAAGTTTATTCTACTATACACACACAGACGCTAATTATTATATTTGTGATTTTAAATATAAACTTTTTGCTTTTCCCCAATTCCTCTCGCAGTGTGTGAATTCGATAAAAACGACGTAGTTTACACAGTAACTGGCTTCTCCATCTTCGTACGCCGGTTACCCACCTTCCCAATTTCTGTTCAAAGCAATTGTTTTGTTTCCTTCTGATTTTGCTTTAAAGTTGGAACCAAAATCAAAAACTTTTCAAAAAAAGTTTTGGCCTTTTTTGAATTCTCTGCAACCCTTTAATTCTTCTTAGTAAAAAATATTAATTGCATTAATGGCTTACCCAAATTTGTGTGCTCTTTACTAAACCATCTTGTTCCTCCTCCCTTCGTCCTTCTTCCCTTTATTCTTCTTCTTCATCCTCCAAATCTGTTTCTTAGTGTTTGAGTCGAGCGATGAAGAAGTCTAAACTCGATTACTCCGCCTCACAGAGTCGATTCGGGCTGGTTCAGTTCCTATTGGCTGTTCTGCTCTTTTACTTTCTCTGCATGAGCTTCGAGATCCCATTCATCTTTAAAAGCGGGTCCGGGTCAGAATCCGGGTCCGATGACGGGTCGTCGTCCTCTTTTCCTGACGCATTGCCGAGACAGACGGTTGTTGGTAGGGAAGCGCACCGGGTCGTTGGAGAAGAAGACCCACATCGACCTTTTAAGGATCCGGGTCGAGTGAATCGGGTGGGTCGAGTCCAGCTTCGCTCGCCGGACCGGAAAATGCGAGAATTTAAGACCGTCTCTCAAATCTTCGCCAACGAGAGCTATTTCGACAGCGGCGGATTCAGCGATGAGTTCTCGATCTTCCACAAAACAGCGAAGCACGCGATTTCCACGGGAAGGAGAATGTGGGACGAGCTCGATTCAGGTTTAATCAAAGCCGACGAAGCGCCGGTTATTAACCGGACGGAGAAATGCCCGGATATGGTTTCAGTTTCCGGGTCAGAGTTCTTGAACCGGAGCCGGATCTTGGTTATTCCGTGTGGGTTAACGCTAGGATCTCACATCACCGTCGTTGCGACGCCGCATTGGGCACACGCAGAGAAAGACGGGAGGAGCACGGATTCGAAGGAAGGAGATGGTAAAACGGCGATGGTGACTCAGTTCATGATGGAATTGCAGGGACTGAAGGCGGTCGACGGCGAGGATCCGCCTCGGATCCTCCATTTCAACCCGAGGATTAAAGGCGATTGGAGTGGGAGACCAGTGATTGAGCAGAACACTTGTTACCGGATGCAATGGGGCTCTGCTTTACGCTGCGATGGTCGCGAATCTAGCGATGACGAAGAATCAGGTATTGACTTGACTTAATTAAACAAGAGTTTCCATTTCTTAAATCATTTGAAAAAACGGAAGCTTTGGATTGTGATTGTTGAACTAGAGTTGACTTAAAAACAATTGTTTAAAATTTGACTTCGAATTAAAGGTTCGATTTTTATATAAAAAATCCTAAATTTGGTTTCTGGGTTTTCTGTGAAGTTGATGGAGAGGTGAAATGTGAGAAGTGGAAGAGAGATGATGGTGGTGATGGCTCTGATGAATCATCAAAGAAGACATGGTGGTTGAACAAGCTTATGGGTCGAAGGAAGAAGATGACACATGATTGGCCATTCCCTTTTGCAGAAGGGAAGCTCTTTGTTCTTACACTTCGAGCTGGAATGGAAGGTTACCACATCAGCGTTAATGGAAGACACATCACATCTTTCCCTTACAGAACCGTGAGTAAACCGGCTCTGGTTAAATTCCAATTAAATTTGTTGATGGAATATGGTTTAAACATTGACCGGTGTAAATGGATCGATCTTTTCAGGGGTTTGTTCTAGAGGATGCTACTGGATTAGCAGTCAAAGGGAACATTGATGTGCACTCGGTATATGCTTCCTCGTTACCTTCTACAAATCCGAGTTTCGCTCCGCAAAAGCATCTCGAGATGCAAGGCGTGTGGAAAGCTCCTGCGTTACCTCAAAAGCCTGTGGAGCTGTTCATCGGAATCCTCTCTGCTGGCAACCATTTCGCTGAGAGAATGGCTGTGAGGAAGTCATGGATGCAGCAAAAGCTGGTCAAATCGTCGAAAGTTGTTGCCCGGTTCTTTGTGGCATTGGTAAAGCACAGTTCTTGAATTAGAAAAATCACTTAAAAGTTAAAAACATAGTCATTGGTTTATAACTAATTCATCTTGCAGCACGCAAGAAAAGAAGTCAATGTTGATCTGAAGAAAGAAGCTGAGTACTTTGGTGATATTGTCATTGTACCGTACATGGATCATTATGATCTTGTTGTGCTCAAGACTGTTGCTATCTGCGAATATGGGGTAATAAGCAAAACTAAGTTCTTCGTCTCTCTTTTGTTCTGATGATTAACATTTCTGATGATTTAACCGTGGAAACTGTAGGTTAACACAGTGGCGGCAAAGTATGTAATGAAATGTGACGATGATACATTTGTGCGAGTGGACGCTGTGATACAGGAAGCAGAAAAAGTTAACGGAGGAGATAGCCTTTATATTGGAAACATTAATTTCTACCATAAGCCTCTGCGCACTGGGAAATGGGCTGTGACATACGAGGTAAAAAAGATTTTTACATTTGATCACTACCTGAAAACTCAATAGAGCTGAAACAGAGATTATGATATTAAACTCTGCTCATGTTGTTGATCTCAAATTGTGAAAATCAGGAATGGCCAGAAGAGTACTATCCTCCATACGCAAACGGTCCGGGTTACATCTTGTCATACGACATAGCTAAGTTCATCGTCGATGACTTTGAACAACAGAGACTAAGAGTAAGTTGTCCTTTTTTGAAGCATATACCCACTTAAGGAAACATGACCAAATGTGTTTATGATATGGTTCGGTTATTGCAGTTATTCAAGATGGAAGATGTGAGCATGGGGATGTGGGTGGAGAAGTTCAACGAGACGACTAGACCGGTGGATGTGGTCCACAGCCTAAAGTTTTGTCAGTTCGGATGCATAGAAGACTACTTCACGGCGCATTATCAGTCGCCTCGACAGATGATTTGCATGTGGGATAAGCTGCAGAGACTCGGGAAGCCTCATTGCTGCAACATGAGGTGACATTAACATTGCTTTCCTTTTTTTGGCCGGATTCTGGAAAATTTTTCGTTAGGAAGGAGACAAAAAAAATGAAGAAGCAGATGGGAGCTAACTGTGTTTAGAATATCTCTGTATATATAGAAACAATCTATAATGTATCTATATATATATATATATAATATAACGAATTGCTCATAAACATCGTACGAGTTTCAGACAAAAGGCAGAAAAAACACAAGTAGAAAAGAAAAGAAAAGTTGCATTGTTAAAAAAACACGTCGAGCTTTCTACTTCGCAGTCATCTTCTTATTCTTAGCTATCAAATGTATCAAATCTAAAACAAACCACGAAAGTTTTACTTTGTTATTACTAAGAATCAAGAATCAAGAATCAAGAAGGAATATATGTACCTGGGGCGAGGATTCCCTGCATATCATACATAACAACGACGATTGTAGACAGTTCGTCTTGGTGGTTTAGAAAGACAGGTAATAATGACTTTGCTTCTTCCAATGTAGCTGCCATTAAGTTCCAGCGCCTTCTCTGGTGCCTCAAATCCCTTAATAGACAACGCAGTGTATCTGTATAAAAAATCAACAAGGACAAAGTCTTTAGAGAGCATTTAATAACTTGAATCGAAAGTTGGGAAATTAGGAGGAAGAATTAGGCCACAAACCCCCTCTTGGCGACACAGACTTCCCTGACCTCTCCACATGAAGATAAAAGTTCCCTCACCGCCATCTCGATCTCAGTATCACTAAGCGAGGTGTCATATCCTCGAACAACTAACATAGTCGAACTGCAAATCATTGGAGCATGATACTATATTATCATGCACATGCACGAACAATCTCAAAGACACGAATCTCCAAAATTTCAGTTCATACTTGTTGTCGTTAAACGGATAAGCCTCAGCACAGATTTTCCCAATCCTCCCACGTCACTTCCGTTAAGTTTCAAGGCCTTGTCTACTGCTCCCTCTCCCACAAAATAAACAAGAGCTCTACTCCCACCAGCATACACGTAAACATCGGTGATCTTTCCACATGCAGCGAAGTGTTCTCTCAACGCACTCTCCACATCCTCACGAGGAACCCCACGGTCAAATCCCGTTACGTCTATCCTCCCAATGTCACTGCAATCATATTGAGATAATATATATTATAAACGACGTGACAAGAACAAACACAGCTTTTACCAAAAAAAAAAAAAGAACAAACACAGCTTACGGATACAATTCTCAAACAAAACCAATCAATTTACCGGGCTTTTGGTTTTGGAATGGCTGCATCACTACCCTTCAATTTCATTCCCTAAGGTACAAAAGATCTAATCAGAAATTTCTGCTAACTTTAAATATTTTTGAGAAACAGGGTTTAAAGAGTGTATAACAAGAAAGCCATTAGGGTAACATAAATATTACTGTTTTGTCGGATTCGTCCATGGAGAAGTTGACAAGAGCCGCTTGCTAGGTTTTCCAGAGGCGATATATCTTTTGCAGTTTTTAGGATTGAAAGGGAGTTGTACATACATAGATATATATATATATATAAATTAATAATTTTGGACTTCAAAATTTTATTAATTTATAAAGTTATTAATTAATCGATAAATTAATAATTATCAATTTATCAAAAAATTAATATTTTATTAATTTATAGAGAGATATTTCAGTTCAAATTTAAAATATTTGTCAAAAACAAAAAAAAAATATTTTCAACAATGTAAAATTTATTCAGAAAATATCATATCAGTGAATTTAAAAAATAAGTCAAACAATTTCTATAAACTTAAAACAATAATATAATTATATTTTAATATATCATATTATTTATATATGCTTAAATGTATAATTATTAATTTATTTAATTATTGGAACTACATTTTTATATAAGAGTTTTAAAAAAATTATTATCTTATCATCATATCAAAATTTGCTAATTTTTACACTAATCCAACATGGGACCAGCAAAAATTATTAACTTATAGTGATTATTAATTTATCGAGTATTAATTTATAGAGGTTCAATATATTATAACTCTAAAATAAACCAATGTTATCAAACAATATTTGACTAAACCCCGCAAGTTTACAAATTTAACTAAACCGGATTTTATTTACAAAATATATAATCCAGTGTGGTATAGTGCAAGTCTGGTTATCTCTCTTCAACAAATCAGGAATAGCCTGACAAGTCTCAGTATCAGCCCAAATCCAAATCTTGTATGTATCTTTTAGGCAGAATAAAGAGATGCCACACACCACCAATAGGCAATGACGCTTTGGACTACTCATGTCAAAAGTTGCAATCTCCACGCGTGTGATAAATGCTTTGCGTGACTATTTCGATCATATAGGCATACAAGTGCGTGTTTCTTGACCACAAATTCAAGGCTTACAAGTGTGTTTTTGATATGTCAAGAAGAAAGAGGTTCTAAATTTTGAAAAAAAGCTTGTAATTTTGAAAAAAAAGCTTGTAACAACGAGATTATTAACAAGAAACTCAACTGGATTTGGTACGTCCAACGAGTATGCATGATATGATTTTAATGAAAATGCTTCCTGTCTTGTCTTCGATATTAGTTATTCGAGCTTTACTTTAAACATCCAAGACATAAACATCATAAACATTGTACGGAGTTTAGTTTAAACATCCAGAAAAAAGGTAGAAAACGAGGAAAGGTTGCATTCCAAGGAGCTTCGTCGAGCTTTCTACTCCGCAGTCATCTTATTCAACGTCGAGCTTCGTTGAGTGATGTTTAGTTGCATCACTGAGTCACTGACCAGTCCTTCCCTGAGTTGAGCCATCGCAACTTGGCTCCAGACAGAATCTTCTTCGACCCGGGAAGCAAACTCAACAGCACGCTCAATGCTTTTGACGTTATCTAGCAATACCTTGACAGCCTCAACATTTAAGTTAAACTTGTCGAAAACAGAAAATGCTTCCTCAAATAACTGGGCTTCAACTGCCGCTTCTCCAATAGCAGGTCCATCAAAGTTGTCCAGCCTGTTAATGTAATCCATAACTCTAGATGGATCAGCCTTGATAGCTGTCAATATAAGCAGATTTTGCAGATTGAAGTTCCCACTGAAGGCAGAGCTTTGAAGCACAATCTTTTCAAGAAGCTCAATAAGCTCGTGCGGCAAGTCAGCAGTCATGAATGCTTTAACAGCAGAGGAAACTTGCTCTGGACTCTTGCTTTCAGGCAAAGCAGTAGACACAACTTGGTCAATAAGTTGTCTTCTATAATCATTGTTTTCATCAAGAACCATACCCCAGAGATCACCATCCATCCTCTCCACTACATACCTACAGTCGCGTATAAGCAATCTACAGAGTAACCACTGTGAAAAAATGAGCAAGAAGCAATGATAAAATATACCTGGCTTGTAACTTGAACAAAGAATTTTTGTTGGTGACATTGATGAGTTCCTCATCACACTGACCTCTTCTGTATGCCACAACATATTAGAGCTTCAGGAACAAACAGGAAAAAGTTATGAACGGAAACATGAATGGCCAAAGGATTCACCTCTTCTCGCATTCCTCGACAAGGGGTTCAACAGGAAGCAATGAACGAACAGAGAGAATGAGGCCTTTTATGAAATCTTCAGGACATTCATCATCAAGCAACTTTCCACTGTCAAATCCCGTTACGGTTAGCCTCCCAATGTCACTGCAATCATTGGAGATAATATATATCATCAACGACGTGACAAAGAACAACACATCGGGAAAAAGAACAGATACAGATCTCAAACAAGACCAATCAATTTACCGGGCTTTTGGTTTTGGAATGGCTGCATCACAACCCTTCAATTTCATCCCCTAAGGTACAAAAGATCTAATCAGAAATTTCTACTAACTTCAAATATTTTGAGAAATAGGGTTTAAAGAGTGTATAACAAGAAAGCCATAAGGGTAACATAAATATAACTGTTTTGTCGGATTCGTCCATGGTGCAAGTTTTTCCAGAGTCTTCTTTTCCAGTTTTAGGGTTGTAAGAGAATACACACATCGGTATATATAACAGGATTTCTCCACCTTTAAGTGAACCAATAAAACCAATATTACCAAACTTTAAATATTTAACTAAACCACGCAAGTTGTTTACAAATTTAACTAAACTGGGTTTTTTACAAAATTATATACAGTAATCCAGTGAGGTATATATAGTGCACGTCTGGTTATTTCTCTTCAACTTTCTCACCAGGATGATGATTTTGAATTCTTTCAGATACTCTGTTTCATCTACATGCCAACATTTGAACTTTTTGTCAAGATGCTATTTTGTGGCTTCTTTGGTTAAGACCGTTGGCCAAAGTGTTGGAACCTTTTGTGATCTTGAACGTTTTGGTGATAATGACAGATAAGCATGTCTCTGAATAGTATGCTGAATGCTAAATATTATGTGAGAAGATGCAACGCCTTGTAATACTCATTGTTTCAAAAAAATATTCAACTCGTAGTCCAACGTGCATGACTAAAATATTAATATCTAATTAGCCATCACTATGTTGATAGAAAATTCTTTAAATGTTACAATAATCACCAAGTTAATAGAAAATTCAAAAGTGTTACAAGAACACCACTTTTGACGCACCTGGCATGTGCCAACGATAAACACGATGCCCTAGTTCCATAATATTTAATTTTCCTCTCTCTCTCACTGTCTCACATCACTTTATTATATATTCATACACTCACCCACCAATATAGTGAAATAACACTTGAGACTACACAAATCAACAAGATAAGATGGCTCAGAACGATACAGTGAAGCTGATAGGTTCTTGGTCGAGTCCTTTTGCCCTTAGGGCTCGAGTGGCTCTACACTTGAAATCTGTCAAGTACGAGTACTTGGACGAACCAGATGTTCTCAAATCAAAGAGCGAACTCCTTCTCAAGTCAAATCCCATATTCAAGAAAGTCCCTGTTCTCATCCATGGCGATGTTTCCATCTGTGAGTCACTCAACATCGTTCAGTACGTCGATGAAGCTTGGTCCTCCGGTCCTTCCATCCTTCCTTCTCATCCGTACGATCGTGCCAACGCTCGGTTCTGGGCTCTGTATGTCGACGACAAGGTAAACGAGTTTAGATAACTCCATGGATCTCTGTTGGATTTCTTACAAATGCTCTGTTTTGCTTGTCAAAGTTTGAAACTTTATGTTTTTGAAGTCGAACTAGAAGCTTGGATCTTGATATTCAAATACATAGATCTGTTTGGATTGAGATCCTATTTACTGGTTAATCTGTTTTTGGTATTGGTATTCAAAAGTTTGAAACTTTTTTCATAAATTGAAAAACCAAAGTTTCCATCACATTTAAAGATATAGATCTGATTGGACGGAGATCCGGTTTATATATGGTATTCGGTTAATTAATAAAAGCTGGATCACTCAACAGAGAAATCTCTGAAATAGAAACAAAAAATTATAAGTAAAAATATTTAGTGAAAGTGTTTAATGTAATATGTTTGTGTATGAAACAGATGTTTGCATCGTTTGATGCGGTGGGCGGAGCAAAAGACGACGAAGGGAGGATGGCGGCGGCGGGAAAGCTGATGGAGTGTTTGGCAACACTTGAAGAGGCGTTTCAGAAGAGCAGCAAAGGATTAGGGTTCTTCGGAGGAGAAAACATCGGCTTCCTCGACCTTGCTTGTGGGACCATTTTGGGTCCAGTCTCTGTGATCGAGGCGTTTTCCGGCATCAAGTTTCTCCGGCAAGAAACAACACCTGGCTTGGTCCAATGGGCCGAAAAGTTTAGGGCCCATGAAGCTGTCAAGCCTTACATGCCTACCGTCGAAGAGTTCATTGCATTCGCAAAGAAGAAGTTTAATGTTGAGTGATTTGCTTCTTGTATAAGCAATGTGTGGAAAAAGGATGCGTGAATGAATGATGTTTATCGTCTTTGATATTTTTTTTTAAAAAAAGTTCTCTCTCCCAGTAAAATCATATGCCACTTGAGTATTCCTGCTTCCTTTTATCTCGTGTGATTTAATTTTTTTTGCTATAAATTATTATTGCAATGTAAATTTTTGTGAGCAACTTTTTTCTTTTCTTTTCAAGTTAACAACGATCTCAACAAAATAATCCAAAATACAATTTGATTTCAATTCACGCTCATACGTCAGATATCTCATCCTCATCCACATTCGTAATGTAAGATGCGATTCCAATAAATAGAAAACTGAGACTTTGAAACAATGCAAGTTTCATAACGACCATCTCAGCACCACAAGGGGATTGAAATTGCTTGCCGGAAGAAGGAGAAGGGTTGAAATGTAAATTTGATACTGGAAATATGAATCTTTTCATCGTATATAAGAGTATGTCCATCGATAGAGGCCCTAGAGGGTATCTGAATAATATAATAAAAAAAAAAAAAAAAAAAGTTGGAGAGAAAGGCAGATACGTTTCTCATTTGAGAAATGTTTACATACTTCTTATAACACGTGTATGGATATAAATGGATCAAAGTATTTAAAGCTAATAAAACTTAATCAAATTATCAAATTCTCTTTAAAATATTAGTTTTAGTTAATCTAGATACACTGGTGAAATACTTTACCAATGGAGCTGGTACTGTATATGTAAATTGAATATAATTAAATAGTAAATTAGTAAAATCTAAAAAAACACTAAAAATTAGAGTTAATATGATGGAAAAAGATTATATAGGTTACATATATTTTCACAAACTTTAATACATTTGAAAGTTTCACTTGTTTCTTTTGATTTATATCGTTTCGTTTGATTTATGTAGTTTGGTTTTTGAGAAAGTATGTAGTCTTTAAAATTTAAGCAAAGATTTAAGAAAATCAACTGCTAAATATTGTGATATAAACTTTTAACATTTGTCTCTTAACTACATTCGCTCCTGCCTGTGGGCAGTATCTTTCTTGCGAATATTAGTTTATTTTATAAAAACTGAACTTTAAAATTAATAATTAACATGATAAATGTTTTGAAATTCATTAATTTAATAAATAGATTGGAGTGATGATTATGAGTCATGAAGATGACAAAAGATTGATGCTTCCTGATATATAATACCTTTATAGAAATATAATATGTATAATTTGGTTTGATTTTCGTTCAGTATAAAATTATTTTATCAATTTTATAAAATAATCATTTTAATTTTGTTTCATACATGTAAAAAATATATTATGATTCCAATAACAAAAACATGTATATATAACCTACTCTAATAATGTGTATTTTTTTCTCTTCATAATATATTTATTCTATTACACTCCAGTTGTTTAAGATTTTGCAAGTCATGTCAGATGAAAATAAGCATTTAGCATCACATGATTCAAGTTAGATGTTCCCACATGTTGTCTTAATTACAACATGATTAATTTCGTTTAATCTTTGATATTTTTTTCACTAGTCAATAAATACATTCATAGACGGACCTAAGTATAAACAATAGTGTCATATAACACCTCTTAAATTTTAAATTAAATGTCTAATTAGGCTAAATTCCAAACAATTTCGAACAAACATTGCACAAAAATGATATCTACCAAAAAATTGTATCTTTTTGAAACCTTTCGCTTTGAAGAAGTTTTCGACAGCTAATTGAGTTAAATTATGTATAAATTAACTAACTTATTTTAGACTAAGAAAGAAACTAATGAAAGATTTGTTCAATACTTTTCTTTTTTTGAAACCAAAAATTATTCCACAATTACACATGTTTGTCTGGTTTTTTTTTTCTGCTTTTTACATGTAGAAATTCTCCAAGGACAAGTCAGAATTTATCTGGACATTGATCGCTTGACTACAATAATGGTGAGTTTTGTCAGAAAGTTGTTGATAATTTACTGTTAGAAAATTGTTTATTCACTGTTGTTAAATTACTGTAGGCTAGAGAAGAGGTAGGGATTCACCAGTTGCATTTGAGAGCTGATCGAGCTCGTTCCATGTAGAGAGAGCTCTCAAACTGTGATGATGAATATAATAAAAATGATGATGAAGTCAAAAGAAGTATCAAGAGGGCCAAAATTGCCGCTTGGAGATTTTGGAAGAACCGAAATGATTTGGTTTTTGGAGCTTTGTTTTTTTTTTTTTTTTTTTTTTTTTAATTGTCTCTCATCTTAAGGTCATTGAACATGTTGCTATTTTTTTTGTTAGCTTTGGATTGAATCAAAACATTTTTGCAATTTCAGAGGTTTTTACAAGGTCACAGTGAAAACAATAAAAAGTTATTTCCATTTCAACTTTAGTCTGATTTTCTTTTTCCGAAAACCCAAGTCTTTGCAATTTGAAACAGCACATTGGTTAAGCTCCGAGTTCTTCTTCATAATTAAGAAATCTCATAGTCAATTGAGAAAAGTAGGATGTTAAGACTTGTTCATCAACTTCTTTATGTCGCTTGGCCTGGCCGATGCCAATCTTTCTGATTTTGTATATACAAAGCAAGCCGCAATAAAAAAAACCTCACAGTCGATTGGTTAAACATCACATTGGATGTCAAGACTTGTTCATCAACTTCTCTATGTTGATAGCCAGTCTTTCTATTTTTGTATATGTTATGGCTTATACTATAAATCTTAAATGAGTGCAGATACATTTTCTAGGCCCTCGGATGAACCTCGGCATGTTTATAGTTCAACAGTGTTTCCTTTCTTCCCTCTACAAATACATACTATTTAGAGTTCTCTGATTGTTGATAATATAAAACCTTATAAGACATGTTATACAAAACATTGTATATCAGTAAGCTTTGTAGGTCTCACTTTTCTCTCCATGTCTCCAATCAACAAAACAGCTTTCGATCTCTTTACATTCATGGGTGTTCCCAAAATGTTTTTTTTAGTGATTCATGGTTTTAGTAACATTTCAGAAAATAATCTCATTCACAGAAAGCTGTGGAAGGACTTGTAACACCTGACCATAGACCCAAAATCAGAGTACACATGTGATTAAATTGAATAAAGAGAATCAAGATAAACATCATCAGAATGAGATCAATGTGGCTGTTTATATATAAATATGATGCCGATGGTGTCCTCACACGTCACAATTGAGATAAATGCGGCTGTTTAAACATACATTTGAATACTAATATTACCATAAGCATAAAATCTGCATAATGAAATATGTAATGAAAATTTACGAGAACTAAAATAAAAATTGGTAAAAATAACATGATGCGTTATCGAGAAAATTGGTGACCTATCTCTAGCTATCATCAACATTTTAAAATTTTATATTCATATAAATATCTATGATAGAATATTTAGTTAGCCACACTAAATATTCGTTGCAAGTGGTCAAAAACATTCCACTCGCCCAGGTGACTAAAATATTAATATCCAAATATTTAAGCCATCACGTTGGTAGGTAAGTGTGATAGAAAATTCGAAAGTTTTATAAGAACACCACTTTTGACGCACCTGCTCGGTCCCATGTGCCAACGATAAACACGATGTCCTAATTCAATATATTTTAATTTTCCTTCAGTATTATATATTCCCACACTCGCCAAAGTAGTGAAATGACACTTGAAATCAATAAAATCATAAGAAAGAAAAGATGGCTCAGAGCGATACAGTGAAGCTGATAGGTTCTTGGTCCAGCGGTTTTGCACTTAGGGCTCGAGTGGCTCTACACTTGAAATCAGTCGAGTACGAGTACTTGGACGAACCTGATGTTCTCAAATCAAAGAGCGAACTACTTCTCAAGTCAAATCCCATCTTCAAGAAAGTCCCTGTTCTCATCCATGGCGATGTTTCCATCTGTGAGTCACTCAACATCGTTCAGTACGTCGATGAAGCTTGGTCCTCCGGTCCTTCCATCCTTCCTTCTCATCCGTACGATCGTGCCAACGTTCGGTTCTGGGCTCTTTACGTCGACGACAAGGTACACGATTTTAAGCTTGTCATCCGATTTTTACAAATGGTCTGTCTTGCCTGTCAAGCTTTTGTTTATGAAGTCGAGGTAAAAAATAGGATCTTGATATTCAAATATATATATATATATATTTGTTTGAATTGAGATTCCTGTTTCTATAGATGAACAAGTATGATTAACTCTCTACAGAAAAATATCTGAAACATAAACAACAGACGTATAATATTTAGTGAAAGTCTTATCATTCATGTAAATGTGTACGAAACAGATATTTGCATCGTTGGAAGCGGTGGGCGGAGCAAAAGACGACGAGGGGAGAATGGCGGCGGCCGGAAAGTTGATGGGGTGTTTGGCGACACTTGAAGAGGCGTTTCAGAAGAGCAGCAAAGGATTAGGGTTCTTCGGAGGAGAAAACATTGGCTTCCTGGACATTGCTTGTGGGGCCATTTTGGATCCAATCTCTGTGATCGAAGCATTTTCCGGCGTCAAGTTTCTCCGGCAAGAAACAACACCTGGGTTGATCCAATGGGCCGAGAAGTTTAGGGCCCATGAAGCTGTCAGGCCTTACATGCCTAACCTTGAGGAGTTAATTGCATTCGCAAAGAAGAAGTTTAATATTGAGTAGTAATTTGCCTCCTCTATGAGCAATGTGTGGATTATACGAATGAATGACTGATATTTGTCTGTTTTGAGATTTTTTATTTTTGAGTTCTATGTATTTGCTGAAACCTTAAAATAAAATAATATGCCAATTTGGTATATGAACCTGAAGAGTCAGCTTACAAAATTGTCATTGAATGAAGCTCATGACTACGTGACCAAAATCATAAAGGATTATCAAAATTCTTGAAGGAGAAGAGCAAGGTCTTCAATTTATAAGTAACAAATCTATCATTTTGGTATCCTTAGAGAAATTAAAATTAAACTTTAAAGTTTAAGCTTCATGGTTATGTAAATTAAAATTTAATAAATCTCCCTTTAGGTGAATATGGACTAAAATTCCATTTGGCATCTTTTTATAAATCGTTTAGAAGGAAGGAGTAATCTTATATATTAGTGAAACTGTAGTATCCCTATTCGAGAAAATGCGGAATGATCGTACTGGATATGGTGTTGTCCGAGGAATGACCGAGCCAAGGGTTGGATACTGGCTGGGAAATGGAGGTTCGGACTATGGTCGGGTGTTGACCGAGGAAATAGTCGGATATGGGCTGGATAGCCGAGCCGGATGGACCAAATCCGAGGGAAACAGGGTCCAGTCCGAGGGAAATGAGATTTATCCGAGTGCAGTGGAATATATCCGAGAGTCTGGGAGGTTAGTCCGAGTGTCAGTGGACTGTCTCCGAGGGGGAATAGGAAACCTCCGAGAGAAATAGAGGATTAGCCGAGGTGGGACAAGTTGTCCGAGAGAAATAAGAATATCCAGGTGAAAAATGGAAAACACCTCGGATAAGGGCGGTTTATCCGAGTGGGAAGGGATTTGAACCGTGGGCCAAGTGTTGGTCGGCTATTTTGGGGTTTATCGAAGGAATGGTCGAGCCGGTACAGGGAATAGCCGAGAGAATCGAATCGGACCGGGATAAAACTTACTGGAACCGGAAAAACATCGGATAAGTCCGGGTTACCTAGGGTTTTGCGAGTATTTAAGGGATTTTGATACTTTTCTCGGGAGAGTTATGTTTATTCGAGAGCAATAAAGCAAAGAAAGAGAATAGTCGAGAGAAAACCCTAAGAAAAACAGTTTATCCCGAGGACATCCGAGAGAGATCAGGTTATCGCCGAGCAAATCCGACCATCGTCGAGATAAATTGGTAAGCGATCGGATATTTCCCTAAGTGTTGAGTTTTCATCGGATAACCTCGAGCTAATAGCCTTGTTTTGTGAGGTTTCTGAGGGAAAACAGAGTTTGGCTCGAAGAAAGGTGAACGGATCAAGAGATAGCCGAGGGGATAAAGATCGGATCGTACCGGGAGCCGAGAGATTCTTAGGGAGATCGGATATCTTCGTTTTGGTGCGGTTTTCATCGGGATTTCTTCTGACCAATCTGTTTCCAGCCTTGTCTAAGGTGAGTGCGTGACTGTGGTTAGGTCTAGGACCGTAGGATTGCTAGGGTTGAATGTTTGCATGTTGATTGTGTGATTTTCATGTTATGTGTTTAGAATTGATAAGCAAACCTTGTGTTGTGATATATTGTGGTGTTTACCGTGGCATATATGATGTTTAGCTAACCTCAGAGTAATCCGGATCATGTACTAGCTTAGGGGATGTGGGATTCTCGCTGAAGTAAACATGGGTCTTAAAAAGAGATTGATCTTGGTTGGTTAGGCTAGATGATCATGGCCGTTTGATATTGTTATGTCTATTACGAATTGATTGTATTGAATGTTGAATCCGAAAGTATGACTGCGTGTTTGGTACTGACCAGGTGTTACGGGATGACCGTACTCACTAAGTATTTATGAAATACTTATGCCTCTCTTCTTGAGTGTGCAAGTACTAAGCAGTAAAAGGGCGAGACCAGGCGGTAGTGATGAATATGGATGGATCGGGATTTGGTTTTATTTGTGTTAAGACTTGTGTTTAGAGTCTTATGGCTTTGGTGTTTGACTATTTAGGTTGCTAGATGATCGTTTGTATTCATTAGCAAACCATTGTGATTTGTTTAAGTTAACCCTGAATCCTGTTTTGATAAGAAAGACTTATAAAAATAAAAAAGAAAAAGTTCAAAAATATGGTTAAGTATAAAAATGGACTTAAAAGATATAGTGGGATACAGCCACGGTACGGTTTATCGGGTTGGGTTACCACAAAAACTATATAAAATGTAGTGTGTATTTCACATAACAACTTTAGACGTCAACCTTTTTTTATTCTTTATCACTCTATCATATATCCAAATTGCATAAACCAAATTTTGCATGGTCTTTAAGTTTGATTTGATAGAATTTGGTAACATTTTTCTTTCCTTGTCTCACTTTATATAGGTTATCATTTTGATGTTATAGCACATAAACGAACGTTTTGATGCTTTGATCGATTCTTTTTGTTTTTTTAATATGTTCTAAACAGAGCGGAAGATTTTATATACAGTTCGAATTTAATATATTGAATGAAGTTGGAAAGTGGAAACAATCAGAAAAGTAGTCGTGATCTTGGTTTAAAATAGAATTGAATCGTGATCAGTAAATGTAATCGGTTTAATGTCCGGTTCGGTTTAAGAGTACCACCTGTAAAGTAAACGGATAATTTGTTTATCCAAAAGGCTGAGAAAAACCAAAAGGGAACACGTCACTGGTGTCACAAAGAGACGAACTCGTGTGATTGAATGAATGATTGATGACGACAAGGAAAATGCAAATCTCGCTGTCTCATTCATGGTTAGATTGTCTCTCTCAAACCATTTTCGAACCCAGAAGAAAGACAAAAGTGTTCGTGTAGTAAGCGGCGAGTTTTCAGAAAGCTGTGTCCTTTTTCTAAAATTATAATGGAGAAGATACTGAGATGTGTCCGGTGGGGTTATGAGGTTAATGCCTCTTCCGATGATTGCACCGACGCAATTGACTCCTATTTTCAACAGGTTCCTCTTCGATCATCCCTCTTTCGTTACAGACATTAAAAAAAAAAAATTGATTTTGAGCATCCGAAGACAGATTGGTTACAGATTTACGATGCAAATTTATGACTAGGCTTTGATCATTTTATGAGTCTATTACGATTTGAATCACTGTGTAGCTAAATTTGGGGTTTTATGAGTTACGATCTTGTGGGTAGATTTCTACTGTGCATTTTTTCTTCTTAAAGTTTCGACCTTTGTAAATCATCTCAGTGATTTTGATTTTGATTGTGTTCTGTGGTTTATGAAGGTTCTTAGTTATGGTAGGAATCGGAAAGTGATTCTAGAAGCACCACTCTACGACAAAGATTGTGTCTTGGGCAACATTTTGGCTGCTCATCACCTTTCTTCATCTGACCCTTCTAGAGCTAAATCCTACGTTGAAGCTGCGGAATCCAATCTCGTGAGTCTTTATATCCACTGCCTCGTAACTTCATAGTCTACTTTACGTTTGGAGGAAGATTCTTGAGTTTGATTCCTTTGGCTTCAGGAACATTCTACACCTTATGAGAAGGCGGTTTTCGAGGCTGTTAGTTACATGATCTCCGAAGACAGGGATGACGATTTGGCTTTTGAAATGCACACTGAGGTTTGTTCTCACTTCCACGGTTATGGTTCGAAATGTAAAACTTTTGTGGCTTTCTTGTGATTCTGAGGTCATATGTATATTCTCTCAACTTGCTGATGTTAGTTTGGTTTCAAATTGTTCTCTGCAGCTGCTTAAAAGATTCCCAAAGGATTTGGTTTCTCTGAAGAGAGCACATGTTATATGTTTTTACATGGGCCAACCTGATCTCTTTCTGGGTCTTGTTCAGCAGGTAGGTACTTCAATTCTCTAAATTGACAGTCACTGAATGATTCACCGTCTAAGAAAGGTATTAAGTTTGATCGTATCTGATTATTATTGTAGGTTCTACCTGCGAATCAAGAAGAAAGTTACATACACGGTATGCTTGCGTTCCCATTGTTAGAACTTGGTCGAATGGAAGAAGCTGCAGAAGCTTCCAGAAAAGGCTACGAGATTAACAAAGAAGACGCCTGGGCACATCACTGTGTGAGTTCCTTAAAAACAATTTTACATGCCATTGAGGTAAATGCTTCCTGTATTCTCTTGACTGATAATTGTTTCAATCTATCTTACTTTTTTGGCTGCAGATGTGTCACGTTCTTCAACATGAATGTCGGTTTAAAGAAGCAGTGGAGTTCATGGAAGGGTTCGCAGGATCTTGGCCTTCTTGCTCATCCTTCTTGTAAAACATTCCCCACTTACCTGAAGGCTCTCACATATTGTGAAACTCTTCTCTTATCATTTAAATACTAAACATATATAAAATTGTCAGGTATACACACAATTGGTGGCATGTTGCTCTTTGTTACTTGGAAGGAGGGTCACCAATGAGTAAAGTAGAAGAGATTTATGATAATCGCATCTGGAAAGAACTGGAGAGAAACGACGCTGTTCCTCCCGAGGTAATTCTCTTTCCGATTGGGAAACTTTTATGCTTTTACTTCCTCTATCCAGTATTCAACTGTCTGCAACTCTTTAGGTTTATCTCAATGCTCTGGGTTTGTTGTTGCGTTTGGATGTAAGAGATGCTCTTGATGGTTTTGAAGACCGTCTCAAAGTACTTGCAGCTCGATTGACTGATCAGGTAAGCCCATGCACTAGTGGGATGATATGTGCTCTTCTGTTCAATGGGTTTTATTTTTTCAAGATAAATGTCTTTTAACATTTTCAGGCAAACTGGTATTTGGAGTGGCACCTTGATATATTGATAGTTTGGGCATTAGCAAAGGTTGGAGAGACTTCAAGAGCTCAAGAGTTACTCGAGGGTCTGAAGTTCCGGTTAGTGCGAATTCCTTTCCTTCTACAGTTTCTAATGGAAAATCTGATTTGTTGTGAATTTGTGTTGTTCTTGCAGAATATCGAAGATGAACAAGAAGAAACAGCAAGTGATGCAGAAAGGGATTCAGGTTTGTTCCCACGTCTTTGGCCGTCTTTTTCTTTCTGACAAATCCTCAATATCAGATCAGTCTTGTTTCCATATCAGCTAGGAGAAGCTGTGTATGAATACGCAAGGGGAAACTACAAACCGGCTTTAGAACTACTCGGATCAGACTTTAACTCTGTTGCTTACAAGGTAAGAATAATCTCGAACAAGTAACTCAAAAACTCTCTAAATCAAACACAGCTGATTCTTTTTTCAACTCTTTGATGGTTAATAACGACAGATCATTGGGGCATCAGATGAACAGATTGATGTTTTCAACGAAATGTGGTGTCAGCTGCTGCTAAACGCAGGCCAATCCTCCACTGGTAGGGTTTGTTGTAGAGTCTTTAAATCGGTTTCTTGGCATATTCATCTTGTTTGATTAGTATTAACCCATAAACGCTCTCGGCTCTGACCCATGCAGCCAAAGAAGTGATCAGAGAGAGGATAAAAGTCAGAGATGGTGTTCCTTTCATGTGGCGTTTGCTGGTAAAATATATAATATACATTCACAAACAAGACCTCACTTTGTTTGATCATGTGTAAATGGGTTTTGTTGATAACGAAACGATGACGTTTCTGGTGACCAGGAGAAGAGTTACGTCCTGGAAGGCAATGCAGAGGCTGAGAGTGCAGGAGAGAGAGCTAAGAAGCTGGAATCTTCTTACTTCTGAATTAGAGAACTTAGAACTGCCTCTTAAGTCTTAATAATAACTTAGTGAAAGTGTTTAAATGCATCTTTTTTTGTATAGAGTAAAATCTTTAAAATCCTTCGAAACTGGTGTTTGTACTAAAGTAAAGCAGCATTTTACTTGTAAAAGAAATACATATTTTTATTTATTTGACAAAGATGTGTTTTGGGAACATTTTAGCTGCTCATTACCTATCCTCATTCTAACGCGTGATGACTGATGTTGCAGCTGCTATGTACTATACCGTTGGGCACAGCAAAAGTAAAAAGGTTTCAGAGGCTCATTGGGTACTCTATCTACCATAGCAAGAGAAGAAGGTATTTAATATTTTCATGGTGGCTTAACGATTTGAGAGTTCTATGAGCCTGTGAGTCTCTGGATTACTTAGTTTCTTTCTCTGGTGCTGTTTCTCTCTGGATTACTTAGTTTCTTTCTCTGGTGCTGTTTCTTATATCTGATGTAATGTTGTTTACCTTGCGATATATGGCCAGGTCAAATGTGACTTTATTTGGGATATATAAAAAGATTCTTGCAGCATTGTTAACCGGTGAGTCCAGTTCTTGATTTTGATCGTCTACTGTGATTTGTGAAAGCTCGACCGTAATAAAGTGAATCTTTTTTTGTTTGACGACAGGAACTATAGCCATTGTAGTAGCTAATCCAACTGATCTTGTTAAAGTTTGGCTTCAGTCAGAAGGAAAATTAGGCGCTATGCAGGACGCTAATTCCACCATCGTTAAGCTGGTTAGTAAACTAAACTTGGAATAAAAATGTCAAAATACTAAGGTTAGCAGAGAGTTATACATAGCGTTTTGATTTATAAACGCTAGATATTCCTTTCTCACTAATTGAAATGTTTGACTTCTACTGGTGTTTGGTTGGTCGTTGTTTTTGAAAATTCCTTTTCTTTGGTTTTTCTCTTTGCATTTAAATTCTAACTTTCCATATTCTTTTTTGATTTTGTTGTCATGTTTTTAATTTCAAATCTATACTATTAACCCAAAATATATACGAACATCTTGGAGACTTTCACATATTTTCTTTCTTTCTGATTCACGAGCTCCTTCTCCTCGGATTCACTATAAATCTCCTCATGGCTGAAACTGAGAAGAAGACTCTTATGGAGATGGAGCGGAAATTGAAGAAAGAAGAGAAGGCTAGAGAGAAGGAGATGAAGAAGCAAAAGGCTTTGGAGAAAGCAAAGCTCGGGGAAGTGAAGGCTGCAAAACCAAAAACACTCACCGAGAAGAATCGGCAAAGATGGCGAGAATCCTTCAGACTTTGTCGACCCAGAAACTCCTATTGGCGAGAGGAAAAGGCTATCTTCACAGATGGCCAAGCAGTACAATCCTTCTGCTGTAGAGAAATCGTAAGCTCTCCCTAAAAACCCTGATTTGATTTTACTCGCCAATTTCGACAATTTCTGATTCTCTTCTCTGTGGTTTTCTTTTATTTTTTTTATCACAGATGGTATCAATGGTGGGAGAAATCAGAGTTTTTTTAAAGCTGATTCAAAGAGTGACAAACCCAAGTTTGTGATGATTCTTCCTCCTCCGAATGTCACGGGAGCTTTGCATATTGGACACGCACTAACATGTGCAATCGAAGACGCACTCGTTCGTTGGAAGAGGATGTCTGGTTTTGATGCTCTGTGGCTTCCTGGATTCGACCATGCCGGTATAGCTACACAGGGAGTGGTGGAGAAAGAGCTCACGCACAAAACAGGATTGACCAGAAAGGACATTGGCCGTGAAGAGTTCTTGAAAGAAATCTGGAAGTGGACACATCAATACAGTGGCACGATACAAACACAGTTACGCCGTTTGGGATCTTCCCTAGATTGGTCTCGTGAGTGTTTCACAATGGACGAGCAGAGATCAAAGGCTGTCACTGAAGCGTTTGTGAGGTTGCACACGGAAGGGCTTATCTACAGGAGAGATCGGATTGTTCACTGGGACTGTTTCTCAGGGACAGCTTTATCTGATCGTGAGGTTGAGCATATTGAGGTCAAAGAAAGAACACCAAGGAAAGTTCCTGGGTATGATGAGCTCGTAGACTTTGGTGTGATGACTTCGTTTGCATACCCTCTCGAGAGAGGAGGAGGAAAGGTTGTTGTTGCCACTACTAGAGTGGAGACAATGCTCGGCGATACCGCCATTGCTGTTCATCCCGATGATGTAAGATACAAGCATCTTCACGGAGGGTTTGCTGTGCATCCCTTCAATGGAAGGAAGCTACCAATTATCTGCGACGAGGTTGTTGATCCAGAGCTTGGCACTGGCTGTCTTAAGATCACTCCGTCATATGATCCCAAGGACTTCGAGGTTGGGGAGCGCCACAATCTGGAGTTTATCAATGTTTTCACGGATGACGGAAGAATCAACGTCAATGGCGGGCAATTCGTAGGGCTGCCACGGTTTAAGGCTCGTGAAGCTGTTATAGAAGCTTTGCGTGAGAAGGAGCTGTACATAGGTACGGAGAGCAAGGAAATGAAAATTGGAGTTTGCTCAAGAAGTGGTGATATTGCTGAGCCTATGATAAAGCCTCAGTGGTATGTTGACTGCAGAGAAATGGCGAAGGAGGCTCTTGATGTTGCTGATGACGGGAAGCTCGAGTTTTTCCCAAAGAATTACTCAAAAGAATGGAGGAGATGGCTTGAAGACATGCGTGACTGGTGCGTCTCGAGACAGATTTGGTGGGGGCATAGAATACCGGCATGGTACGCTACTCTAGAAGAAGATGAGCGTAAGGAAGCAGGTGCTTACAATGACCATTGGGTTGTTGCTAGAAATGAGGAAGAAGCTCGCGAAGAGGCTGAGCATAGATTTTCTGGGAAGAAGTTGATGGATCTCTCTCAAGATCCTGATGTTCTTGATACATGGTTTTCTTCTGGGCTCTTCCCGTTGTCTGTTTTTGGATGGCCAGATGAAACAGAGGACTTCAAAGCTTTCTACCCCGTCTCTGTTCTTGAAACTGGGCTTGACATTCTCTTTTTCTGGGTTGTTCGAATGGTTATGCTGGCAATGAAAGCACGTGATGGGGATGTTCCTTTCAACAAGGTTTATTTGCATCCTATGGTACGTGATGCACATGGGCGCAAGATGTCAAAGTCGCTTGGAAACGGCATTGATCCGCTTGAAGTCATTAACGGTGAGACTCGCGCGGGTCTTCACACCAGGTTAGAGAAAGGTAACTTGGATCCAAAGGAGCTCCTTGTTGCCAAGGAGGGACAAGTGAAGGATTTTCCAAATGGTATCCCTGAATGTGGCGCTGATGCTCTGCGATTTGCTCTTATATCTTACACTGATCAGTCGTATAATGTGAACATGGATGTACTGCGTGTTGTTGGTTACCGCCAGTGGTGTAATAAACTGTGGAACGCCGTTCGATTTGCGATGATGAAGCTTGGAGATGGTTATACTCCTCCTCTGCACACTCTAAGCCCTGAAACCATGCCCTTCAGCTGCCAATGGATTCTCTCTGTGCTAAACAAGGCAGTCTCAAAGACTGTGGATTCATTGAATGCTTTCGAGTTATCAGATGCAACCAGCACAGTGTATTCATGGTGGCAATACCAGTTTTGTGATGTGTTTATTGAAGCAATCAAGCCTACATGTTTCTCTGCTGAAAACACAGGAAGGAGCGATGCACAAGACGCTCTGTGGGTATGTCTCGAGACTGGTTTGAGATTGCTGCATCCGTTCATGCCTTTCATCACTGAAGAGCTGTGGCAGCGTTTGCCTTCACCGCAAGGCTGTGAACGGAAAGCTTCCATCATGATATGTGACTACCCATCTCCCATAGAGAAGTGGGCTAACGAGAAGGTGGAGACCGAAATGGAATTGGTTATTGCGACGGTGAAAACTCTTAGGGCACTGAGAGCTGCAGAGTCGGTAGAGAGGCAGAGGAACGAAAGGTTACATGCGTTTGCTCTGTGTGGAAACGCAACAACACTGGAGATTGTGCAATCCCATGAGCTGGAGATCAGAACTCTGGCAAATCTCTCATCCTTTGAGGTAATGTTGAAGGGAGAAGAGAAAGCAGCTCAATGTGGATCTGCTGTTGTTGAGACTGTGAACGAGAACCTCAAAGTGTATCTCAAAGTGGATGGAGCAGCAAACAACCCAGAAGCTGAACGTGAGAAAATGAGAAACAAGATCGAAGAATTGCAAAAGCAAAAGGAGAAGCTGCAGAAGATGATGGGCATGAGTGGATACGAAGAGAAGGTCCCTGCAAACATAAAGGAAGACAATGCGACGAAGCTTGCGAAGCTTCTTCAAGAGCTTGATTTCTTTCAGGACAATTGAGCTTTTATAGATTTTTTCACTTTTCTTGTCTTGAGTCATTTTTTTTCTAGATTATCAAGTTTTGAGTCAATATAGATCTTTGCTTTAGATGAAACCAGCTTTCTCTTTGCTAACTTTTAAAAGCGTGTCACAAATAACTTTTGGACTCACTTTGTATGTCAACTTCCTGTTCTTCTTCTGGATTTCAAACTCTGAAGCTTCACTTTCTTCCTCAAATTCAGTGATACCAAGAAAAGTAACAAAGCCTTTGCATCCAAAGAACTTAATCCTTTTCTATCAACTGTTGGACAGTCGACATTGTAATGTCCATACCCTTTGCACTCGTAACATTGAAAATCTGTTTTCTTGTTAGAATCTTCAAATTCCAGAAATATTCTGGCCCTTGTTGTACACTTGTTAAGACACACGATCAACTCTCCTTGCCAACATCATCCTTATAGTTATAGCATCATCCCTATCCTGTGTCTTGTCAGTTTTTTCTGAAAATTAATGTTAGAAGCACCAATTTTTTTTCCTTTGTGATTTTTTCCCAACAACTTTGAGCTTCACTACCAATTGAGGAGCTTATCTGAGCTCTGAATTCAGCAATTGATTCATGCTCTTCCATCCTAAAATTCTCAAATTTAGATGACACTTGGATTCAGCAATTGAGTTGAACTGGTTCTTTCAAATGCATAGAAATTTGCAGCGATAGCTTGAGTTATATTTGGCCAACCGCTTGTCTTTATCACTCTATTCTCCCTTTGGTTTTGTAAAATGTGTTCCTGTTTCAGTCTTGGTAGTTGCTTCTTTCCATCCTACTAGAATCCTTAAGCACTCTGTTTTTGGTATTCTATACTCTGAAAGCCAAAAAACGTTTGTTGCTAAGAGTCTCTATCTCTCTTAGTCGCTAATGTTCTAATAGCTACTTATACACATAGATTGGCCTACTCAACCACAAATATCTCTTTCTTTGTAAGTTCTTGGGAACCATAATTACGCACAAGAATTCTCTAAAAAGTTTATGCATCATCCAACATTACATATCAACTATAACACAAAACAACCAGCATATGTCTTAAAAAGATTACAATGAATTATTAGGTTGTTCTGACCTAACGATTGTAAATTATTCTTAATGTCTTAGCAAACAAACATTAAACTTCGTGACGTTTCTCTATTTTAATAGAGTCACGTCCTTTGTTTTTTGTTTTTGGGTATAAAGGCTTTTATCTTTTAAATTCTTCTTTTGACGGTTTCAATTTTCTAGAAGTCAATCAAATGCATGGAAACAACAATGTGTAAGCCTTTGAAAAAGTACTAACGAACAGAACATGAATTAACAATGTATGCCGTTCTGATTTATGTTAGATATAAAACTGCGTGAGGTATCCGGTTTGAAAAAGTAAGACATAACAACTGTTGCGTGTGCAGCACTAAAGCCAAAGCTAAGTTTTTTCTTCGGATTCACGTAAAGAATTTCTCCACACTTTCCATCTTCCAAACTTGATTTCGAAGAGGAAAAAAACACAGAGATGGCCAAGACCGGCTCTGTTTCGGATCCCCGTTCGAGGCTCAAGTGGGACATATTCCTCAGTTTCCAAAGAAACACGCGCCACAGTTTCACGGAGCGTCTCTATGAAGCCCTCATCAAGGAACAGGTCCGCGTATGGAACGGTGATGCGGAGCGTGGGAGTCATGAGGAGGCTATGGAGGGTTCGGTGGTTTTCGTAGTAGTCTTATCCCTTGACTACGCTAAATCTCATTGGTGCCTCGAAGAACTAGCCAAGCTCTGCGATCTGGAATCGTCGCTGGGTCATCGGATCTTACCGATCTTTTATGGAGTCGATCCGTGGCATTTTCGGAGACCGAGTCCTATCGAAGAGGATTTCAAAGAGCATTCGAAAATATTTGGCGATGAGGAGATACAACGATGGAGGAGAGCTTTGCGTTTAGTCGGAAATATCTCCGGATTTGTTCTTAGGTATGACTCTGATAACCTCTACATTCATAATCCTTTGATTCAGTTCATATGTTTGGTAGAGACTCTGATTCTTACATTTTCATCTCATTTAAAACTTTTAAGTATTCTTGTTGGTGTGTGTTCTTCTCTCCAATGCTTAAATAAGATTAGTTTTTCTTCCAAAGCTTGGATTCTTGCTGTGTTTTCGCATTTGTATGTTCTTGACAATCCTTTAGTTTCCTAAGAGTATGTATCTTAGTTTGAGCACTAGAACCCAAACGTATTTGTCACTTTAGTAGCTTGATCTTTTTTTAATCCGTTTAAGAGCATTTTAAAATAGTGTCAAACCTTCTCCTTGAACCTGTGGCTTTCATACGCATGTCTTTTAGCTCGTAAAGCCATTGTTTGTTCTTAAGCTAAACAGTCAAAGGAATGTGACACTGCGTGTTGTTCTGATTGACTACGGGACATGGAAACTGTGTGGCGTTTTCAGAGTAAGTGAGATTTCATTTGCGTGGGTCCCGCGCTCATTGAAAGTCAAATGAGAGGATTTTGTTAAACAACGTATACTATATGACACTAGGAAATAGGAAAATAGAAATTGACTAAAAATATCCAGAAGAAGAGTACAAATTGCTTGATTTGGGATTCCCGTAAATCGAAAGCTTCGTCTTCATCGTCTAGTCAACGGCAATAAACCGATCGGATCGCCGATATAGTTGCATGATTTCCTCTCTGACACCACCGTCATCAGCCGGAGAAGTAGAGTGAAGAAAATTTCAGAAGCTGAGCACGAATCGACGGAAAAATCCACACAGTTGACTTGAAAAAAAAGCTGAGTAGTAGGGTAGTAGTAGCGTAAGCTTCCTCTCCGGATTCACTCGTCGTATTTCAGAGTTGATCGGAGATGGAGGGAGGCGTGCTATCGAAGCCGCACAGGCTCAAGTACGACGTTTTCCTCAGTTTCCGAGGCGGAGACACGCGCGACGGCTTCGCAGATCGTCTCTACAAGGCGCTCAAAAAGGAGGTCCGGGTCTTCCGCGACAACGAAGGCATGGAGCGAGGGACTGAGATCGCTCAGAGTCTCGAGGAAGGCATGGCGGACTCGGCGGCCTCCGTCGTCGTCTTATCCCGTCGCTACGCTGACTCTCGCTGGTGCCTAAATGAATTAGCTATGCTCTGCGATCTGGAATCATCCCTAGATCGGCCGATTTTACCCATATTTTACAAGGTCAATCCCTCCCATGTACGCAAACAGAGCCATAGATTCGAGAAGCATTTTGATGAACACGCCAAAAGATTCAGCGAGGAGGAGGTTCAGCGATGGAGAGGAGCTATGAGTTTAGTTGGAAATCTCGCTGGATATGTTCATCAGTAAGACTGCTTTTTAATTGTTTATTGATCATGTAGAGATAGAAGATGCATTGAAGTTAGGTTTTTTTTTACTGCTTTCTACTTATTTATTTTGGAATTTTGTGTCTTCTTTCTTGGAATCTGGCAGAGAAAACTCGGTTGATGAGGATGATAACATAATAGATGACAAACAAAGAAAAGATGAGGATGACGTGATAGAGCGTGTGGTGAAAAAGGTTTTAGCTCAAGTGAGCAATACACCAGAGAAAGTGGGAGAATTCACGGTTGGTCTGGAATCACGTGTCGACGATTTGATGAAGCTGGTCGACTTTAAATCCAGCTCCGGCGTTCAGATCCTGGGGCTTTACGGTATGGGTGGTATTGGGAAGACGACGCTCGCAAAACGCTTCTATAACAAGATCATCAAAAACTTCGAGGAGCACCGAGTTTTCATCTCAGACGTTAGAGAAAAATCATCACGTCAAGATGGCTTAGTCAATCTACAAACAACGTTGATCACTGAACTTTCCCCTCGTTCGCCACCTCCAATAGAAGATGTTAGCAGTGGCCGTGACAAGATAAGAGCAAGTGTTCACGAGAAGAAGGTTCTTGCGGTTTTAGATGATGTTGATAGCGTAGACCAGATTAATGCGCTGGTTGGTGAAAGAAGTTGGTATGGTCAAGGAAGTCTTATCATCGTCACCACCAGAGATGAAGAGATTCTGAGGAAGCTCTCTGTGGACAAACAGTATGAGGTCAGCTGCTTGACTGAGACGCAGGCATTGAATCTGTTTAGTTATCATTCACTACGCAAAGAAAAACCAACGGAGAGTCTAATGGAGTTGTCGAAGAAGATTGTTCAGATAACGGGAAGGTTGCCACTGGCTGTTGAAGTGTTTGGCTCCCTTTTGTATGACAAGAAGGAAAAGGAATGGCGAGTTCAACTAGAGAAGCTGAAAAACATTCGACCAGACGATCTTCAGGGTGTTCTTGCGCTGAGTTTCGAGTCCTTGGACGATGAAGAAAAGATTGTATTCCTCGACATTGCGTGTCTCTTTCTTAAAATGGAGATAAGCAAAGAAGAAGTTGTCGACGTGCTGAAAGGATGTGGGCTCAACGCTGAGGCTGCTCTCGGTGTCCTGAGACAGAAATCTCTTGTTAAGATCTTGGCAGACAGAGACAATACTCTTTGGATGCATGATCAGATCAGAGACATGGGAAGGCAGATGGTCCTCAAAGAAAGCCTTGAGGATCCTGGAATGCGAAGTAGACTCGGGGATCGTGGTGAAGTCATGACCGTATTGAATCATATGAAGGTTTTTTTTTTTAATCTTCATCAATGATTTCATTTTGTATTTGACTTACATTCTTATGATCATGTTTTTTTTTCTTCTTCCAGGGAACAGCATCCATCCGAGGAATGGTATTTGACTTCAAAAAGAAGTTTGTGAGGGAGTCAAGTGCAGTTGAAATTCCGTCGAGCAAACTACAAAACAATTCAGGCATCAGCTCTGCGTTTAATCGCATAAAGAATATATTTGTGAGATGTCCAGAAGAGGAAAAGCCAAAACATTCTGAGATCACCATTCCCGTAGAGCCTTTTGTACCAATGTCGAAGTTGAGACTTCTGCAGATAAACAACGTGGAACTGGAAGGAAATCTTAAACTCCTCCCATCTGAACTCAAATGGATACAGTGGAGAGGTTGCCCATTAGAAACTCTTCCACCGGATTTTCTTGCTAGGCAACTTGCTGTTCTTGATCTTTCAGAGAGTGGAATAAGACAAGTCCAGACTTCGCGCAGCAAAAGGGTAAGCCTTCTTATTTTCCTCTAGCATGGGTGATGATTATAAGTCTCACTGCTTAAAAAAATTGTCTATGCTTTGCAGGGGGATCAGAACTTGAAGGTTGTAAATTTGCGTGGTTGCCACAGCTTAGAAGCCATTCCTGATCTATCAAATCATAAAGCTATAGAGAAGCTTGTTTTCGAGGGATGCAAGCTTCTGGTGAAGGTTCCTAGATCAGTTGGTAATCTGAGTACATTGCTTCACCTGGACTTCAGATACTGTTCAAATCTATCTGAATTTCGTGTGGATGTTTCTGGTCTGAAGAGTCTTGAGAAGCTATTCCTCTCTGGCTGTTCAAATCTGAGTGTGTTACCAGAAAACATTGGCTTTATGCCATGTTTGAAAGAGCTTCTTCTTGATGGGACTGCGATAATGAACCTACCGGAATCTATTTTTCGCCTTCAAAAACTTAAAAAGCTTAGTCTAGACGGCTGCAGATATATTCAGGAGCTACCTTCGGACATGGAAACATTGACATCACTGGAGGAGCTGTATCTTGATGGAACCTCATTGAAAAACCTTCCGAATTCTATTGGAAGTCTAGTAAATCTCCAGAAACTGCATATGATGCACTGCACGTCCCTTTCCAAGGTTCCTGACACCATCAATGACCTGAAATCATTAAAGGAGTTGTTCATCAACGGAAGTGCGGTGGAGGAGCTACCTCTAAATCCTGGCGCACTGCCATGTTTGATTGAGTTTTCAGCAGGAGGATGCAGATCGCTGAAACACGTTCCGAGTTCGATTGGTGGATTAAAATCTCTTATTCAACTTCAGTTGGATAACACCCCAATCGAAACTTTACCAGAAGAGATAGGCCACCTGCCCTTTATTCAGACACTTGAACTGAGAAACTGCAAATCCCTCAAGTTTCTGCCAGAAACAATTGGAGGTATGGACAGACTCGAAAACTTGTACCTTAGCGGCTCTAACGTTGAGGAACTGCCGGAAGACTTTGGAAAGCTGGAAAAACTAGTACAGCTCCGAATGAACAAGTGTGCAAAGCTCAAGAAGCTTCCTGAATCATTTGGAGACTTGAAATCTCTTCACCAGCTGTACATGGAGGAAACTTTGGTCACAGAGCTGCCAGAAAGTTTCGGAAACCTCTCAAATTTAAGGGTATTGAAAATGCTGAAGAGGCCTCTTAATAGAATTTCTGAGAATGATGCTCCTGGTACAAGCGAAGAACCACGTTTTGTAATGCCAAACTCTTTCTCAAACCTCGTGAAACTTGAGGAACTGGATGCTCGCAGTTGGGGGATATCCGGTAAAATCCCAGATGCTTTCGAGAAGCTTTCTTCTTTGGAGATACTGAACCTGGGGAATAATTACTTCCACAGTCTTCCGTCTAGCCTCAAGGGGTTATCAAATCTCAGAGAACTCTCATTGTATGACTGCCGAGAGCTCACGCGTCTTCCTCCTCTTCCATGTAAACTGGAGCAGATAAACTTGGCGAACTGCTTTTCATTGGAGAGTATAGCCGACCTTTCAGAGCTGACGATCTTGCACGACCTCAATCTCACAAACTGTAAGAAAGTGAATGATATTCCAGGCCTAGAGAAGTTGACTGCTCTGAAACGATTATACACGAGCGGCTGTAACTCCACCTGCTCCATTGACGTAAAGAAAAGACTGTCCAAGGTGATTCCACAAACTCTTCAGTATCTCAATTAGTTTTAAAACTCGTAAGGGTTTTGTTAACAAACTAGCTTGCAATCTTGTGAATATCTTTCTCATTCTCAGGTTTCTTTGAAAATGCTGCGGAATCTGAGCTTGCCTGGAAACAGAATCCCAGACTGGTTCTCACAAGGCCCTGTCACGTTCTCAGCTCAACCGAACAGAGAGCTGAGAGGCGTGGTCATTGCTGTTGTTGTGGCTGTTAACCAGGGAAGCAAAGATGATTTCCAGGTGCCTGATGTGTTGGGGATTCAAGCTCAAATTCTGGAACTTGGTCGACCCAAATACAACACCACATTGAGCCTCTCTGGAGTGCCGAGGACAAGTGATGACCAGCTCCACATCTGCCGATACTCGCATCATCACCCAATGGCCACGTTGTTGAAAGACGGGTACACCATACAGGTGATCAAACAAAAACTGCCGATCAAACAAGACGCTGAGCTAAAGATGCATGGGATCCATTTGGTTTATGAGGGGGATGATGATTTAGAAGGAGAAGAAGATACAGTAAACGAGACACATCTCTCCGTTTCTCAGAAACTTGCCAATTTCTTCAGCTCTTTCGAAGAAAATGAAGCCAGCTCAGAAGGTGATTCTAATTATAGAACAAAGAGCTTCGTCGAGTGGGATAATGACGAGCCAGAAGAAGTAAGTGTCGTTGAGCAATTGAAGGAAGGAGATTTGGATTGGGGGCTTTCTGGTTTAGAAGCTTGCAGTGTAGGATCAGGTGACTCAGGTTCTGGGACCAACATTGCTATCGTTGTAGGCAAATCCACCGCTGCAGCTCTCAAAATGAGGAACCCGAACGATGACTGGTACTCCTTCCGCGAGTTCCTCAGCAACCGCCTGAGTCCATTGACTCTCTCTGGGTGCAATGCCAAAGACGCCATTGATTTTCTCCGCGAGCAGCAGATTTCGGGTGACTCCAAGGTCCTTGTTGGCCGCCTAATTGCTGCATGTGATGCCTTCGGCATAAAAACGAAGGACAATCCTTTTCGAAGCCTAGCTGTAACAACATACCTGAAGGAGGCGAGGCAAATGACTCGAGAAGCAGAATGCGTAGTAGTCTTTTCGTGCAATGACAACCTTCATGTGGACGAGGCACATTTCATCGAAGCCATCTTGAAAGAGTTGCACAAGCGAGAGGTCAGCCCTTTGACATATAATCTATCAAGGAGAGAAAACGTGGACGTGGAGATGCTTTACCGATCTAGTGTGGGGATTATGGTAGTTTCAAATAGTTTTGCTCGTAGTAGTCAGTCCTTAGATCATCTGGTGGCAATCATGGAGCTTCGGAAAGCAACCGGCCTTGAAATTATTCCGGCATACTTTAAAGTAACACGTGCAGACATTTGTGGGTTGGAAGGCCGGTTTGAAGCAGAATTTCTGCAGTATCAGAATTCTGTACAGGCAGACAGAGTTCAAAAATGGAGGGCAGCTATCATAGAAGCAGCTTTCACCGATGGAAATGAATGGACAAAGGGGTATATTGATCTCTCTTAATTGTCCATTTAGTATTGTACAATGTGGCAATTGTTCCTCTGGAAGCTTTTCTGGGAAACATCAAATATGCGTATTAACATTTTCAAAGATTCAGAGCTATTCTTCTTCTCATTGTGGTATTAATTCTTTTCCACTTTCTGTGTTCTTTTTGCAGAACTCAATTTATGCTTGCTGAGGAAGTTGTAATTAATGCATGCTCCAGGCTACATTTTGAAAATAGCAATAATCTGGTCAGAATCTTAGCATTGCTAAACCACCCCCAGCCGTCAGATGTGGAAATTGAGGGAATCTGGGGTATGGCAGGAATAGGTAAGACATCCATTGTTAGCGAAATTTTTAAAATACTAGCTCCACAGTATGATGTGTGTTACTTTCTACAAGACTTTCATCTAAAGTGTCAGAGGGTAGGGCTGAGGCAAATACGTGATGATTTCTTATGTAAATTATTTGGGGAAAAAAAACTAAGTATAAGCGCTTGTGATATAAAACAGAGTTTCTTGAGGGACTGGTCCCACAATAAAGCGATTCTCGTTGTTCTAGATGACGTGAGCAATGCCAGAGATGCAGAATATGTAGTTGGAGGGTTTGGCTGGTTTTCTCGTGGACACAGAATCATATTAACCTCTAGGAGTAAACAAGTTCTTGTACAGAGTAAGGTAAAAGGGCCGTACGAGATCCAAAAATTGTGCAAGCTTGAATCTTCTCATCTCTGCAAACAATATTTAAATGGAGAAAGGGCGGTCATCTCAGAGCTTATCAGCTGCAGTAGTGGTATTCCTTTGGCTCTCAAAGTTTTGGGTTCCTCTGTATCAAAGCAGCATAAAATAAATATGAAAAGACATCTTCAAACCTTGCGGAAGAATCCTCCTACCAAGATTCAGGAAGCATTTCAGAGAAGCTTTGATCGACTAGATGGAAACGAAAAAAACATATTCTTGGACCTTGCATGTTTTTTTATAGGGAAGAACAGAGATCATGTGGTACATTTACTTAATGCTTGTGGGTTTTTTACGTCTTTGGGAATCTCTAATCTCATTGATGAGTCTCTCGTTAGCCTTCTGGAAAATAGGATTGAAATCCCTATTCCTTATCAAGACATTGGTCGATTTATTGTTCATAAAGAAGACAAGAATCCATGCAAACGTAGCAGATTGTGGGACTCTAATGACATAGCTGATGTTTTGACAAAAGTATCAGTAAGTTGATTTGTTTTTGCTCTTTTAACAGTCCAGACACCTCATAATTATCTTTTCTTTGGTTGTAAAAGCTGATGTTTCCCTTCTTATGTGATTGTCTTCGTCAGGGAACAGAAGCGATTGAGGGCATCTTCCTGGATGCGTCTGAATTGACCTGTAAGTTGAGTCCTACTGTGTTTGGTAAGATGTACAGACTTAGATTGCTGAAGTTCTATTGTTCCACCCCTGGAAATGAGTGCAAGCTATATCTACCTCACGGCCTCGACGCTTTACCTGATGAGCTAAGGTTACTTCACTGGGAGAATTACCCTCTGGAATTCTTGCCTCAGAAATTTAATCCTGAAAACCTTGTAGAGGTAAACATGCCTTACAGCAACATGGAGAAGTTATGGGAAGGGAAGAAAGTAAGTGTTGACATTATGGTCTTTTAAGCCACTTACATGAATTTATAAGCTTGCATCTGATGACTGATCATGGTTATTCATGTTGTAAGCAGAATCTCGAGAAGCTAAAGAAAATCAAACTGAGTCACTCCAGAAAACTTACTGATATCCTGATGTTATCAGAAGCCCTGAACCTTGAGCATATTGATCTCGAAGGGTGTACAAGTCTGATTGATGTTAGCACATCTATTTCTCATCTTGGGAAGCTTGTTTCCTTGAATATGAAAGACTGTTCTCGTTTGCAAAATCTGCCTTCGATAATCGATTTAACATCTCTCAAGCTTCTTAATTTGTCGGGCTGCTCAGAGCTTGAGGATATTCGGGATTTTGCACCAAACCTGGAAGAGATATATCTCGCTGGGTCTGCCATTCGAGAACTGCCATTGTCAATCGAGAATCTCACTGAACTTGTTACGCTAGATCTGGAGGACTGCAAAAGGCTTCAGAAACTGCCAATGGGAATAAAAAGCTTGAAATCTATCGTCGAACTTAAGCTGTCTGGCTGCACAAGTCTTACTGATGTGAGACTCTAAATCTCTAACTTCACCAGGTAATTCAACTACTGGACTTGGTTTGTTGCATTCTAGTATTGGATCTAACATTAAATGAGAATCCATTGGCTTTTGTATCTGATTGCAGTCAAGTTGCCAACTTGGTATTGCGACTCTGTTAAGTATTGACCTTTTGGGTGGCTAAATTTATGGTCCAGGTTTCAGATTGGAAGCTAATCACGCCAGAGCAATTTTCACAGATTCTGATTGGCTTGCAAGTGCGCAGGCGCTAAGACCTGCTATCAACATTATGCCCCAAATTCTTTCTTGGAATATGAAACCATATTTAATTGGAATTTCTGTTATGGCTTAGGAAATTCGCCATTTTGTTATTTAAGATTTAGTGTTTTGATGTCGTCTGTCCAGCCTTTTGGAATGACCTTTTTATATGCCTATAAATGAGGCTTTTGTGTTCCCAAGCTTTGTACGCCTCCAATCATCTAATTTTGGTCTGAAAGTATTTTATCTTTGTGGAATGCCATATAACGAACTGTAGCTTATATTAGATTTGATTTTGGGGTCACTTATGCTTCTTAACTTCTCCATGGTCCTTGTCGGATGATTTTGTATTGACATTCCTCTAACCTCTTTCGCTTGTCTCTGGTTAAGTGTTGATGTTGAGCATTGTCAACATCATAAAGGGTAAAGCTAGATGAATATTTTACACAACAATTTGGAATATACATCTGATTTGTGAACTGGTTTGTGGAAGTCTATAGATGCAGACTTGAAAAGTCAACGAAATTTTTCTGATGCAAAGGAACCGTCGTGGAAAGATTCGCTGTTGTTCGTCGCCTCAAAGTCAACGAAGTTTTCGATTTCACTTCCTTCTTAAAGAGAGACTCTCCTCAATTTCGAAGGTGCATCATCGACGTTTCCCGATGGCTTTTGCTTCTTCTTCCTCATTGTTGGATTCCTCCAACTGCAAATTCCATGTGTTTGTGAGTTTCAGAGGCAGGGACACGCGTAATACCTTCACGGCTCATCTCCTTGAGTCCCTTCGCCGGAAAGGTATCAATGTTTTCTCCGATGGGAAACTCCTGCGAGGCGAGAACCTCTCGGTTCTCTTTGGAAAGATCAAGCAATCGAAGATGTCTATCGTTGTCTTCTCGGAGAACTACGCCAACTCCACCTGGTGCTTGGAGGAGTTCCGGATGATCATGCAGTGCAAAGAATCCGGTCATGGGGTTATGCCCATCTTCTACAAAGTAAAAAAATCTGATGTGGAAAACCAGAATGGGAGTTTTGGAGCTCCCTTTCAGAGCCCTGAGGAGAGTTTCAAGGGAGCTGAGCACAAGGTCGGGGCATGGAAGAAAGCTCTGAGGATTGTTTCCGATATCCTTGGCTTTGTATATCCTGAGGACAGGTACTAGCAAATCTAACCATTCCTCTCACTTTTTATCCTGAAACAGGAAAACTGTTGTTAATATGCATTCAATCGTTCCATAGACGTATTGTTACAGCCTAGGAGAGTAGATGTTGACCACTGGTCTTCACCCACTCTGTTTTGGTTTCAACTTGTTCAATCTCTTTAAACTCATAATTTGGAACGACTCTTGTGCAATTGGCAGGCCGGAGACTGAATTTCTCGATCACATCGCCGCGGCAACTCTCAGGATGCTGAATGATTTGTCTCCATGTGAAATCCAAGGTTTTCCAGGGATTGAAGCGCGTTCAAAAGAATTGGAGGAGTTATTGATGTTTGATAATGAGGAAGATGTCCGTACAATCGGAGTTCTTGGGATGGCTGGAATCGGCAAGACAATGGTTGCTGATATCGTATATAAGCGAAACTACCGACAATTTGATGGTTACGATTTCGTTGACGACGTTGACAAGGAGTTGGAATGGCATCAGTTAAGTCATTTGCGGGAGAAACTCCTCTGTAAAGTACTCGAAAGAGAAAATTTGGATGTGAGAGCGCATGGAGGAATGGAAAGCTATCTTTCGACCAAGAAGTTGTTTATTGTACTGGATAATGTGACCGATAAAGAACAAATAGATGTTCTCATCGGACATCAAGCATTCCGGAAAGGAACTAGGATTCTTTTGATAACCAGAGACAAGAAGCTGCTGAAGGGAAAAGCTAATGCAACATATGTAGTTCCGAAATTAAATGACAGGGAAGCCATGGAGCTCTTCTGCCTTAAGGCATTCCCTGGAAACCTCTACCCCCCGGAAGAATTTATGGATCTATCAAACAAGTTTGTAGACTATTCTAAAGGTCATCCCTTAGCGTTGACGTTATTAGGTTCGGATCTAGTTCTGAAGCTTGAACCATACTGGAAGGAGAAATGGGAGATCTTAAAGGTAATGCCAGACAAGGAGATTCAGAAAATGCTTGAAAAGAGTTACGAAAAACTAGATGGTGAACAGAAGAGCTTATTTCTGGACATAGCATGTTTTTTCAGATCAGAAAAAGAGGATTTCGTTTTGAGCATCCTGAAACCAGACCTCGTCAATGTTGCTTCTGTGATGAGAGAACTTGAAGATAAATGCTTGGTAACTATTTCTTATGATAGGATTGAGATGCATGATCTATTGCATACAATGGGGAAGAAAATTGGATATGAATCCATCAAAATGGTGGGAGAACGTAGTAGGTTGTGGAACCACAAAGATATTCGTTACATCCTGGAGGAGAACACGGTGAGCTTCATGTTTTATTATTTTTCCATTAGTTTGCTATAGTACATCATATTTATCTACACTTGATGTGGTTCTTCTGGTGTTGTATTCTGTTTACCTTTCCCTGTTCCTTAACCCCCTTTTCTTTTATTGCTACCAGGGCACTGAATTTGTTAGAGGCATCTTCTTTAACATGTCTAATGTCGAAAGGATCAAGCTTAGTCCTGCTGCTTTCAAGAGGATGTCAAAACTCAAATTCCTGAAATTCCAGAATTCTCATTGTTCTCAGTGGTGTGACAATGACTGTAAATTTCAATTCTGCCAAGGGCTTGATCACTTTAAAGCTACGCTTGTGTACCTTCACTGGCAGGGGTATCCTTACGCCTCTCTGCCATCAGAGTTCAATCCAGAGGAACTTGTCGATCTTAACCTGCGTTATAGCCACATTAAAAGACTGTGGGAGGAGGAAAAGGTACATCATCGGCTATATATATATATATATATATATTCTTATCTGAAGATATTCTTTAAATTTTCTGCTGATTAGTTATTTTACTCATTGTCTATGTGCCACAGAATACAGAAAATTTAAGATGGGTCGACCTCAGTCAGTCAAAAGCCTTGCTGAATTTATCAGGATTATCCAAGGCCAAAAATCTTGAGAGACTGGATCTCGAAGGATGTACGAGTTTGGCTGCGTTGGGCCCATCAATCGAACAGATGGACAAACTTATTTACCTGAACCTCCGAGAGTGCACTAGCCTTGAGAGTCTCCCAGAGAAAATCAACTTAAAATCTCTGAAGACTCTGATTCTCAGTGGCTGCTCAAACCTTCGGGACTTTCAAATTATATCAAAAAATATTGAATCGCTTTATTTGGAAGACTCAGCAATCGAACGGGTTGTTGAACACATCCAAAGTCTCAGCAACCTTATTTTGCTGAATCTAAAGAATTGTCGCAGGTTGAGGGATCTTCCCATCGATCTTTACAAGCTCAAATCTCTTCAAGAACTGATTATCTCTGGCTGTTCAGCGCTGGAGAGTCTTCCACCCATCAAAGAGGAGATGAAATGCTTAGAGATTTTGCTTATGGATGGAACATCCATCAAACAAACACCTGAAATGATCTATTTGAGTAACCTCAAGATTTTCTCCTTTTGTGGATCTAGCAACAAAGACTCCGCAGGGGTAGTGTTGTTGCCTTTCTCAGGCAGCTCTCATTTATCAAACCTCTATCTCACGAATTCCAATATCTACAAATTGCCGGATAACTTTAGCTCTTTACACTTATTGCGGTGTCTATGCTTAAGTAGAAACAATATTGAGACCCTACCTGAAAGTATCAAGAAACTTTATTCTCTGATGTTTCTAGACTTGAAGCATTGTTGTAGGCTCAATTCCCTTCCTGTGCTTCCATCTAACCTACAGTACTTAGATGCTCATGGGTGTGTTTCTCTGGAAAAGGTTGCAAAGCCTTTGCCGGTTCCCCTAGTAACTGAGAGGATGCATACTACTTATATTTTCACGGATTGCTTTAAACTGAACCGAGCTGAGCAGGAAGCTATTGTATCTCAGGCCCAACTTAAGAGTCAACTACTGGCAAGGACAGCTCTTCAGCATAATCATAAGGTTCATCTCCCTTTTACTCTCTTGTTCTGGTAATGCCTTGATCATACGCTCGTGCTTATATTGTTTAACCCATTTCAGGGACTAGTTCTGGATCCTCTGGTTGCCGTTTGCTTTCCAGGAAGTGACTTACCCTCATGGTTCTGCCATCAGAGAATGGGATCTTCGATTGAAACCGACCTCCTTCCACACTGGTGCAACAGTAAATTTATTGGAGCTTCCCTATGTGTTGTTGTCACCTTCAAGGATCATGAATGTCACCATGCCAACCGTTTATCTGTAAGATGCAAGTCCAATTTTAAAAATCAAAGCGGTCGGTCTATCAGCTTTAGTTTCTGTCTTGGGGGATGGAACGAGTCATGTGGATCATCTTGCCATGAACCACGGAAACTTGGATCTGATCATGTGTTTATTAGTTATAACAACTGTAATGTGTCAGCCTTTCAATGGAGTGAAGAGAGTAATGAGGGTAATAGATGTCGTCCCACTAGTGCCTCATTTGAATTCTACCTTACTGATGACACTGAAAGGAAACTAGAATGCTGCAAGGTGATAAGGTGTGGGATGAGTTTACTATATGCTCCAGATGAGAATGACCGTGGATCCCAAGGAACACGGGTTACAGATAATGTTGAGCGTACATAGAGTAAGGCTTTTGTCCCCGTGCGATGTCGGTCCCACTCGCAAATTGAAGAAAGAAGAGATGAAATCCCCTTTTGAGTGTTTATTTCGGATAAATAGGTTGAAAAACCCTAACCTTTTATAAAAACATAAAACAAACCCTGACCTTTTTTTGTAGGTTATAAAACCATGAACTTGTTAAAATAATGAAAATCAGCCTCTAAAGTAAATTAGCGTTTTGCATTTTGCGTTTAAAATGACGTTTAAGATGACATTTAAGAAAGAAGCAAAATAATTAAAAAAGAAAAACATCGTCTATTTTACTCTTGGCGTAGAAGAGAAACTAGAGCACACATCTCAATTTTATTTAGATGGAGATAAGGTAAGTTGATTATTCAGGAGTCCATCCCAATTTTGATTACTTAGAATTTAAATTTAAACTCTGGGTTGAAAAACAACGTTTATTAATTTTGAGTGAGTTGACGAGATATTTTTTATTTGAATCTGAATTTCTCTTTATTATTTTCATTGTTAAGTGATAATTTGCATGACTATGGTGTTGCGGTAGATAACGAACGCAACGCTGCGGAAGATAGTGAACGAAATAAAGATAATAATGGTGAAAGTGAGAATGAATCAAGTGAAGAATTGCTTGGTTTGCGTATGCAAGAGGATAGTGATAATAACACCGACAATTCCTCTAATGAGATGAGTCGGCCAAGCTTTTAGTAGTAAAGATAGTTTCAGAAAGGCGATTGACAAATATGCTGTGGATATGAAGAGAAATATACAGTATAAGAGATCTGAAACTATGTATGTGTTGGTCGAAGCGTTCGAGACATGAGCACTAACATTATGCTACCTTCATCACTTTTCAGAGAGCACGAACGAAACAAGTTGAATATTAGACGACGCAAAACATGATGATTTATATGCATTTTATATTGTGACAAGTTTCTAGAAGTTGTCATGCTTCTACGTATGTCTATGAGACTCTCGTTCTGATTTTTTTTTAGATAATTTATTTTATTTAACAATTTTATTTTATTATGGTAGACATAAAAGTTCTGTTGGCTGTATTATTTTAAAATTTTGAATGACTCATACTTTATATCTCATTTAAAATAGAAAAAGACAATCCTTCTTTATGAACAAAGACACTACTTATTATTTCCTTTTCTAGCTAAACACTAATTTACTTAAGGGCAGATTTCCATTGTTTTACAAGATCAGGGTTTTAAAACCCACAAAAAAAGATCAGGGTTTGTTTTATGTTTTTATAAAAGCTCAGGGTTTTTCTACCCATTTTCCTGTTTATTTCATGAGAGTTTACCATCTCAACTCAACCGAACAGAGGGCTGAGAGGCGTGGTCATTGCTGTTGTTGTGGCTGTTAACCAGGAAATCAATGATTTCCAGGTGCCTGATGTGTTGGGGATTCAAGCTCAAATTCTGGAACTTGGTCAACCCAAATACAACACCACATTGAGCCTCTCTGGAGTGCCGAGGACAAGTGATGACCAGCTCTACATCTGCCGATACTCGCATCATCACCCAATGGTCACGTTGTTGAAAGACAGGTACACCATACAGGTGATCAAACAAAAACTGCCGATCAAACAAGACGCTGAGCTAAAGATGCATGGGATCCATCTGGTTTATGAGGGGGATGATGATTTAGAAGGAGAAGAAGATACAGTGAACGAGACACATTTAACCGTTTCTCAGAAACTTGCCAATTTCTTCAGATCTTTCGAAGAAGGTGAAGCCAGCTCAGAAAAGTGATTCTACTTTTACATGATCTGATACCACAGAGATGTTAAGAAACTGAATACAAACTATTGCTAAAACAAAAACACACAACAAAACTGTTTCTCTGTAAGTATTTTTATTTCTCTCTTTGGTCCTCTGTTCTCAAGCTTGTTTGCTTCTTTAAGTTTACTACTTCTGTTTATAGTTGTCTTTCTACCTTTACTTTTTATATATAATCAATATAAAAAGCCAAAAAGAGGAGACTCTTGTTTCCCATGATTTTTCGAGTGTGTGGGCTGGATTTCACACAATAGAATTTGTCTGTTAAAAATAAAAGAGGACGTAAAGATTCTAAATTAAACACGAGAGAACAAGGATCCAAAGATGGTGATTTTATTATTGCCGCTTAGTTAAGCTTTTGGTACAAGTATTTTGTTAGAGCTTTTGCTAGGTAAAAAGCCGATCCCTTTACGAATGAACTAAGTTATCTATTTATACGACTTCTCTTCGCCTAAGCGAGAATCTAGGAGTATATTATGTAGATATTCCTTCCTTTCTCTTTTGACGGCGACCCCCTCCACAAGGCTTCGTCTTCTAGGATAAACGTTGCTTCGGACCTCCTTGTGGGCTTGGGCTCGGCCCCTAATCCAAATGCTTTCGCCTCGGGCTTGGTTTTGGGCTTCGTCTCGACTTAGTCCATAAATGCTTTGATTTGGCTCGATACTGAGCATATCTGGTTTGGTTCGGTTTGTATATAGTTTCTGACCGAGGCGACGATTTGGCTCAATTTATGAACAAATCATGTACGGTTCGGTTCAGCTCGGTTTCGTGCATGTTTCGTGCATGCTTCAGTTCTCTTCGGCTCCATGCACAAATTCTGCACCGAAGCATTTCAGTTCGGTTTCTGCACAATTTGTGCATCGAGGTGTCTAGCTCGGGCCTTGCACAGTTTGTGCGCCGAAGCATTCAGCTCGGTTCCTGCACAATTTGTGCACCGAGGTGTTTCAGCTCGGTTTCTGCACAATTTGTGCACCGAGGTGTCTAGCTCGGGCCTTGCACAGTTTGTGCATCGAAGCATTCAGCTCGGTTCCTGCACAATTTATGCACCGAGATGTTTCAGCTCGGTTTCTGCACAATTTGTGCACCGAGGTGTTTAGCTCGGGGCCGTGCATAATTTGTGCACCGAGGTGTTTGGCTCGGGTCGTACACAATTTGTGCACCTAGGTGTTTAGCTCGGGGCCGTGCACAATTTATGCATCGAGGCGTTTTGTTCGGGTTGTGCACAGTTTGTGCACCGAGGTGTTTAGCTGGGGTCTTTGCACAGCAGCTCGTTCTCCTGCACATTTAATGTACAGTCAGGAATAATTTTCATACTTAGTCATTTTCTTGATTGATCTCGTCGGGGTGAATACCGACCCAACATCGAGTATTCTTTAAGAAAACGGATTTATGAAAGTTTGGTTAACGTGACATTCCAAGAGTGAAGAGAATCAATCCCATATATTAAATAAATTTCTATTTCTGTTTACTCGATTCCAAAAGATTCACTTTCACAGCTTGTCACAGTAACAAAGAAGAGACCAACAGATTATGAAAAGGATATGGTGACAAGACGATGGTATAACTCAAAAGATAGTAAGTGGGGTCGAAGCTCATGTGTCTATGTTCAGCAGATAACCACAGAGAAGTTAAGAAACTACTAAACAAAAAACACCAAAAAAAAAAATACTGTTTCTTTGTAAATATTTTTTCTGGTTTTTCTCTTTGGTTCTCTGTTCTCAAGCTTATTTGCTTCTGTAAGTTTATGTTAGTTGTTTCTTTACCTTTGCGTTTATTATAAAAACAAAAAAGCTTGAACTGGTTGTGATCCACACGCATACGGCAATAATCAGCACCGCCTAGTCTAAGCCAGGCCGCGTTCCAGAAGAACTATCGAGTTTTCCAAAATGCTTCTCGTGATGCTTACGAACGTGAACCCTAAAACGCTGCTCTTCTTTCGGACCACCACAAAGCTTACCAATGAGGCTCAAATACTTTGTACCTTCATCGACAACCCTTCTAACCATAGCTTTGCGTTCAACATTCACATCAGCCTTACTCTTATCTTTATAGGTTATGTACACATTCGCACTTTTGCGCCCGAGTTTCCAGTCCGGCCCCAACCCGTCTTCATAACTTTCTATCACCACTTTCACAATCTCCAACTCCAACAGATCGCTCTACAGCAGCAATAGTTTTGGTGTTAATGTTATAATAACCACTCATGGTATGTCACTGATTTGCAGAAATATAATATAATAAAGAAACTTACAGCTGAAGTAAACCTATCATGCGCACAAATGACAAGTTCCAAGTACATTAATACCCAATCAACCTCTTGCAACTCTTGTGTCTCCACCTGCAAAATCAATAGGAAGATCAAATCATTGCTTGCTTCATTGATCATGAGCAAAACAAAAATTAATGTTGGTGTCTCAGTAATATAAGCTTACCACGTAAAATCGTTTTTCATCACTGAAATCATCATCTGATGGCCAATCAGGCAATTCACCTTCGAAGATTCCATCTGCCACTGCGCCACCATGGAAGTGAGGTATGTACGGCTTCTTGGTGGTCACTGTGCAACATAAATAATGTGAGGTTTTGTACTCCAAATTAATTTAAAAAACAAAAAAAAAAGTGAACAATAGTGCACCACAAGTTACCTTCATCTTTAGGAACTTTAGGTCTGGCAATTGAGCAAGCCAAATCCAAGCTGCTATATTCTTGTTCATCAATTCGAACCTGGAAGTGTTTCGGCTCTGAGCCAGCAGATGGATCATGTGCAAGCAAAGTAATGTAATACGACGCAACACAGTTCGGTGTCATGTTGAAGTTCAGTAACGCATCGAACTCGAAGTTTGTCCCCTGCCACATGAAAAAAAAAGAAAATTGAATGCGATATATATACCAGAGGATCATCATGTTCACCATAAAGCACCAACGAGAAAGGAGAAGAGTTTTGAATATTACCTCCCATAAGTTATAACGATGAAGCCCAACCTTAGCATACTGCAAGACCAAGGAACGAAAAGGCCAATCCGAAAGAACTTGACAGTCGAAGCGCCTCAGTCCCTTGATCATTCCATTCATACAGTCTGGCATTGAAACGTCCACCAGATCGAAACCCTAAATCAACATCAGCAAATATTCAGCACATAAACAAACCTAAAGCCACCGATTTCCCATAAACATCGAAACAATAAGACCCGTATATCAGCAAGTCCACAAACATCCCTATAGAAGTAACTAAGAACTAGGATCAAGGTTAGGTTTTAGTTTTGTGTTTGACAAAGGAACAATCGAACAACATGGTTTTAATGAAATCGTCTAAACAACAAGAAGATGAATTAATGTAATTACCTCGGTTTCCCCCACCATACGCCAGTAGGCGCTACGCGCCCTGTTTTACTCCTCCGAAGAAATCGTATTCTCCGTCGTCATACTCACTCGCACAAGTTTAAGCAAAATAGAAGTTTAACAATTATATATTATTGTGTGTGTGTGCACTAATAAAAAGAACATGAATTAACAATGTGTGCCGTTCTGATTTACGTTTTGATATAAAACTGCGTAACGTATCCGGTTTGGAAAAGAGACATGTCCGCCGTTTTGGTTATGACGGCTTCCATCTTTTGAAAAAGTAAGAGATAACAACTGTTGCGTGTGCAGCACTAAAACCAAAGCTAAGCTTTTTTCTTCGGATTCACGTAAAGAATTTCTCCACACTTTCCCATCTTCCAAACTTGATTTCGAAGAGGAAAAAAAACACAGAGATGGCCAAGACCGGCTCTGTTTCCTCCGATCCGCGTTCGAGGCTCAAGTGGGACATATTCCTCAGTTTCCAAAGAAACACGCGCCACAGTTTCACGGAGCGTCTCTATGAAGCCCTCATCAAGGAACAGGTCCGAGTATGGAACGGTGATGCGGAACGTGGGAGTCATGAGGAGGCTATGGAGGGTTCGGTGGTTTTCGTAGTAGTCTTATCCCTTGACTACGCTAAATCTCATTGGTGCCTCGAAGAACTAGCCAAGCTCTGCGATCTGGAATCATCGCTGGGTCATCGGATCTTACCGATCTTTTATGGAGTCGATCCGTGGCATTTTCGGAGACCGAGTCCTTTCGAAGAGGATTTCGAAGAGCTTTCGAAAAGATTTGGCGAGGAGGAGATACAACGATGGAGGAAAGCCATGACTCTAGTCGGAAACATCTCTGGTTTTGTTCTTAGGTATGACTCTAATGATATCTTCATCTGCACGAAATAATAGGTTAGAATGTAATTATAAGACAGAGAGTTATTTTAATTCGGAAAAAAACAGTGTGGTTTATATATTACACATCGCCTATACAAAATCAAGAAATTTAATAATTAAGACACGTTTTAAAACTTTTGAACACACTCATTCTTGGCTTCTTCTCTCTCTCTCGTTTAGATTTACATATAGGCTAGCCGAAATACGTACATTTTCATGCACTGTCTTTACTTATTCTTAATTTGACTTTCAGTATATATTATATACATCCAGTAAGGATCCGTTTTATTTTCTAAAATAAATCTCAAACCTTCTCACTGAACCTGTGGCTTTGATTACTGTACATGTTTCTTGAAAAGACTCTGCTTCTCTTAGTGTCTTTTAGTTCGTAAAGCCAAATTCTGTTCTTTACCCAAATGAATTTGACACTGCGTGTTGTTCTGATTGACCTGCGGGACATGGAAACTGCATGACGTTTTTAGAGTAAGTGAGATTTCATTTGCGTGGGTCCCGCAGTCACCGACAGTCAGATGAGAGGCTTTTGTTTTACGTACGAATATAGTAATTGGCATTTAACTAAGCTTCGTCTCCGTCGTCTTTTCAACCGGAAAACCGATCGGAGTGCCGACATAGTTGCAGGAGATTTTGATTAACTCTCTGAGTCTCTGACCAACGTCAACCGGAGAAGTAGAGAGTGAAGAAAACTGAGAAGCTGAGCAAGAATCGACTGCCATGAACTGATTCCAGGAAAAATCCACAGAGTTGACTTGAAATTAAGCTTCCTCTCCGGTTTCAGAGTTGATCGGAGATGGAGACTACTGAGGTCGTTTCGAAGCCGCACAGGCTCAAGTTCGACGTCTTCCTCAGCTTCCGAGGCGAAGACACTCGCCATAACTTCGCAGGGCGTCTCTATGAGGCGCTTAAGGAAAAGCTCCGAGTCTTCCTCGACGACGAAGGTATAGAGCGAGGGCATGAGATCGATCAAAGTCTCCTGGCATCAATGGAGGACTCGGCGGCCTCCGTCGTCGTCTTATCCACCAACTACGCTAACTCTCACTGGTGCCTAGATGAACTAGCTATGCTCTGCCATCTGAGAAAGTCGCTTGGTCGCCCGATGCTTCCCATCTTTTATAAGGTCGATCCTTCGCATGTACGCAAACAGAACGATCATTTCGCCAAGGATTTTGAAGAACACGCCAAAAGATTCAGCGATGAGGAGATACAGCGATGGAGAGAAGCTATGAAATTAGTTGGAACCTTAGCCGGATATGTTTATCGGTACTAGACATAGACGATGAGTTGAATTTTAGGTTTTGTTTCATTTACTCTGTTCCATTACATATATTTTTGAAATGATCTGTTCTCCTTTTTGGCAGAGATGACTCGGTTGATGAGGATCAGATGATAAGGCTTGTGGTGAAAAGGGTTTTGGCTGAAGTGAGCAATACACCAGAGAAAGTTGGAGAATACACGGTTGGTCTGGAATCACGTGTCGACCATTTGATGAATCTGGTCGACACTGGGTCAAGTTCTGGTGTTCAGGTCCTGGGGCTTTACGGTATGGGCGGTATAGGGAAGACGACCCTTGCAAAAGCCTTCTATAACAAGATCGTCGGAAACTTCGAGAAGCACCGAGTTTTCATCTCAAACATTAGAGAAAGATCATCAGACCAAGATGGCTTACTCAATCTACAAAAAATGTTCGTCAAGGCACTTTCCCTTTTGGTACCTGAAATAGAAGATGTCAACGGTGGCAGGGACAAGATAAGAGAAAGTGTTCACGAGAAGAAGATTCTTGTGGTTTTAGATGATGTTGATAGTATAGACCAGCTTAACGCGCTGGTTGGTGAAAGAAGTTGGTATGGTGAAGGAAGTCTTATCATCATCACTACCAGAGATGAAGAGATACTGAGTAATCTCTCAGTGGACCAACGGTATGAGGTTAGGTGCTTGACTGAGACGCAGGCACTGAATCTGTTTAGTTATCATTCACTACGGAAAGAAAACCCAACAGAGAGTCTAATGGAGTTGTCCAAAAAGATTGTTCAGATATCTGGACAGTTGCCACTGGCACTTGAAGTGTTTGGTTCTCTTTTGTATGACAAGAAGGAGGCAAAAGAATGGCAAACTCAACTGGATAAACTGAAAAACACCCAACCAAACAGTCTTCGGGGGGTTCTTGCGCTAAGCTTTGAATCTTTAGACGACGAAGAAAAGAAAGTGTTCCTCGACATTGCGTGTCTCTTTCTTAAAATGGAGATAAGCAAAGAAGAAGCCGTCGACGTACTGAAAGGATGTGGACTCAACGCTGAGGCTGCTCTCAGTGTCCTCAGACAAAAGTCTCTTATTAAGTTTTTGGCAAACGATACTATTTGGATGCATGATCAGATTCAAGACATGGGCAGAGAGATAGACCTTAAAGAAGTCCCTGGGGATCCTGGAATGCGAAGCAGACTATGGGATCGTGCTGAAATTCTGACTGTATTGAACAATACGAAGGTATTTGTATTTCTACAGTTATATATATATATATCATTTGTATTTTGACTTACATCTTCTTCTGTAATGGGATGTAATAGGGAACAACATCAATCCAAGGAATCGTACTTGACTTCAAAAAGAAGCTTGCGAGGGATCCGAGTGCAGAGAACATTGCGTTGAGGAATCTACATGACAAACTAAGCATCAAATCAGTGTGTAGTTACCTGAAGAACAAGTTCATACCATTTCCAGAAGAGGAAAAGCCAAAAAGTTCTGAGATCACCATTCCTGTAGAGCCTTTTGTACCAATGACGAAGCTGAGACTTCTTCAGATTAACCACGTGGAACTGGAAGGAGATCTTAAGCTTCTTCCATCTGAACTCAAGTGGATACAGTGGAAAGGCTGCCCACTAAAAGATGTTCCACCGGTTTTTCTTGCTGGGCGACTTGCTGTTCTTGATCTCTCAGAGAGTGGCATAAGACGAGTCCAGAGTTTGCACAGCAAAAGGGTAAGCTTTCTTATTTTCCTCCTAACATTGGCAAAGTCTCACTGCTAAAAAAAAGTTATTTCTGCCTTTCAGGTGGATGGGAACTTGAAAGTTGTGAACTTTCGTGGTTGCCATAGCTTAGAAGCCATTCCTGATTTATCAAACCATAGCTCCCTAGAGAAGCTTATCCTGGAACGATGCATACGTCTGGTGAAGGTTCCGAGATCAGTTGGTAATTTAAAAGCATTGCTTCACCTTGATTTCAGGGACTGTTCAAATCTTACTGAGTTTCTCGTGGATGTTTCTGGACTGAAGCGTCTTGAGAAACTTCTCCTCTCTGGATGTTCAAATCTGAGTGTGTTACCAGAAAACATTGGTGCCATGCGATGCTTGAAAGAGCTTCTTCTTGATGGAACTGCGATAAAGAACCTGCCAGAATCTGTTTACAGCCTCGAGAATCTTGTAAAGCTTAGTCTAAAGGGTTGCAAATCTATTCGAGAGCTACCTTCGTGCGTAGGTACGTTGACGTCACTAGAAGAGCTAGATCTTAGTGGTACTGCACTGCGAGATCTCCCGAGTTCTATTGGATGTCTAGTAAATCTCCAGAAGCTGCATCTGATGCACTGCACGTCCCTTTCCAAGATTCCTGACAGTATCCATATGCTCAAATCATTGAAGAAATTATATATCAACGGAAGTGCCATGGAGGAGCTACCTCTAAACCTTGGCTCACTGCCATGCTTGGCTGACTTCTCAGCAGGAGGATGCAAGAAACTGAAACAGGTTCCGGTTTCTATCGGTCGACTGAATTCTCTTCTCGACCTTGAGTTGGATTGGACCTCAATTGAAACTCTACCAGAAGAGATTGGTGATTTGCCCTTATTTCGGAAACTTGTGCTGAGGAACTGCAAATCTCTGAAGTTTCTGCCTGAATCAATCGGAGATATGGACACACTCCATAGCTTGTTCCTTGAAGGCTCTAACATCGAGAAACTGCCGAAAGACTTTGGTAAGATGGAGAACCTGGTCTTACTCCGAATGAACAACTGTAAGAATCTCAAGAGGCTTCCTGAATCATTTGGAGACTTGAAATCTCTTCAGCATATGTACATGCAGGAAACTACTGTGGCAGAGCTGCCACAAAGTTTCGGAAACCTTTCAAAGCTAAGGGTATTGAAAATGCTGAAGAAGCCTCTTTTCAGAAGTTCCGAGAGTGATGAAGAACCTTGTTTTGTAGAAGTACCAGACTCTTTCTCAAACCTCGTGTTGCTTGAGGAACTGGATGCTCGCAGTTGGGGGATATCCGGTAAGATCCCAGATGTTCTTGAGAAGCTTTCGTCTCTGAAGATACTAAAACTGGGGAACAATTACTTCCACAGTCTTCCGTCTAGCCTCGAGGGGTTGTCGAATCTCAGAGAACTCTCATTGTATGACTGCCAAGAGCTCACGCGTCTTCCTCCTCTTCCGTGGAAACTGGAGCAGCTGAACTTGGCAAACTGCTTTTCACTGGAGACTATATCCGACCTTTCGAAGCTGACGATCTTGCACGAGCTCAATCTCACAAACTGTGAGAACGTAAATGATATTCCAGGCTTAGAGAAGTTGACTGCTCTTAAACGGTTATACATGAGCGGATGTAACTCCATCTGCTCCGATGCTGTAAAGAAGAGACTGTCCAAGGTGATTCTGCAAACTTGGTTAAATCTCAGGGTTTGTTAACAACTTGCTTACAATCTTTTGAATATATCTTCACCGCAGGCTTCTTTGAAAATGATGCGGAATCTGAGCTTACCTGGAAACAGAATCCCGGACTGGTTCTCACAAGGCCCTCTCACATTCTCAGCTCAACCGAACAGAGAGCTCAGGGGAATAATCCTGGCCGTTGTTGTGGCTCTTGACCATGAGAGAAGAGATGACTACCAGATACCTGATGTGGTGGAGGTTCAAGCCCAGATTCTGAAACTTGATCTAGCCTTATACACCCACACGTTGCACCTCTCTGGAGTGCCAAGAACAAGTAATGATCAACTCCACATCTGCAGATACCCAGCTTTGCACCCAATGGTCACTACGTTTAAAGACGGGTACACTATTCAAGTCATCAAACGAGAACCACCATTCAAACAAGGCGTGGAGCTTAAGATGCATGGCATTCATCTGGTTTACGAGGGGGATGATGATTTTAAAGGCGAAGAACGTTTAGTAAACGAGACGCATCTAACCGTTTCTCAGAAACTTGCCAATTTCTTCAGATCTTTCGAAGGAGGTGAAGCCAGCTCAGAAGGTGATTCTACTGTTACATGATATGCTACCACAGAGAAGTTAAGAAACTGCACAGACACTATTGCTAAACAAAAACACACAAAAAAGAACCAAAAAAACAAACTTTTTGTCTGTAAGTATCTTCTTTCTCTCCATGTTTCTCTGTTCTCAAGCGTGTTTGCTTCTTTTAAGTTCAACTACTTGTGTTTATAGTTGTCTTTCTACCTTTACTTTTATATATAATCAATAAAAAAAGCCAAAAAAGAGGAGACTCTTGTTTCCCATGATTTCTCGAACATTAAAGAAGTCAATGGATTTTATGAAAGTTTGGCTAACAGAGACATTCCAAGAGTGAAGAGAATCAATATATTAAAACAATTTCTATTTCAGTTTACTCGATTCCAAAAAAGTTCACTTTCACAGCTTGTCACAGTAACAAAGAAGAGACCAACAGATTATGAAAAGGATATGGTGACAAGGCGATGGTATAACTCAAAAAGATAGTAAGTGGGGTCGAAGCTCATGTGTCTATGTTCAGCGAGACGCAGACTTCATTAGATCTGCCCTCCAACACAACGTTTCTTTTCACTCTCTGTTGTCTTATTCTAAAACCAAACCCCACATCTCATGCTTTCCCATAATCCAAATGATATTATCACAACACAACAAACTATGCTTTGACCCTTTTGACCATCAAAAAGCACAACTTACAAAAATATGAAATCAACAGTCAAAAATAACCCCAAAGGAATTAGACAATGAATGAATCAAGGCAAATTTTTCTCATTTCATCAGAGTGGTGGCTACATTCCAAAGAGTACATTGATGACCCAACGAATGTACAGAATTATACAACAGCAGGACACAAGACAAGACAAACATCGATACACTGACACGGTTAAAATGAAGAAACAAAGAATCATATAAAGTAAAAAAACATAGTAGATTTTCTCATACCTTTTTAGCGCTTACGCTGCCAAAAAAAACCACTACTTCTGGTAATAACATTCAAGCTTCTTGTTTGTTAAAGACCAGTGGGAACTCATCGTAATGCTCAGAAACACCGTGTTTATCCGCCATGTTCTTCAAAGATTCATACACCTGAACCATCGTTGGCCTTTCCTTAGGTCTCGACACGACGCAGCTACACGCGATTTTCAAGAACTGCAATATCTCCTCGTCGTGTCCTTTACCACATATGCTTCTATCAATAGCGTCTTTGCTTCTACCATTACCCAAATACTGACTCACCCAGTCTACTAAACTCCCTTTAAAACCTTCCACGCCATTTATCACAGACAAAGGCTTTTGCCCTGTGACCAACTCAAGAAGCACAATCCCAAACCCATACACATCTCCTTTCAAAGACGCAACCATCGTGCTCGAGTACTCAGGCGCCACGTAGCCTAACTCCCCTAAATCCCCGTTATTAAACGAGCTATCGTTCGAGTCCCGAGAACCAACTAGCCTGGCTAAACCGTAATCCGTGATCCGAGCGTCAAAGTCATCATCAAGAAGTATGACATTGGAGCTAATGAACTGATGCAAATACGGAGGTTGGCATCCATGGTGCAGCCAAGCTAGCCCTCTAGCTGCTCCCACGCCGATCATAAGCCGAGTAGGCCAATCCAAAACAGCATCACACAAACCACCGTTGTGCAACTGAGAGAACAATGTGCCATTAGGCATGTGCTTATACACCAAAAGCCTCTCGTCTTCAACAACGCAGAAACCTAAAAGCGGCACCAGATTCGGATGCCTAAGCTCACCTAACCTGTTCATCTCCGACCTAAACTGTTTCTCGCCAAACCCACAAGCGCTAAGCCTCTTAACCGCAAGCGCAGACCCATCAGGCAAATCAGCTTTGTACGAGACACCGGTTCTTGATGAGACGTCGATGTTCCCTGAACTGAAACTGTTTGTTGCAGCCATTAAATCACCCAGCTTGATCTTCACGATTGGTTTCTGAAACAAAGTCACCTGAACAAGCTTGTGCGACCTCAGCAAACCAATCCAATCACTATCGTCTTTGGATTTTCCGGCGCCGTAGCCTTTCTTCTTCCTGCTACCTTCTCTGATAAAGAACCACCAGAAAATGGCTAATCCCACACACAACGACCCGACAGCGCCGAGAACTCCGGCGACAATGATGATTGTTAGGTTCCTCCCGTTCAACGCGCCGCATCCGGATAAAGGCTTCCCGCAGAGTCCGTTGTTGCCGCTGAAATCGTCTTCTCCGAATCGAGAGAGCTCGGAAGGAATCGTACCGGAGAGATCGTTCCGGTCGAGGGAAAGACGCCTGAGCCGATCTAACCGGCTCAATTGGGAAGGAATCGAACCGGAGAGCTTGTTGTCGCTAAGAACTAGAGCGTTTAGGAACTTACACTCCACGATCTGAGTCGGGATCGAGCCGGAGAGTCTGTTCCCGGACAGATCTAACGTGACGAGATACGGAAGCCACGAGCAGATTTGGGAAGGAATCGAGCCGGAGAGATCGTTTCCGGAGAGATCCAGTGACTGTAAGCTGTGACAGAGCTTGAGCGACTCGGGAATCTGACCGGCGAGCTGCATCGATTGGAGCTGAAGAGAAATAATGCGATTCTCCTTCTCGTTCCAGCAGGAAACGCCAGTGAGCTTGCAAATCGATGAGGCTGAAGAGTTTGGGAATGACCAGGAAGTGAGTCGAGATGAAGGGTCGGTGAGTGAATTCTTGAGACCTTGGAGACAGAGAACGTCGTCTTCCGCAGAAGAAGAAGATAGAAATGAGCTGACGAAGAGAAGCCATAGGAGTGTAATGAAGATCTTCTTCATGATATATTACAGCTGGATCTATATTCTCTCTAGGGTTTTTTTGTTTTCCTCAGAGAAAGTTTAGCAGAGCTTCTATGGCGGAAAGAACGGTCATTGACTGTGTGTGATACTGAAGAAAAAGGAGACGTTTTTCCCCCTTTTGACTATTTATTTTTAGTAATTTTGCAGAGATTATATTTGTTTTTTAATCATTCTTATTTTTTATTTTTTTTTGTTTTGTTCGTTACGTGCTGGTTTGTTTTGTTTGGGAAAAGAATCAAATCCACTAACTAAACGACGCCGTCAAAAAAAAAAACAAGTCTGAGAGATGAAAGATTTCAAGTCAGTTTTAGTCTCAAAGTTACATACAATCCTCGAAAAGGAAAGATGTTTTAAAAAAAAGGTTGTTGCAAACTACAATAACATTTTTTTTTCTTTTTTGAGTCAAAAGTACACTTAACATTCTTTTTATGCAAAAATTTAAAACTCTTTCCTGTATTGATAGTTTTACCTAAAATCAGCTATCTAGTTTTATAGTACAACTACAACATATCAATACATGAAATTAATAATATGCATTTTTATGAAAGACACAGGCTGCTCATAAATCACAAGAGTTTGGAACTTGTTTATACATAAAAGGACAAATTTATAGACAGACACATCACTGAAACTAACATGTCTAAATCATATGTTTTGGCCCATGGGCTTTAATACCATCTACTTACATTTCAGCCCAAAAGAGGTAAGGGTTCGTTACGACAATGGTTTGGTCTTAACATTCCTCCAACCTAAAAAAAATATTTTAAGCTTTGTTTCTAGAATCTTCCCCACAACTTTCTTACACAACCAAACAAGGATCGAAAGACATAAATATAAAGAAGTTTTATAGAGCCAGAACAAAAAAGAATTTGCAATGTCACCAAAATTTACATATGTGGTAAACTCTAACCAACCAAAAAGATTAGAAAACCATTTCAATTCTCCCCAACCAACCAAAAAACAAAGAAATTAAAAAATCAAAAGAAGTAAATATTAAATGTAGATTTTGGTATATAAAAAAACCTCGTTAAAATATACACCTGAAAAATTACCTCAGAAAAATAAAAAAACCAATTAAATTAAAAAGTCATTCTTGTTGTTGCCTCTGCCACGGCAAGTAACCACTCACTTGGTCAGCAAAATTCGACACAACCAAATCTTTCAAACCAGTATCCCACACTTCACAGAACCGCCGTCTCCAATCCGGCGGCTCGATCGCCTCAGTCCCGAGCCCTGGAGCTCGATCTTTAGACCCTTGGTTCTGGTTCTCTTGCCAGTCCACAACATAAGTAGCCACTCTCCTCTGAAACTTAGCTTTGAAAGTCTCCCAAACTTGGTACTTGTAATGGTTCACAACGGCAACACTCTCCACCAAACTCATATGCCCGATCCCTTCCCTCAGATGAAAATGATGAACCTCGTTAAGCAACGAGCTCGTTAGCGACTCGGGTCGGATTATCGACTTGTGCCTCTCGGGATTCGCTTGTCTGCAAGTGTACCCTACGGTCACGCCTTGTGATGGAACCGAGGTTAGACCGGACGGACCGTAGCTGTGACATTCCGTTCTGATCTCACCAACAAGATCCCACGACGTGTAGTTCGATACAAGCGACCTTAACGCGTTCTTGCTCGGTAAGCCTTGAGAGCGATGCGTAGGGAAGTAGTAGAACTCGTCCACGTCGAAGAATCCGACCCAGTTGCACTCGTCTTTCGCTCTAACCGCACAATGAGAGAAACCTGCTTCTTGAGTCTTGATCCATGGCCAAACATGTCGGCTCACATTGTAATTCTCTGAATTGAGCAGTTTTATCTCTCCTTGTATATCGTCGTCGCTGTTGTTGTCGTATATAAACCACCGTTCGACGCCGAGCCACGAGTGGTACATAATCCACTCACGCAAGAACGGAGCTTGGTTCCATAGCATTGTGCAAACACAAAGCTCATGCTTAATCCCACTCTTCTTCGTCTTCTTCTTCTCAATCGAATCGGAGCCGTAGATTCTCGCAACGGATGGCGAAGCAGGCGTGGATCTTCCTCTAGGATCGATGTGGATTACGCTCACATGAAACGTCTCTGGATTTAGCTTCAAACTCTCCGGCAAAACACACCTCACAACTTCTTGCGCTGCGGCAATAGCTTGAGTGACCAAAACCTCGACATCTTTATCCTCCGAATTCCCAATCTTGAATTGGCATTTGTAGTACGAAGGATCTGATTCCTTGTGAGGTCTTCGAGTCAATCCTTTGACAAACACAACCACCGTGTCGCCGTCAATCACCGCCTCGTAACCAACTTTTTCCCAGTTATGAGCCTTGTCATCACGAAGGCTCTGCTTCTGCTTCTTCTTCTTCTTCACCAAATCTCCATGGAATTGCAAATCAACAGATGACGAATAGTTCGAAGGAGCGTTAGGGCAACGAACAATCGATCTAAACTCATCGAATTCGTCAGTAGAAACCGATGGCAGCGCCAAAGTCTCTTCATTTACTCCATGGTAAACACAAACCAGGTTTTTCTCACCTTTGCCGATTCTGTTCGAGAGAATCAGCAGGAGATGGTCGGGGAATTGGACTCTGTCTTCGACTCTCAACGGAGGGAATCTACCGTGAAATGAACGCTGAATCGAATCCATCGAAGACAAGACGGAGAGAGCCGGAACACGAAGAGACGGTCTCAGAGAATCGGAACGGACTGAGAGTGTGGAGATTCGGTCGGAGGATAAGAAGAAGAGCAAGACGAAGAAACAACAGAGGCATATGAGTAGATACCTTAGAGACAAGAACTGTGCTTTTAGTTGCTGTCTGTTCCGAATTTTCCTCTTCTTCCCATTCTCATACTCCGTCATCTTCTTCTTCTTCTTCTACTAAACTTTTACGAAAAAATCGACACTTTTGCTTCTGGGTGAGAAGAGAACAGGGTGCTAAATAAACTGATCTGGAGAAGGTATTACTAGGGAAGAAGAGATCTGGTTTTTGCGCCGGCAGACATAAGTTCTTCTTCTGCTTCTTCTATGTAAGGTAATAAAGAAAAGAATATAGTATGAAATGATTTCTTTTCGTTTCTGGTAGATTTTTGATATATAAAGCAAAGGAAATAAAAACAAGGAAGACGCGTTTGTGATTGAGTCGCGTTAGGCGTCGGCGTTTTCTCATTTTCTCAATAATCCTGCAAGCCACCGATTAATACTAATTATTTACTCACTTTTGGACGTTAATTAACTAAACTAATTAGAGATGATGTCATTTTCTAATGGCTTAATGATTTTTGTTAGTTCTTGATAATTAAGACGAGAAAGATGCCAATAGTTGCGCGACTTGTGTCCAAAGATGCTATGAGGTGGACCATTCTCGTATTTTTGTTTTATAAGTACTATTTTAATTAAATGTTTTGGGTTTGAAAGATAAAGAGAGACCTATGATTCTCTGACAGTTGTGTTTGCGTGATCGTTTAGCTTCTTTACGAAAAAATAATACTATTAATTGTTTTTCAAGATTCGCCGGAAAAGGAGGAGAGGGACCAAACCTTTTGGTACAAAGCATGATTGAGATTTGTTGTATAATCAAGGCTCCGAATGTGTGTGTAGCTAAACAATTGGTCGGTGTGGATCAAGAGTTGAAAAATGTTTTTAAATGAGTTGAACTAGCAATAACTTCAAAACGTTGAATGGGTGACATCAGAATTATATATACTTAATTGTTTAGATGTAGCTCACATAGTCACATTCATATATTGTCATGCCTAGTTCGATTGGTAGAACATAATTTGGTGAAGAACACGTTCTGTCACTAAGTGTGTTCAACAACAAACTCATCACTATCAAAAATTTAAATTAGTAATATATTTTTCATATTGTTAGTTAATTAAATCTGCAGTGTAGAAGATCTAATTTATGAGTTTTGTACTTTTGTTATGTCTCTTAGCTAAGTTAATAACATCAGCTAATTATTACAAAGTTCGTCTTATTACGATATAGGTCTTGATGAATGTGACGCTGAAGGCGATTGCTCTTCATCCATCTCGCGTTGCCGACCTCAAAAGTTGGTTCATTCAATCGGTGAGTTTTGATTTTTGAAGACGATCACATTATACAATTTTGTTTAGGGTATAGTAGTAAATTACTTTTTGCATTTTTTGGTTTTTGAGATATTTTATTGTTTAGTTTGTCGTCTCTAACCGACTTCCAGTATATATTTCATTTCTTTTAAAAATCTATTATTGAGTTTGATACTTGTGTTTTTGTGAGATTATTAATGTATTTGTTATGGATTGTTTTATGCAATACTAACATTGAAAAAGAAAAATGAAAAAGGTGGCATGAATTATGTATGGAGCCCAACTAGATTATGCAAAGCAGACATGGTCCGTGTAATTGGAGTTGTGATTTTTGTTTTTAATCGTTTTGAATATTGTATGTTGATCAAGTTTGTAATGAGTCATTTTAAACAAAAAAACAAAAATTACCAAATATGGAAATGAGAACGTGGAGATTAGGTATAAGGTTTAGGATAGTGGGAAGTTGCTATGCACATTGCTTAAAATCGCTGGAATCATGTTCCTTTGTTCTCTCCCTCCATTTTCATTTTATATATTTATAAGATTTTAACTAATGATTGATGTACAAGAAAAAGAAAAAAAGAATGTGCCTTACATTACAATTATACATCATCCATCTTTTATCCTCTTTCATGTTTGGCTCTTGCTTTCTGAATGATTACAATAATGCCGGCAACATTCTTCTTTTCCCTTCTCCATACTTGGTGTTTAATTTTGTTATTTATCATTTCTTGTATACATATTCAATCATAGCACAAAACTTATTTTGGTCATATATCCACCATATACACATGTTATTATCCGTGATGAGTCAACAAACTCGTAACAAAAATCAAATTTATATATAGTAAACTGACGTACGGCTTATAAATGTTGACACCATAGTAAATTATGCATGGTACGTTCCAAAACACATTAAACCTCAACGTTAAATATGTCGAATAGCGTTGAGTTTGCACTCCCAAGACATTTATTTAATTTTATATTTTGTTAACTACCTAACCTAACTACAGTTTACAGTGTTTCATAATTTTCTAAACTTTTAATGATTCGATCGGTTCCACCACGAACGAGATGGCCCAGATCAATGGCTCTGTGTGTTAGGGCTGCGTAAAATCTACAAAATGCTGGCCACATATAAAACACGTGTAATGCATTTGTGGATGGTTGCGAAAGAATCAAACCAATTATTCATTGATTCTTCTCAATCATAGATTTTATATGCTATTTGTCATGCTTACATAAAATTAAAGTACAGTACTGTATAACAAAAAAAAAAGGTAAAATCCAGTCAAATGGAAGAAATGTAGGAGCACAAAGGATTGATTTGGTAATGACAAAGTCGACAAACACATACAAACCAGTTTGGTTATACAATTCCATTGGAGTAAGACTAGACAACAATGCTATGTATCACTTGTGAAGTTTTTGATATTATCATAAACGCTTGGAAAGTGGTTAATTTTTTGTCTCTTTATCTGATTTTCCCCCTCCATATTTAAATAAGTCATTTCATTGGTTCATTACAGTTTACAAGGCCTGCAAAACTAAAATTTTATTTTTTTTATTTTCACGCCAAAATTTTTCAAGTCATCTCTAAAGCATTTTTTCTCCACTACTCTAGTCGAGATATCATCATGCGCAATCCGCAATCCGAGCAAAAGTTGGGTAACCAAGTGATATGGTCGTTATGTTCAGATCACAAGACATGAAATCAAATATTTTCCTTACATCTTCATATGACTTCTAATTTGTTTGGGGATCCTCTATATGCACTCACGCCACTAAAGACAAGTTATTATATTATGATTGTGGATCGTAATTGGTAATACATGATCACAAAACCAAAGCTTAATGATTTAGCTTACACATATAAGTAAGATGTGCATCAGTGCATAAAGCTATTTGTTATTTTTCGAGTTTAATCTCTATTTTGTCAAGTTGATTATTTTCCAAAAACATTACTACTCTTTTTTTTTGGTTATTTTATTTTCCTTCGAATTCTTAAATGGTCACAAAATTGGTAACACAAGTTACAACCCAAGTCAATCTCCTACCATAGGCCCATTTGGCACGGCCCTAGAAAGTGCGATTAGCCCAAACAAAACCAGCTGAATTTTAGCTTTATTCGGTTTAAAATTAGTCAAAACTAAACTTAATAAAACCGAATCTGAAAGAAAATTTTGTTGACGTTAGTTTTTTTTAATTCAAAACAAACTTAAGAAAATATGTCGTTATAAAGGCTTGTTGACCCTCATTTGGCTATTTCCCGAGTTTAACCTCTCTATTTTGTAAAAGTTCATTATTATTTAAAACGTTGTCGTTTCACTTTGAATTTTTTTTTTTTTGTTCTTTTCCAATAAAACGATTCACCCTTTGGAAAATATGTCACAAACTTCCACAATGATAACAGAGTCACAAGTTACGACCCAAGTCAACCTCCTTTATACTCCAAAGTCAGGTTCTATTTTTGAAGTCAGGTTCGTCACTCGGGCCCTGAATCCTGAAACCAATGCAGGACTTTTTGTGGTAGTCAATTAGTCATGTTTTTTTACCAAACCTTATCTTTTCCATTTATTGTTTCTAAGAAAAATCTTTTATTTGTAATTTGATACTATCAAATTGTAGGAATAGGAGTTTCATTCAATAATTTGTACTGTTAGATTGTCATAGGAATAGGAGTGTTCCACTCAATAATTTCTGACTCAAACAGATGGAGTGAAGTCATCTTGTATTGTCCTAAACAAAGCAATAATTCATTTTCTTCCCAAAAGATTTACAAGATGAGACAGAGTAACACAAAACAGTCAGCACAAATCTTTACACCTCTAGTGATTCACTCGCTGATTAAATTATTAAGCTTACTTAGACATGTGAGAGTAGAAAAATTCACACAGGCGGTTGAAGCAAAGCATCGAATCTGAGATTTGGCTTTTTTTTTCATTTTCACCGTCTTGAGTCAGAGTCTGGTCAGCTTCTATTGTGTGCTTCAATCCTCACATCACTCTCTTTCCCCAAAAAATTCAATCTCTCAAGTGCATTATCTCTTTTACTTCAAGTTGGTAACCTGAATACGCAAAAGCAAACCTTTAGAATCATGCTTACATTTCAAGCAAATCACTGAGAAAAAAGCAACTAAAAGATTGGTTTTTACTACCTGGTGGTTGGTTTCTGTAGTGTTGTATGCATAGAGTCTTGGAACTGGTTTCTTGGTGATCTCTTTTGAAAAACCGAACCTCCCCTTTGACCGTTGTTCGCATCTGTTGATTCTCGCATCCCTTGCTCAAAACTGTTCTCTTGCGTGTCTGTGTTTCTAATCCTTGTTTGCACCGGTCTCTCCTCTGTTTTCCTCCAGAATTTTGAACAACTCTCTCCTCCGCAGCTACTATTCTTAGAGGCTCTCCCGTTTGAAACCGCAAGATCGCTTGATATTTCATCCAAAGCCATCTCTAAACCGCTTACACGTGACTCCAGAGACTGGATCCCACTCTGTGAGCTTCCCATGAATTTCTAGTTCCAAAATGAAAAGTTGAGGATTGAGCCATCAATAACATTGAGAACCAAAACATTTCATCTACATTAAGCGTCAATAGGATAGAGATACCTGAAGAAGGTCTAAGAGACTTGACTGCTGGTTCTCAATGAGAGCAAGCTGTTCCCGTATCAAAGACAGTTCCTCACTGTCTTTCTTGCTATCATCAACATCATCTTTACCATTCTTGGCAACAGAATCATCACCATCGTCACTGCAAGGTGCAACCCTTGAGCCAGACCTCAAACCACCAAAGCCATGCACTTTTTTATCTTCCCGGCTTCTCTCTGAGATTGTATGTTTGATTATATCTGGTCCCCCTTCGTTCTCCTTCTCCTCTTCCTCCTCCGGCTCCACGACTTTACTACTCCGATCTTCCAAAGATTGCTTCACCGGTGGAAACTGTGGTCCCTTGCTATCCACACTAGAAGCAGCTGCTACTGCTACTAACATGGTCACATTCCCTTGATTTATTTTTGGAAGATTCTCCTTTTGTCTAGTAGCTGCGTATGATCTATTCACAGGCATAGATGGGGACCTCTTGATTATAGGCGTTGCTTTCTTTGCTCTTGAAGACTTAAAACCAACCTCAATCGTCGAACTTCTCGTGACGACTGAGGAAAAGCATCCAATGCTACTACTACCATCATCTGAAACACCAAATTTGAAGAAAATTCAAATCCAAATTCAAAAAAATCAAATCTTTAAGTTAAAAATTTGAACTTTCAGAAATGTAATTTGAGTGAACATTATTACCAGTGGAAGATAATAAGGCTTCGTCGAAATCATTTTGAACTTCTTTCCACTGATTCAATGCTCGATTCATAGTTTCTCTCACACTTTTCACCTGCATTGTTGTTATTCGGATTTAGATTCTCGTTGACCCACTTAACAAAAAAAAAAAGTTTTTTTTTTTTGCGACGGAATGATTTTTTTTCTTTCACCTTATCAAATCTTCTGCTCTCAAGAGCCGCCGTGCAAGCTTTCTTGTACTGCGACGCCAATTCTTCACCCGTCGCGACTTTACCCAAAGCCTCCGCCGCAGATTTTCTCGCTGCCCAGTCCTCGCTGCTTAGAAACTCGACCAAAACCGGAACCAACCAATCCAAAACCGGTTTAGTTCCTGCGCCGCCGGCGGTAATTATACTACCCACCGCACTCAACAGCGCCGCTTTGGCCTTGAAAGCCTCGCTCTTGAGGAGTTTCCCGATCTTAGGCAGAGATTTCCTCAATTGCTCCGTTTCCGGATCCGTCGCAGCTTCCACTGACGCCGCCAAGCACAACGCCGCTCCGATCTGCGAGTTCGAATCTCCCTCCTGTATCAGCGTCTCGATGAGCGGTTTCGCGACGGAGGCAAACGGCTGCCTCGTGACGTGGGCGGACATATCCGCGGTCGCGGCGGCGCAAGCGGAGCGAACGGAGGAATCCGGATCTCGGAGACGGCGGATAACGGTGGAGACCATCTTAGAGAGGTGAGGAGAGAGAGAGTCGCCGTGGTAGCGAGACATGAGCGACAAGACGGCGACGCACTGTTTCCTCACCGGAGATTTACACGAGGAGTCGGTGTTGTGGATGCAGTTGAGGAAAGAAGAGAAGGAGTCGTGAGTGAGGTTTCTAGCGATTGAGTCAAGCTCCGCCGTGGCGAGAGCTAAGGTGTCGCGGTCAGCGAGCTTGTTGAGACAGGCGATGACTCGTTGCTTCAGATCAGGAGTCGGCGGTGACTGAGAACTCGGCGATGAGGAAGATGCCGGAGATAATGAAACCGGCGGACTCGCCGGAAAACGTCCGTGTACCGACATTTTTCACTTTCTTTTTTGTTTTTGCGGCTCCGATTTGAGATTTCTGAAGAACGTGTTCACATTAACTGCTTTGAATATGGCGGCAGAGAAAACTCCGATTATGCGTAGACGGTTGGGTAATGGGTTTTTAAATGCTAACTAGAGAGAGAGAGAGGGAGGTGGTGAAAATTAAATAATAATATTACTACTATTTTCAGAATTTTGCTTTTTGTCATGGAAAAATAGTTTCTTTTTATAACAATAATTAAATACACTACTCGAAGGGGTAAAAGAATGCAGTAATCACATTATTAATGTGGATGAAAAATTGATTTGATGATAGTTTTGTAGTATCTCCTATATATCTACTTCAGGGAAGAACAAAAAACTATCTTTATCGCTCCGAAAGTATTAATGGATTTTGTCTTAAATAGAACACTGGAATATTTTATCAGTAGATAACACTAGTTGGTTTGTTCAATCTTTCTCTTTCGATTTTTTTTTCTCTATATTTTTACTATAAAAAAAATATTTTAGTCGGTATGTATTTTTCCCAGCAAACAAAAGTTTCTGACAAATTTTTTGAAACATGATATATTCAAAATTGAAATTAATTTTTCAATTCACTGAAGTAAATGTACTTTGACTACGTTTCCTGCTTTCATTATTCTTCTCGTTGCAAAGTTCGTTTTGTTTCTCGTTAAAAAAAAGAGAGTTAATTTTGTTAGATCAATTTCTTTGTCGCCAAAAAAAACTAGCTGTTTCAACTATTAACAATAACAATAATCATTATAAAATCTAAATTGGATTTGAAGAAATAGTCATTGGGTGTGTTTTTCTTACAGATAATAGTGTAGGTCAGAAAGATTCTGTCCTTTTTGATGTCGTGTTAAATCCTCACAGAGCAAAAAAAACTATAATACTATAAGATAAAAAATTCAAATGAAATGTTGGAGGAAAATGAAATTATATTCAACAATATCAATGTTTTATCAGCATTACCGAATAATATGTAGAATACGACACGAAGAAATCAAAATAAAATAAAACTGACTGGCAACGGAATATATCCTAACTGGCGAACCTTAGAACAGTTCCAAATTTACAGTAATATATTAATTAATAAAGCGATTAAGACAAAATTTGAAATTATATGTTGTGTTCTCTGGTGATGATGATGCTGTATAATTCTGTTTGACATTTGACTTGTTCAGAGTATCAACGATGCTTATCAGACATTAATCTTATTTTATGTTTTTTTTCTTAAATAGCAGGGCCAGGATTATATTAATTAATTTTAGATGATGTAAGAAATGACTAGCACATTTCATTTCGCCTTGTGAATAGTAGTACATGATCTAATAGCGTGATTGTATAATTACTTTTCTTACGTTAACGTGATTACATATATGATTCTGAATAATCAATCAGTTTTTTGGTAAATAAAATTCGAGGGAAAGTCATCATGGTAAGAAATTATTAGAGTGGCATAGAAGTAAATATGAAGAGAAAGAGGGAGAGAGACATTAAGGGAAATAATGTTAAAGCACGTGAAGAGGAGATGGAGAGTGCAGGCAAATTGGGCAGTCGAGCACGTGACTTGATTAACTCCTCTCCTTCGATGTTACTGCTTCAATTTTTTTCTTTAACGTAATTTTAAAATTTGTACCTTTTACTTTTATTTTGATTTTTTTAAAAAATACGTCGGGAAGTTATTTTACATTCGGTCCCATAATCTCTGCAATACAAAGGTAATGTTTCAGATTTTTATAGGATAAATACAGTTGTTTCAAAAAAAAAAAAACGGTTGAATTATCAGTGTTTTGTAATGTATATATAAAAATTGTAGCCATGCATTAACCAATAGTGCTTAAAATGTAAACAGCTAAAAGCATGGTTATTTCTGCTCTACGTGTATACAATATGTAATTAAATTATTATATGAAACTGAACCGAACATTTAAACCAAAATATATTTCGCTTTTAGTTTGAAAATTCGAAGTTCGAAAGCAGTAATTTGTGATTCACCATTCCAATCTAAAAGTACAGTAATATATCATTTACTTACATCATATCTATAATGTTCGTGAATTATGTTTGTATAAAAAGTTAACAGTAAATGATCAGATTAGAGATTTTAAAGAGGAACAATTCGCGGCTCATTATTTCAATTTAGATATAAACTTCGAATCCTTACAAATGAAGAGAAATAGTTAAATCTTTGTTATTCATAAATTTAAAAATATACGATTAAACCGAGAGTATGGAGGAAAAAAGCAATGATCACTTTCATGAATATTACAATGCCCATCAAGACGGCGACGTTTAAAGATGTTGGAAAATACTCTCCATGTGACTTTTGGTCGTCCGACCATTATTATGGCTTCATTCTTTCTGGCCTTTTCCCGCCCTCGTCTTGTTCCTTTCATTTGCAATTTAATTGATACTCAATATATAGAGATAAACCGAACCGGTACAACATCGTTCTTGGTAGTACTAGTATCAAACCGGTTCTTGGGACAAGAAGTTCAATATTCTACACATCAAAGTCATCTAAATAGTTCAACAATGATGGCCCAGCTAAGTAAGGTGGCAGGGATATATAACACACTTTTGTTTCTATTACGACATGTAATTAAGCTCAAATCAATTGCATCCATCAGTGCTTGAATGTCTTTTTTCTTCCTGGATTCTTTTGATCGAGATGTGGAACCATTATAGCTTATTTACTTAGAAATTATAAATCAAAACATATGGGTTTGAATGGTATATTAATTTAATAGCTGAATAACAGAATAACTGAATAATAAACTAGCGGAATCAATATGATAGGTAAACTGAAAACTGAATAAATTCAAAACGCAAAACTAGTATCTATTACATGAATAGATATTTTCTTAAACTAGTTACAAATTTAAAACGTGCAAAATAAATTAAAAAATAGCGTGTTGATTTTTCACTTTTTATCATTCAATACTTATTATGGCTGTAATTGGTGACCATAAGAAATGGAAAAGAATACTAAATTCCTTATCGTTCATTCAAAATTACACTATTTAAAAGGAATATATTGTACCCATGATTCCTTCTCATTCCTTATGTTTTAGGGAACTATAATGTTAATATATTCCCTATAAAAAATGAGAAGGAACAATAATTCCTATTATTTTGTTTATTTCATTCATTTTCCTATTCATTCATATTGTTATTTTTATGGTCACCAGTTAAAGTCTATGTATGAATGATGTATTTGGTAGAATCATATTTTAAAAATAGAAAAACGTGAATAAGCTACATATCATTCTATTTTATATAAAAAACTGAACTATAACTAAAATTTACTAGATCTGAACTCTGAAGGCACGTTACGTGCATGATTTCAATTAGAATATTTTATAAATGTTATCAAATTACGTTTGCTTTTGATCATGTAACTTTTTTTTTCGCACGGCCATGTAGATGAAAACTAATGACAAGGCTATACATAATCAATGACGTTATGCTGTTTTACATATTGGAGTACATGATCTTGTCACCAATAGCCCATTCGACTTGTCACTTGGGGACATAATGGACATATCATACATGTAACAAAGTTCTCCAAAATTTCAGTTTTGAACGAAATGAAGAAATCCACCTCGTTGTTGTAACGTTTCATACATTTTCGAAACACCACTTAGATAACCATAATTTCTCCATATCCTAAAAAAGAGTAAATATCATGCTAGATAAGATGAAAGAAGGGCAAAAGAGAGAAAAATCTGGATCGAGGACCAAAATGGTTGATGTTGATGTTAGTAATGTTGTTTGACTAAGTAGCAAGGCTAAACTTCAAATACAAATACAAGTTGTGGGAAGATAAGAGGAGAGCTTTCCACATGGACATACCTCAAATAGTGACAACAAACTCCCACATTTTATAGTTATTTCTCATATCTTTGCATCTATGTTTTCCTTCCAAAGGAACACTTGCACATGTTCTTCTTTTCTTCTTGTTCATATAAAATAAAATAAATAGAATTTATCTTTTCTTGGATGAGATGAGGGATGCATCTACCAATGGAATTGTGTTGTGGCCTTGTGGGCGATATTAATATATTGAGTTAGGTTCATGTATAAGGAATCGTCCATGTGTTCATTGTGTTGTCTCATTATGACCCCAAGACCAAATCTATATAGCTTGCGTTTTTATTTATTTATTTTAATGATATATTTATATGATGCAATTACGTAGGAGTCATTTGTAATTATCAGTTTTAAATGTTATATACTTTATCATCAAATTCAAATAAATATCATGAATTTGTATATACCAAAGTTTCATTGGGCACTGAACACCTATAGAACCATAGTTTTAGATTATGTAGAAGTGCTCGTAGAGAGACTAAATTTTGATATATATAATGACATAATGTTATGGAGTAAATTATTATGTAACCCTAGTCCATTTCTTAACATCTAGACAAACATATAAAATAGGCGACACATTCAATTACTTTGTCTTGGTGGTTAATTCAATAATAGGAAGGATGGCCAAATACTACATTTAATTAAATTGACATGTTCGATATATGTGTTTCATAATTTATATTCTCTAGATTATCCCTTATTATTACCGTCAGATCACATGTTCAATCATTCATTTGTTGTGCAACAATTTAATTCTTTGTATTTCCACTGCCCGAATCTAGTTATGTGTAAGTAATATATATATATATATATATATATCTGTTTTATTTATATTGTTGTGTGCAACAAATTAAGATGATATATTCTAACACTATTGAAAATGGTTAGAAATTGAGACAAGTGATATAAGTTATAGATTATTTATTACCACAGTATTATTTTGTAATCTGAAATGAAACTAGGGGCTGGTATTAATGAGTAAGATCGATGTAAACATTTGTCTGATGTACATCAAATAAGAAACTGATCTACATAAAAGTTTGGTTAATTTACTACCAAAGTGTTATACCGCTGAGGCGCTGATAAATGAGTTGGATATAATATTGAATTGTAAAGACTGTAATGTGTGTGGTTTTTGCAAATTACAAATGATGGGACCAAGCCTTGTTTGGACGTTTGTTATTATCATTTGTAAACGTTAGCACAAGAGGCAATTATAAGCATTTTCCACATGGAAGCTGCTCCTCAATCATGGCTGATTTTTGGATTCATGTATAAAAGAGTGTATATACATATATACACATATGTTTTTATTTAATTTAGTTAGAATTCATAAAGAGTTTAACATAGATGAAGTTGAATATACACCTACGTAAACGGATATGCATATCTTTATTTCGTGAGT